AGCACCGAGTACAATGGCTACGTCGCTGATCTCGTCAGCCAGCTCGCTCACAAGTTGAGGAACATGGAAATTCTTGAGCTCGGCGCTGGAAAGGGATTCGTCACTGAGGCCGTCGTGAACACTCTCGGAGACAGCTTTGGCTCTTACACCTACACTGACCTTACGGCGGACAACTTCGACTATGCTTCTGAGGTCTTCAGAGAGCAGGCTGAGAAGTTCATTTACAAGACCTTCGATGTTGAGCAGGAAGCTCCGGCTCAGGGCATCATTGAGGGCGGATACGACCTTGTTATTGCTTCCAAGGGTCTCCACGCCACTGCTGAGCTTGAGAAGACGCTTGCTAACGTTCGCAAACTCCTCAAGCCCGGTGGACAGTTGCTCCTCCTTGAGTTCACCGACACCAGTGCTGTGGCACCGTCCTACATGTACGGTACTCTTGCGGAATGGTGGGTCGGTGAGGCCGATGGCCGACAGCACCACCCTCTAGTCCCTCAACAGAGCTGGGATGCCCTTATGCGCAAGACTGGTTTCTCGGGCATTGACACTGCTACTCCAGAGACCAACTGGTACGGTGTACCTCTGAGCATCATGCTGACCCAAGCTGTCGACGTCCAGATGAAGCTCATCCGCCAGCCTCTTGAGGCTGAAGTTGACCTGATCAAGCTACCCAAGTTGCTTGTCGTCTCCGGCGCGAGTGAGTTCTCTGCCAAGGTCCAGGCCGACACCCTCGCTGCCATCGAGCCGTATGCTGCTGAGATTCAAATCATTGAGAAATTTGAGAACCTGCAAGAAAGCGACTTCGGTCCTAAGCAGCTCGTGCTTGTCTTCACAGAACTCGACGAGTCTGTTTTCCACCCCTTCACTGAGGCCAAGTGGACTGCTATCCAGCTTCTGACTGAGAGGGCTCTTAACGTGCTATGGCTGACTCACGGCGCGGGTGTTTACAATGCCTTCAGCAACATGATGGTCGGTGTGGGACGATGCATGGTTCACGAGAAGCCTGACCTGCGCCTGCAGTTCATTGACTTCACCGAGAGGGCCAAGGTTGATGCCAAGTATGTCGCCGAGACCTTGCTCCGCATGCACGTTGCCAGCACCTGGAAGTCTTTCGCTACTCCCTACGTCCCATCTTGGGTCCTCGAGCGAGAGATCCGTGTCATTGAGGGTAAGCCGACCATTCCGCGATGCATTCCTTGCATTCGTCTGGACAAGCGCTACAACTCTTCCCGCCGTACGATCCGCAACGAAGTGCCTCTTAACGACACTGTCGTGGCTGTTGAAACCAATGCTGGTGTTTCTGAGCTACGCGAGGTTCGCGTTCCTACTTGGGCTGCTACGTCTAAGGAAGGCTATGTGGACATCAAGGTGCACCGTTCTTCCTTGGCTGCTTTGACCATCCCTTCGGTTGGTTCTCTTTACCTCATTGTCGGTCGTCTAGCTGCTGGCGACAAGAAGGTTCTCGCCCTCTCCGAGACTCAGCGATCCGTTGTCTCTGTTCCTAAGAGCTGGACCGTCCCCGTTGATGTTTCTGATGAGCAGGACACTAGCCTGCTTGTGGCTGCTGCCAACGTTGTTCTGGGAGACTTCATCCTATCAAGCACCCCCAAGGGTACTTCTCTCCTTGCTCACGAGCCCACCAGCCTTGCTGCCGCAGTCCTCAAGGACCTTTCCGCGCGCCGCAACATCGAAGTCAGCTTCACTACCTCCAACAAGGACCACGCTGAGGGTGTTCAATACGTCCACCCCTCTGCTCAGAGGCGAACCATCCAGAACATCATTCCTCGCACTCTTTCCAGCTACGTGTACTTCTCCGATGCTGAGGACTCCTCCCGCATTGGTGCTCGCATCGAAGCACAGCTGCCCGCTAGTATCCGCCGCCTAAACCTTGCGAACGGTTTCAGCGACAAGGCCATCGTCGAGCCCCTCTCAAGCACTGAGACCACCTCGGAACTGCTCCAGCAGGCGCGGGACTTCTTCGAGTCGCACGCAGCCACACTGGACACTACCGAGCGCGTCCAGGAGCTTGTCCTCGACCTCGTGCCTGGATACGAGCGCAGCGCTGAAGACTCCACCTTCGCCGTTGCCAACTGGACTTCGCAGAAGGCGGCCTCCGTCAAGCTCTCCCCGCCCGAGAACATCGTCCAGTTCCGATCTGACAAGACATACTGGCTTGCTGGTCTCACTGGTGAACTTGGCTTGGTCCTAGCTCGATGGATGGTCCAGCGTGGTGCTCGACACATCGTCATGACTTCGCGAAAGCCTAAGCTTAACGAGGAATGGCTCAAGGACATGAAGGCTGCCGGTGCCAACATCGTTGCTCTTCCCATGGATATCACTTCGGCTGAGTCTGTTCTCGAGACTTACGCCATCATCAACCAGACCTGCCCTCCCATTGTTGGTGTCTGCAACGGTGCCATGGTGCTCAACGACCAACTGCTCGCTTCTCAACCCTACGAGGACTTCAACGCTACCATCCGACCCAAGGTGGAAGGCACCCGGCACTTGGACGCTCTCTTCCAGCAACCCACTCTCGACTTCTTCATCGTCTTCTCTTCCCTTGCTTGGTTGACTGGTAACATTGGTCAATCCAGTTACGCATCCGCTAACGGCTTCATGGCCGGCACTATGGAGAACCGTCGTCGCCGCGGTCTTGCCGGCTCCGTCATGAACCTTGCTGGTATCTACGGTATTGGTTACATCACCCGTCGTGAGGCTACTCTCATGGACCGTCTCGAGAAGATGGGTTACTCCAACATCTCCGAATGGGACTACCTCCAGTTCTTCGCCGAGGCCGTCCTGGCTGGCGGTGCCGATGCGCCCGCTGACACCTGCTGGGATATCTCTTCCGCTGTCAAGCCTGGTGACCCAGATGCCGAGAACCCTCCCCCATGGTTGGAGGTTCCCCGATTCTCCTACTTCAGGAAGGTCAAGGCCCGCACTGCTGGTGGCGAAGAGGGTGGCTCTGCCTCTGTCAGGTCACAACTTAAGGACCAGACCACCATGGAAGGTGTTAAGACAGTACTACTTGGTAAGTTTTCCCTCATCACTACAACTAATAAATATCCAATAACTAACATGATAATACAGCTGGTCTTATTGGCACTCTATACAAACTTCTCGGCATGCGCCCTGAGGATAACAGCATTTCGCCCAACATGTCTCTCATCGAGTTGGGTATCGACTCGCTTATGGCTGTCGACATGAGACTGTGGTTCACACGCGAGTTGGATCTCGATTTGCCTGTGCTCAAGCTACTGGGTGGTGCCTCCGTCGAGGACATGATCGAGGACACCGCCGCTCGTATATCACCCGAGCTTATCCCCAACGTCATCGACGCCGGCGCGGGAGCCAAGTCGGACGAGGACTCCAACAAGGAGGACACCGAGTCGAACGCGAGCGGAGAGAACACTCCCGACTCGGTACTAAGCGAATCAGAACTCGGCGGCGACTCTCTGGTAACGACACAACCACAGAGCTCGGCGGTGTCTGATAGCGGGAAGAATTAGAAAGGGAAAGGAAATCAAAGGAAAGGGGGAGGGGTGTTTCAAAAATAAAGGTTTTCATGTTTCAATATTACGATGTAAAGTACATGTTTCTATTATCTTGGGTTACAGGTACATATGGGATCTGGCGGGTTTATATCTTTTCTTACGAATGATTTTATGTCTTAGAATACTTCAGTTAGAGCAATCCTGATTAACAACTAAACTCTCTTGTTCTTTATGCACTGGTGACTTGCCTCATTTATTTTTATTATTATACGTTTTTGGAAATTTCTTGTCTTGAATTAATAGATAGTCTGACGGGAATTGAATCGTACTACTAAGTAAAGATCAAAGTGGTAGGCACCTCCACCTATACTGAATATCACTCAGTGGAGGTTGTGGAGCACCCCATGGCTGCTGGAAGTTGCGTCCTGTGCGAGAGTGGAGGGCATTGGAGATTAGCAGCCACTATAATTATAGCATGATATGACATGTATACCTACTACGTATGTCGCAACAAAAAGGCATCAAAAAGTACCTAGTTATGGAGGACTATTCTCTATGAACTAATACAATGATGAAGAACTTGAAGCGTTACGTGTATCATTGGTTAGGTACTTAGGACACTCGATATTTACGTCTATATCATTAGGTGATTACGGTTTGGCGTGGTATGCCTGACTTTTGGGGCGTAGTCAAAGAAGTTATTGCAAGACCTCTATAGTTGTGGTGGGCCGTATCAGGTAGTCAATAGATGGAGTGTACTTGATAGGAAGGTGCGACAAACACTGTACTAGTATTTAAGATCTCAATACTGAGATCCAAGCTCTAAATCTTCTTAAACAATACAACATCTTATCCCCCTAATCTTTTCTTCAATCTAACCCGAAGCCACGTCCACTAGGTACCGGGGTCCGATGTTGGTGGGTTCGGCTTTTCTGCCTAAGCTGGTGGTTGACCTGCTTACCCCACCATAAAGGTCATATTTCCAGCCCTACTATTCACTACCACTCACTATCCATATCTATATGGGAGTATAATGGAATGCGGCCCCTAAACGTAGTGCCTAGGTAGGGTGTTACGTTAGTAGTAGCGGCTACGTAATTTTGCTCTTACAGGTAAAAAATCCGATCAACGAAGGCTGAAAGTTTTGAGGCATCAATATTCATTGGGGAATTTAATGGGCTAAGATATAAACACATAGGTACCTATTTACCTAGGTAGATGCCTAGTCGTGTAAGTCTTCCCTGACGTCGAATCCAGAATCACAAGTCATAATTGATATCTCCAAACCTCAGACATTGAAACTCGCAAACGCCTTCTATGAGTGCTGTTCTATATACTCTATTTGCCTCTGAAGACAGTACACAGACCCCCCACCGATACCAAGCCCAAGCCCTAGACGGAATCCAAGTGCCCGACTTATCCAACCAATCCCGTACCGTAACTAATACACGCAAACAGGCTTTCAATTCTAATTTACAGCCCTACATTCTAAAGTTCTTTTTTATCTACTTACTTGTTTCTCCAGAAAGCGACCTTGCACCCGTGCTCGTTGCTCATGCCAATGCTCAGATGCTCCGTCCACGGGTGGTTATCCCTCGGCTCGATGCGCTTGAACTCCTGCATCAGTCGGACGATGTTGTAGCTTCCCTCGATCAAGGCGTTCTGCTGTCCCAGACACAATCTCGGTCCCCCGTTGAATGGCTTTATAACAAACACTCCACGTTAGCACGTCCGCGTTTTATCAACTAGAAATTTGGAGAATAGGTAGGTAGGTAGGTAGGTAGGTTACTAACCAGATACGCCCAGCCGGGCTTGATCTTCTCGTCTAGCCATCTCTCGGGGCGGAATACTTCGGCGTCGGGGCCCCAGAATTCGGGCAAGCGATGCATAGCCCAGACGCAGTAGAAGACGGGGGAACCCTTGGCGACGAAGACAGGAGCCGTCTTGTCGGGTCCGCCGCCACGAGGGAGAACGGTGTCCTTGCGTGCGAAACGTACGTTTCTAGGTAGAGGGGGCCATAGTCGGAGGGCTTTTCGGTTATTAGCATTTTTCTTGATTGGCTAAAGGGGAAGTGAAGTGTACTTACTCTCATTCAGAACAGCTCTCAGGTACTTCATCTCCTTCAGGGACTCGTAGTCAGGCATACGGCCCTCCAGCGATTCAACCTCGACCATTAGCTTATTCCAAATATCCTGGTTCCGCGCCATCTCCCAGAACGCGCTGCTCAGCACACTCGCCGTAGAATCACGCGCAGCCAACAGAACGCCGAGAAGCTCGCTGCGGATCTTATCCTGGTCCCGGCAAGCCCCCGCGATCTCAGCTAGGAGATTGTACCGGGTGCCCTTGGTCTGGCCGCGCAGCGCCTCCTGGATGAAGCCGTTGGTGAAGTCCTTGACGGTCTTGCAGGCCTCGTCGAACTTCTTGTCGCGGACGAGCCAGGCGTGCTTGCCGAGCTCGCTGCGCTTCTGCAGCACCTCCTCGGCGTAGTCGAAGGCGTCGAGGAACTTGCGCGCCGGGGACCCCGGGGCGCTGGTCTGGCTGCGCACCGATGTGCCCAGGAGGAAGTCCGTCGCGCTGTCGAGGGTCATGTTGTAGAATAGCGGCTTCAGGTCGAAGGTGACGCCGTCGGCTTTGGGGATGCGCGCGAGGAGATCTTGCGTGTGTTCCTCCAGGCTGTCTAGGTCGGCGACTTGGGCCCTGGTGAAAGCGGGACGGATCAGAGCCTGGAGACATGTTAACTCAGGTTCGACTAAGGCTTTCGCGAGGGAAGCGGAGATGCGACTTAGCGACGGGAATGACTTACTCTGGAGTGCTGCCAAGACTCGCCATCCGAAATGAAAATGCCACCAGAGAGCACGGGGCCGAGGGGAACCTCACGCGGACCGAGCCCGAAGTCGTTAAAATTAGTCGCGAGCATGGCCTTCAGGTTCACGGGATCGCAAGTGACCGTGAAGTGGTTTCCGGCCATGACGAGCGAGCTGGTGTACCCGAGCTCCTTGGCGCGTCGCGTGGTCTCCTTGAGGGTGACGCGGTCGCGGCGCTCGCGCCTGAGCCGCTTCCACGCCGACAAGCCCAGGATGTGCTCGGGCTGGGGCTCGCGCGGCGGCGGCAGACAGCCGTGCGCCTTCTTGAAGGCGCGGATCTCGAGCTGGCGCAAGACGAAGCGGACGACGAGGAGCAGGGCGCCGAGGCCCAGCGCGGCGAGGAGCAGCTGGTTCCTCTTGGACGACGACGACGACGATAAGGTCGTCGCCGCTTTGGTGAACTCTGTGATGGATGCCATGGTACTGTCGGCGGCGAAGGGTGCGTTTGGCATGACCGTCACCTCTGTTACCCAGTTGAATAGTTTTATCTCCACATGGACTGAGACGGTTTTCTTCGAGTCGGCGCCCGTGGTGGGTATATCCATTAACTGTTGCTCGGACAGTGACATCGCGGTCGGGGCCCTTTGAAATCGGGTTTTGTATATTCGTACCCGCTACATTTTCCGCATCCGTACCCCGTTTTAGAGCCCTTTCCCAGGCCTCGAGTTCCCTAATCTGGCGTGCAGCTGCCGCGATTCTGCTGACGTTGGATCCCGACTATAGGGACGAAACGTGCTGCAATTGGCTGTTTCTTCCAATTATAGAAACATCCCATCGATCCATTTCCTAATGCGGCATTTCCTGTTTTGGCAATGCCTATCCTTTACCCATCCCCTTCTAGGAAGTGCTCGAGTAGGCATCTTTTCACCCAACGCTCTATTAATGTAGTCTTGGCTGCCCACTTCTTTTGACCCAATGCATCGTTGAAACATGATCAGGTCCCCAGATTCGCGAGGTCGATAGACCTTTAAGCCCGGTCTGTCCGCGTGTCAGTTTTCAGCAGGATCGCAATCAGCTCATGCTTCTACAATCATCTATCTCAAGAGGGTAAGACAACCCTAAAGAGTTCTCCAGGCATAAGGGGTAATTGCTACGCTTACCTAGGTACATATCGCGGTCGTGTAAGCCGTTTGCCCGTAGGATGCGATAAACTTTTGTTACCACTGTTGTGGGTATTTCTGCATTCTGTACAGATGGATTGGAGTCCATAGTTCCCCTAAACACTTGATTTTTGGCGTTGTAGGGTTTTGTACCCGCTATATCGGTGGTACCCAACGCATGGTCGGGTTTCCACTGTGGACACAATTCAGACAACTCAACATGCCTATCCTTTGCTAATGAGACAGTGAATAGTACTAATTGCTATTGTATGAATTAAGATAACAATGTAAACAACGCTCGACATTGGTAAACTATGGTATATAGTGAATTGCTAAGTAAATCCTTCTAATCATCCTTGCCCGAAATGCCTATGTCCATACGAAATAACACCAGCGACTACGAGATAGCTGTAAGCTCAGTATCTTCTCTGCACGGGTCCTGCATTCTGCCCCGCCATCATCTTCGCCGCGTTCTCCATATCCCCGGACTTTGGCATGTTGATGATCATCAAGTACAAAATAGACTGCGCACATTCGTTAGTATTCTGGTAGAACTGCATGAAATAGTTAGGTAGGTTTGAGTGAACTGATATACCTCTTTTATCTTCCGCTTGCGCGGTCCCTGTTCCCTCTCGGGATGCTTGCGGGCCTTCTTCTCGAACTTCCGTTCTTGCTTCGCTTGCTTGCGCTCGTCCTTCGCCATCCTCTTCGCTTGCTTTTCGCGGTCCTTGGCTGTGAGTTCGACCTTTGGGTCCAGCAGGCCGTTAAGAGCACCCATGGGATTCTTCCTCATCTAGATAGAACATGTGTAAGTTATGGGCGTAGCAGAATGGTGGTTGTGAAGTCTTACGTATTTCCTCTGCGCCTTCATGTCCCTGCGGTCTTTGAACCCTTCGAATGCCTTTCCGAGAGAAGCCATCATTCCTCCTTGTTGCTGTTGCTGGCCGCCCTGGCCTTGGCCTCCTTGGCTATGGCTGCCTTGACTGTCGTCATCATCATCTTCGTCGGACGAATCCTCCTCATCTTCGGGATAGATTAGTTCAGCCGAAATTGGGAAATCAACCGATCCCATGACACCGTCGTGGTTTCGGAATTTCCCATCGTTGCCTTTGGTGTTGATGTTCTGCTGCAGAGTCTTGTCCGAGTTCGGGGCGTAAGCCATGATAAGGCAGTACAGCCCGCGCGGTCGGAAGAGCTCGTCATTCATCTTCGTGAGGTAGGCATTTTGACTAGGGTGGAAAATCGAATAAGCAAAACGTACCTAGTAATCAGACTCTAGGGTTACTTATGACTTACTTCTTACGATTCATGACCTCCTGGTAGACACCAGCCGTCAGTTGCACTGCTATTCCGATGGGAGGTGCTATGGCCGTTGGGATCATGCCGGCCACCCCACCAGCTAAGTTGATGGCGCCTAGCAATGGAGATTGCGTCAACGCTTTACCGAAGCCATCAAGAAAAGCCATGAATGTAGCCTGGTCGATGCCAGCTCGCATCAGATCAGGTGCATAGGCTTTGACGAAACCACGATCACGGGCCTTTGGTCGCCGTTGCGGTATGATAACGGGATACATCAGCGGTCCTGGCGGCATAGGAGACCCCCCTCCGTTCGCCAACTGCATCGCCGATCCCATCCCGGGCCCGGGCCCCGCCCTCGGCGCCGTCATGGGCGGCGCATTTGGGCGCTGGTATTGTTGTTGATAGGGCTGTTGATATGGCTGTTGATTTGGCTGTTGATACGGCTGTTGGTTATAGTTACTATAACCACCTTGACCTCCGTTTCTCCATTGTTCCTCTTGGCCATATGGCTGTTGATACTGAGGTGGCCCCGAGTATTGCGGCGCTTCATATCGATTAGCTTGAATTCACTTCAAAATGGGAATTGATCTGACTCACGTCTTTGATCGTAAGCGCCCATATCGGGCGGATAGCGTTGAAATTGGGAGGATTTAGACATGGTTAGGCTGAAAGTAACATAGAAGTTTCTATGTCAGAAGGTATATGTCGCCAAGAAAGGCAACAATAGTTATTATATAGGGCTGTCTCCTCTGACAGTAAAGTGGGATAGCTGCCAGGTACGTCAGTCTTTCTGTTCTGGGGCATTTTACTTGCACTGCCTCGTATGTAGGGCGCTTGATCATTGCAGCAATGCGACAACTTAGAAGGGCTTAGCTTCTCGTTGGGCGAATCACTGCCTAACTCGTCTCTATTGGAATTGGTCGCATATTAAATCCGCCAGCACTCCATCACACCCTCGGAATAACGCTGACACTGTTATATGGCGCTTCAAGGCCCCCAATAGGTCCGTTCCAACGCGCCAAGAGGCGTGCTTCCTATTTAAGAAATTTATTTGACCAACTGCCGAGGTTGTCTTTATAAGGTGTATCGACGTAGTGAATTACGGAGTATCGTTTGCTTCGAATTTCTATCTTTACAGCGTTTAGACTCGCGTCTATCAAGGTTGAAAGAAGGCGATGAATGCGAGAAAGACCTTTTCCAAGTAATAATGATAGACGATCCCTCGGTTTGATTTCTGGCGACGTCTAACACCGTGTCCAATTACGTGTTGGAGGCCTGAAGGAATACTCAATCACCGAGTGAGTGATATCTAACTTATGGGCTTCGCCCCTTTATGCATTTTTGGTTGACACCACGCTACCTACATACCTCGCATTCGCTTCACCAAATGCGAGATAACTAACAGAAATTACTGGTCGCGTTGTACGCGCGCAAACGCACAACGCAATAATTTTTCTTCTTTCCAATGCGACGTCTAGAATGTCACTCAAAGCACCCGCAACTGGGTTCTCGCCTTTCTTACCTATTCAATTTCACCATTTCCAATGTCAGAAGGCATTGTAGCTCACCTCGCATTCGCCAATCAATATCAAGGCCCATCGCAACAACGTAGCAGCGCGGTCATTCATCCGCGTCATATACATTTTACCCTCCCAACTCGTGATTTGATGCGCTCGTAATAGGTGCATCACGGTAGATTTTCATTGTTACTATTAAGTCTGGATTGACTTTTTTGCCCGTCTTCCTAGAATATCGCTGGTTCTCATGTATAGATCCTTCTCAGGTGTTCGGCGTGCTTCATTCGTCGCATCGGATGTAAGCTATTTCCTCAAGTGACAGAGATCGTCGCCTCCTTGTAAGTCGATACGGCACATGCGTGAGGCTCTATCACACAGGATTAAGCGGCTCATGCAGTACTCTATTGATTAATGATCGCTGTTATATCGAACAATCTTTTCCTATTGTGTTAATAAACCGCGACGTGCGTAAAACCGCCATATCAAAAGATGACTTGTGTCACTTAGGGGAATAGCTTCTAGAACCTGTCGTGTAACCATAATGTCCCTGTCCAATGATTACCTCGCGCACCGTATCTCGAGATGGAACTCTTCCTGACGAGATATGCATTACCTAGAAGGTAAGACTAACAGGACGAAACGACAGATAACCATGCCATATTGAGCACGAACACTCAGATCGACATTACCGAATGGAAGAAAGCGGCAGCCATAGCCTCTATTCCCTAAAGCGTCGATCTCGAATGTTTCTCCGCATCTTCTGTACTAAGATCTGAGATTTGGCTCGAAGGCATATTCCGTGTTAATATTCGCAGATCTATATGGTATCCCGCTTTGAAACAGACAGTATACTCCCGCATTGCCGTCGTTTTCGTGAAACCCGAGGCGCAGCGCAGTGGACGCATTATCGACGGGGATCTTGCTGTCGTTTCCGGTGATCCCTTCGGCCGTCCTTTTGCAAAGCACAGTTCGGTCGACCCGGTCGTAGTCGGTGATACCAAGCGGGATGATACGGTCTCTCGGTCCCGATACCATCGTCAGGTCGCATCCCGAGGCAGAGATGTTTACCTAGGTCAAGTTGAAACATACCAAACCAAGCCATGTTTACTATGGCGCATGTACGCATAGATGAGGCGGGTTTCAAATTACTTACCGTACTTACGAAACAAATGCATGGCTAGCATGGCTAATGGCGCCAGACGGGCTGCTTCGTTTCCGTACCAGCGCCCAGCTGCCCATGGGGATCTGCAAAGGAATCGTCACCAACCCTGCGAGCAGTGCCGGCTTATGGGCCATTATGTAGCCTTGACACGTTCGATCTCATCTCTCGTTGGTAGAAGGAATAAATAATCAACTGGGGCCTCGGTAGATATTAGGAGATCTGATTTGCAGATTGCTTATAGATTGCCGAACGCCTTTTACAAGGTTGCATGATCGTCAGATCGTCAAATCCTAAAGCTTCATCCCAGTATGAAGCCCCCAAATTTAGCAGCATTTTTCAATGCTAGTTCACCCATGCCTTGAACTAGAAGGATTCGGTAGTCCTTGTCTAGTTTCAAGCCGTCTTACTCATACACTTGTTTAGGTAGTAAACTGGTTTCCTTCCTAATTAGGAACTGTTGATTAAGCTTAACGGCTTTTGTAGATCCTACCCTCGTTCCGGTACTCCTCTTGGAGGCCAAGACTGTATTTCCATCCCTTAGCTCCCGCAAGATTTAACGAATCGGAATTGCTACCATGTCGTCGCCAAGGCATCTCCTCAGCACAAGAACTCGACACCCTTGACCTTTCGAGCGGCACATCTCACAATATCTTAACTCGATTACGCCCGGTTGCGTAAAATTAGCCTTGGCACAACATTCTTCAACGAAAAAAAACTTCTCTCAAGATGCGTACTCTCATGCTTCACGGTCACAGCACCAGCTCCTTTATCTTTAAGGCGCAGTCAGGTTAGCATTTGCCAAGGCCACCTAATTAAATTATCGCACTCGCGGCTAATAGTTACGTGCCAGGTCCTTTCCGAGCAAAGCTGGGCAACTCGTTTCAGTGGGAGTTCATTGATGGGCCCTACAGCTGCCCGCCACCCCGCGGCCTGAAAATGGTCATGTGGAAGGCGTACAAGTGGATGGAGAAGCCTGGCGTCGAGTCTATCAAGAAATCCGTTCAGTGGCTGCAGAACTACATCGATAAGCACGGTCCTTTCGACTGCGTCTGCTGTTTCTCGAAATCCTCTTCCGTAGTGGTAGCTCTCTTACTCTATCATGCTCGCGAAGTTGCCAACGGCTCCCAGAAGCCGCTCCCATTCAAGTCGGCCGTTTTCATCAACGGAAACCTTGAGTGCTCTGTCCTAGAAGACCTCGGATTGCCCGTAACACAGGAGGCGAAGGAAATCGAAAGGAAGGTGGAAGATATGGTCAAGTCCAAGGTCGACGCGATGTCGAACCTTGCCAGCAGCCTCGTTAAGCCGCAAGGGCTCTGGGACGACACGAGCCAACTTCTGCACGACCCCGATGAGCTACCGGAGCCGTCTGACTGCTTCGGTCTCGACTTTACGTCGTTCCCTCCCGATGCTTTCATCAGCATCCCAACCGTCCACATGTACGGTGGAAAGGACCCCATTTTCACTTCCAGCATCCAGCTGGCTTACCTCTGCGACCCTCAGAAGAGGGTAATGTACGACCACCAAGGTGGACATGACGTACCGAGGACCCCTGACGTGGTTGCTGATATGACTTCCGCCTTCAGGAAACTGGACCAACAACTGAAGGCGCCGGCGGCTTGAGATTGCAGATTTGAATAAAGCACGTTTTTTTCCAACGGTATGGGCATGCTAGGAGCAATAGAATACGGATAGATCATTTGTTAGATAGTCAATTCAAGACTTGTCGGTTTTTTTTCTCTTAATAAAGAGCAATAATTTGCGCCCATAAGCCCCGGATCTTTGTAAGCAGATGTATGAAAACAGCTACTTCTCGATCCCGCACCTGTATACTTAAGACTTTACGGGGACCTGTCAGAATTAAATCTCATCTGGAAACCTGGGGATCCTTGTTCAAGTAAAGTTGAGCTTGGCTATTCCGGCTAGATTGGGCTAGTTCTTATTTGTCATAAGCAGTTGTAGTAACATGGTTGCGTATTCCGTATTGGGATATCAGGGGAAATGGCGGAGATGGCCTAGAACAGGTCTGGCCCACCTGGGAATTCCTATCTAAGTATATGGAGGCTTTGAATAAAGTTACATTTATCCTGAGATTCAAGTAGGACTTAAAAATTGAGTGGTATTCTGAGTATATTACGTATATTACTCGCTTAGGTAGGTATAGAGGTAGGTACTTGGAATACTCGAACCGACCTGTTCTCTTACCTTGGACTTCACCACAACCAATATGAACTATATGAGAGCCATTTAGCAACCGCTCATGGAATACCTCGGAGTTTCCCACCAGAGAGCTATTTGCTATATTCAAAGGGGCCTTGAAAGGGTTCAAGTGTTACCACCTAGCGAGACACCTAGCAGTGATCCTCACAGCCACACGTAAACAGGCTTCTACTTATGCATAGACTCTCTAAGACATCTCCTTTCCGCCAGATTAACATGACATCAATATTATGAATAAATGAACTGCTTTTTATAATTACTATGCGAATGAACTCTGACTCAGACCTCCGAAGTATGAGCTTGCTCATCTATACGAACTTCCAAAGGTCAAATAAACTTGATTAGCGTATGACTCCCTATTATGATATACTGTTTATACACGTATTTATTTAGATTAAGCATAAGTAACCTAGCAATAAAACTATATATCAGTATAAAGAGTATAAGTTCTGGTAAGGCTGCGACCGAAGTGATCCTCAGCCCAATTCCATACCCATTCTTCCAAGAGTTACTGATGACAGATGATGGCACAACCTTACGTTCATAAGCCGTTGCCCTCATCGCGGTCGTTAGGCTTCTCTCTCTAGCTCCCTCGGTGAATCGCAATGCGCCAATACAATGCAACATCACCATCATAGAACTTCAAGGCCAGTCAGCGAAGGTGCCATACGAAGCCTTGTCATATGTGTGGGGCTCTCCGACCGACACGGTACCAATTCGGTGTAATGGTATGGAACTTTTTGGTGACGCCGAACTGTCACGATGCTTTACGCCACTTACGGTTCCGGTTTTCTAGACGCAAAGTGTGGATAGACGCCATCTGCATCGACCAGCGAGACAATGATCGCGCAACTCGAGAACGCAATGCTCAGGTACAGATGATGGGAGATATATATGAAAACGCCTCAAGGGTTATTATCTGGCTTGGTCTAGCTCACCCACCTACCCCTAGAGTATTTCGCCTGATTAGAATCGTCGGCCTCACTGAATACTGTCAGGAGAGATACAAGTTTGCGCAGATTCCGGCGAAGCCAGCCTTCGAAGAATTCTCGCGCCGCCTCCAAGGTACCTTGGAGAACTGTCTTGATGTTGATGGTTATTTGCTAACAGTATAATAGCCAAGGACGACAAATCAAGGAGGTACATTGAAGGGCTGCGATACCTTCTAGAGAATAGATGGTTCTCTCGCGTATGGACGATGCAGGAGGTTGTATTCGCCCGAAAATGTGTTATCCTTAGCGGTGATAGCCAACTATACTGGGAGCTCTTTAACCTGACAGTGGGAGATATAGACAATTCTATTGCGGATAGTGAGCCAATACTGCTCACGATCAGCAGAAGTGTCACTGGCACTCAAATCCAAAGACACAAAAAGGCTGTGGTGGGTCAAATGGCAGAAACGCCTCTCATTAGCCGGGGTAGAATGTCATTAAGCTCGAAACGGGCTTTTGAGGCCATGGACGAGTACTGGACGAGGGCACTAGGATATATATAATGCTCTATTCCCAAGTTAAGATTTATGGTATGTACTCAATCTTCAAGGCCACTGGGCTTGAGCTGCCAGATGTCGATTACAACAAGAGTGTTCAAGAGGCATACGGAGATATCGCCAAGAGCTTCATTAAAACCCATGGTCGCCAACTTTTTCCAATATGGACGCCTAACTGGAAAATGGCCCATATGCCGGGGCCAGACATTGTTGATAATACTGGAAACTTCCCCTTCGAGGGCAAGAACTTCCGCGCTAGCGGTGATAACTTAGCAAGCATTCCAAGCTTCACGCCCACCGAAGAGCTTCGAGTTATTGTCGTAGGGGATGTGCGGTCAATTGTCGTGTCACATACAGCCGGAGGACAACCCGATGTGGTCGGAAGAAAGGCTTTTTCGCTCAACTTCGTTCGTGCGTGTCATGATTGGTTTGTCTGGCTGAGTTCGGTCTGGGAGATAGAGACATACCAAGGCGAGGGAGTGCTTATAGAGGCACTAACAAACACAGCAGCCTTTCACAAGATTTTCGAAGCAGGGGAAGACATCGATCCCGAAGAATGCAAACAGCTCGAGGCGCAGTTCCATTGCTGGACCGACGTTTTCATGTAGCCTAATTGCGACGTGATTACGGCTCGAGATGTGGAAGTGGTTGCTCAACTAGAACCTAGCTCGGCGGACAATATGGAAATCATAGAAGGTGCTCTAGATCTTGCTAAGATTATATCATCAAACGACGCTGTGTCCGACGATGCTAAGAAAGTTTTGTTGGGTGCAGGCTGGTTTCACTCTCAGGTCTGCTACGAGCTAGCTAATTGGGCCTTTCTATTTCTTGAAACTGGGCGTATCGGTAAAGCGTTTTTCAACTGTACCTAGGGAAGTCCATAAAGTTGCGCTCCTGGCCGGATCAACCGCCCCCTACCTACGTATTAAGAGAGGTTGGAGATAATCGTTACGAAGTCGTCGCGCCAGCATATATTTACGGAATCATGAACGGGGAACTATGGCCTGCTAGTGAATAGGGGACAAAGGACATCGTATTGGTATAAAGCGCTTATGAGACGAGCACTCAGGGGTTCCATACGCGATGGTATAATTGCCTAAGAACATTTTAAATTTTTCTTTTTTTCTCTTATTCGAACTCGATTTCTATCTATGGGAGGGATAAAGTAGCTCTTACACTCGGGAAATAGCATTGAAATGAAATTCTTCTAAGAGCAGGAGCAAACTGGCTCTCCAGTGTTCCAGACCCACACGATATTATGGTAGAGATGACCACCACTTTAGTAAGAAAGAGTATTCCCTGAGGCTTCATCAAAGGGTAACATTCTCATTACCCATAATATTATCATCCTAAGAAAATTTCTGTCTGCCCAAGACGATCTTCGAAAACATTTTCTCCGGAGTCTAATGTCCCATTTTACGACAAAACAGAACTCCGACGATAATACCGCCACAGAATATATTAACCCTTGGTTGGTACGGAATGTTACCTTACCTACCTATCCATTGATACTATCGCCCTCTGCCCGAGAACAAAATTCAACAATCCACAATGATTAATTACATCCCTCTGACTACCTAGCAGTTGTTCCAAGCTAGGGGCTAGGAGAAAGAACACATCTAACCACCCGCAGAATCTTTTTTTTTGATCAAAAGGGAGTATTACCTGTAAACCGGAACATTATGAGTGCGAGTATCGCAAGATAAAATAGACGTAAAATTATGCTTTAGATTCTAGATCTAGCCTCCTAGGTTATATGAAGCTGTATTCTGCCCTTTAATCTTTATCTGAAGACAATTGTCAGTTGAAGGGATAATCATAAACGAGGTTAGGCTACTAGATAGCTAAGCAGTTGCCTTCTTCTTGGGACGGACTTAAATGCATGCAATCTCCACTTGATGGCAGTCTCCGTCGTCATGTGTCATAAAACATTGTCACATTCACAGCCGCATCATGCCATTCCATGAATCTGTAGCACTTTGCAGGCTGTCAAAAGCAAATGAGTGGCTAAATATCTTTAAAATTTGTGCTTTTTCTAGACGGGTCACATTGAACGGGCGCTACTGCGATCTCATTAGTCGATCCTTTCGCGAGGGTACCATCAGCCCTACATTTCATTCTATTCAGCTTTTAAACATGAAGTGGATCGGAAACTTACCTTGACAGCACGAAATTTGATCGGCCCTGTAGCTTTCAGCAAAACGTGCCGTTACATTTCAGGTGAAATCGATCTGAATTTGGAGTAGAGTTCGTAATCTGAACGCCTGAAATTAAAATTCCCCGAACCACCATATTCTTGCGGACTATCTACACACTACAAGCCAATATTCACGCCTTCGGGGTACTACCCTTTCACCGAAGCCTTGCGACGTTAAGCATTACAGAGGCCATCTTCACAAGACAAGAAATTTCCCGATAGTAATCCTATAAGTAGTATCGGCGCTGAAACCGAAAGCCGATTTCTCCCATATTACCTAGGTAAGGCTGGACTTTATAATAATATTGTATCGATTCGCGAATATATTAACGTTTAACTACACCGATAACCTTAAACTACAAAATATACAAAATAAAGGGGTAGCTTTATGGTGAAATATGGCCCGTGCGTCACTCCTATTTGAGGTATTGGCAGTCACGTTTAAATGAACACGTTTTTGATGATTTGAACAAAGAGATGATTTCTATTTTGACTACGTTGTAACTCCTGAGGATTTAGCTGCCTATCTTCCAAGCACTTACTCGGAGAGACTATTCTATAGATACCTAGGTAAGTTGCGAAAGAGGTTCGTCTAGGGCCATGGTGATCCACACTGACTTCAATGCCCATAAAAATCTAACGCATCTTTTCGGCCTGTTGCTAATTACCGAATTCCCTATCGTCGGCCCTGCTGCCGCCCACTGATAACCCTTCCCGACCTATTCATCGCTGGCGCTATAGTCACCCTCTGTTTGCTTACGTATAACAGCAAATCCAGTAACTTTGGCAGCGCTCGAAAGGTTGCGTACAGACTCACCCAGGTCTTCCCTCACCTCAACATCGAGGACGGCAATAGGCATGCTGGCGAGCTCTTCAAGTAGCTCAGTGATAGAGCTACGAGAGCTGCTAAGGACTGTGCCTGATGTTTCGAAATCCGGGCCGAAATCCGGATCGAAATCGACGTCCTTGTTTGTTGACGGATAGGAATAGGTCTTCTATGTCGATCATATTGACGGTGCCGAAAGACTTCTTTCAGACAAAAGATACTTGCATAGATGTGTGTGGGGGTTATGCTATGAGATTAGATAGGTAGGTACCTAACGTAGGTATCCACAGGACTAGCCTGGGTTAGGTGTAGTTGGTGTGGATCGCCGTGCCTGTGGACGAACCGTACGAAAGGGATCATTATTTCCGTAACACAGCCGTCCCCCCGCCATTTCGGGAAGGATTCCATGGTTCTGTGAGAATATATCGTATCCGTATGATAAAAGAAAAACTAGCTGATGATGTGAGCTCGACCGCCTACGAACCTAGGTACCTAGCAAGTAAGTACTTAGACTAGCAGGATCTAGAATCTAACCCTTGGCAAGAAATTGTATGTGGTAAGATGCTTTATCGTGTTAGTTGAAGTTTGGTAAGTGGCTTTGTTAGTGATTGAATGGCATGTGTCCAACCGAATGTGGAAGCCTTGGGATATGCCTTTGGACGAAATAGTGCATGTTGTTGTAAGAACTAGATGAAAGAGTTCGCAAACTGTTTGTGACAGCCCCCAACGGCAATAAATAGTTTGCCAATTCGTCACCAACGGCATGCAAGTCAACTTGAAAATAGTCCCGCGTGTTGTTGGTGGCTGACTAAATCAGCTCTCGTCCATCGAATATGACATATGTGGCTTAGCGATAGCGCAAGACAGACAAGCAAAAGCGGTCAGGCAATTTGCGGAGTAATCGGCAGCATGATGTCGGTGAGATATGATTTGCTGATCTGCAGCTGAGTACCGAAGAGTTGCGAAGGGTTCGGAGTTCCAATTTGATGACGCGAGAGAGGTTAGGGCTAGCCTAGGACTGACTATTGCAAGGGTTTGGCCCACGCGTCAACCAGATGAACACCAAGTTCGGTACAGATTAATGGACCCCTACATATATCACACCCTTTATGTGCTGGGATATTTTCTTTAGCATGCCCTAACGGATCCGAAGATCGTGTTTGATCCGGATTGTTTCTCGGTAAACTCGCCATGTAGAATGTCTGGTTGCAAGTAGTAAATAGGGCTATCAAATGAGACAGTATGAGACTTCGTCTATGCTTGTCACCGAGAGAGAAAAGCATCGCCGATGTTTATGTAAGCTAAAACAGCGGAACTTCCGCTCATTAAGTGAGCGATTTCTAGAAACGCCGAGTCTTCCCCATCCTTTCTAATCCTGTTTGATATTGGTGGTTCTTCTTCGCAAGCACTGACGACGCTTTCTTAAAGTACCTAGTACCTACCTTCTTATATATGATATTATCATCAGTGGTCTCTATTACATAATATGGCTACCCCTTGCTATTGTCCCTGCAATACGATAACTCTCCTCTCATGACGTTTAATGTATTATAAGTAGCAGTATGAATCCTTTTGAACATGGGCCCAAGAAAATACACATCCATAATTCCTGCTTCACTACACCTACCAGTAGTGTTCCTGCTCTTAATCAAATAATTATATGGCCCAATAATTCTATGGCGTACCTCTTACCTGACAGCTGAGGCGAGGAATCTGAATGGTCTGACATTACAAGGATTACACTGCCCCCGGTTACCCGGACCTTTAAATGTTACACAGTTCCATCAACTCTTACATATGGTTCGGCGCTTAGGGCTGGGTTTGACATGTTTCGTCAACTCCCCTTTCAGTGTTATCATTGGCGAGTTTCACAAGAAAGTTGGTCAGGTGTCATATTCCCATTGCTGTATAATGCATGCGTCAGGTGTAGATCAACCTTGCATGCCTAGATATGGATTTACTTTGCATAGAACAAGAACGAGGAAGCGGAATCAAGTCGCACGAAAATGTATGAAAGTAGGAAACACAGGCATTGTAATCTTACCTAAAAATGTTACATCTTATTTTTAAAACATATGTACCTACCCACTATGTAATGTCTTAGTATTCCTTAGCATATTAACTTACTACTATAAACATGTTCCCGTGACATCGTGAGCGGGAGGTCTTCCTATTTAGGAGTATCGCTATCTTGGAATCCGTGATTTTACAGCGTAAATTTTATGCCGGACCCGGAAAGCTTGACACAACGCAATGACAGTGGGGTGGAGGATCCACAGAGATCTGTTCCTCTTGATCTGCTCCTTTTTTGGCTTACTTTACGTTCAGTGTTCAGTCCAGTCTATTAACGCGAGGTAATATCAAGCAAGGCGCAGCGATAATAATCCTCTATCTAATGGAATACGTTGCTCTGTAACGTTGATCTCTATAATTGATACGAATGCTTCCATCTATATACCAATGAAGGGTTTTTAACCCTTGTCTGTCCTTTCTGGGCCTTACCTGCTTGGTGGGGTTATGCTATGAAGCTTACTATCTTCCGTAATGATAAGAGTATACTCAGCTGCTTAGAGTTCTTAGAACTCGGGAGGATTCTCTCGGGTAAACCTGTTAGGCTTATAGCGACGAGACCGACTCATCCTACAGTCACCGTAGGTCTCGTAGGCCTGCGAAATTCAACCATTCATTGGATCCCGATCTTGGTCCCTGGGAGGCCCAGCCCTCCCGAAGGATCGTCGCCAGCTTTTCTCTCACCTCCATCTACAATGCAGCTTTCGGAAAGGTTCCGATGAATCGAGGTAGGCTCGTGTACATAGCCGGTTGCATCTGATGACACAACAGCCTCCTTTGGACCAAGACAGACCCACAGGTACCTGATTTACGGTAGCAGGAGGCAAACCCCATAGCTGCAGAACTCACGAATAGCTGACCCATAATGCTCTTTGGGCCACGGGAGCCTCTTGGTTACCAGTACACTCATGCACATGTACTTAGGTTGCACTCGGTTGAAGGATGCAGCCTTGATTGTAACCGAATATGTCACACTTGGGATGACACTGCCTAGTGATGTGTTGGTCTAAATCTTTCTGAGTTAGACAGGATTGCCTGCACTAACACTAAATATCCCAAGGGCCGGTTATGTCTCACGATGAGATCGAGAGCTTATATAGAGGCCCACACGGGCCCCTAGGTTGATGTGCGTAGGGATTCTCCCTGGAAAGAAAGACCAATTCATACGACGATCTCCTGCCGTTGGTTATCTGGATTTACTTATCTCTTACATTATGGCTCCAGACATCGACAATATCTGGTCGTCGACCACAGATGCGGCTGAGAGCCCCGTCGACGAGCGCAGAATCCTCCTCAAGAGAGCCGTGGGCCAAAAGATCCTAGTCCCTAGCATCTTGTCTCTAATGCCGGCATGGCCTAGTCAAGTGCACCCAGCTGTTGATGAAGTCAATACGGAGATAGATAAGTGGCTCCCGACGTAAGCTAAATTTTACAATCCTCAGAATATAGGCAATTCCTTTCTAATGATATAATAAAGTGTCAATGTTGCCGAGAAGAAGAAGGCGAAGCACCGCGCTCGTGGGAACTACGCATTCCTTACAGCCGTGTACTATCCCTACTGCAAGGAGACGGAGCGTCTTGTTGTCATAACAAAATTCCTTTATTGGGTACGTTTTCTAGGTCCATTGTGAATCCAAATGACACTGACAATCCGACATAGATATTCTTCTGGGATGATGGTGAATACAACGCCACGAGTAAAAGCTTTGTAGCGGTAGACTGACTTCTGATTAGAGATTGACACGGGAGGAGAGCTCACTGAGGATGAGGAGGGTACTATCCAATGTTGCGAAGAGACGAACAAGTGTGTTGATGACTGTCTCGGCCCCAACCCTAACTACAACCCCCCTCCAAACTCCCGGGGAACGGTTGAGATGTTCTACCCCATCTTAAGAGATTTCCGAGCTGGTCTCGGGCCGGTCTCCACGGAAAGACTTCGAATCGAGCTCCATGACTATATCAATGGTGTCGCAAAGCAGCAGAAGGTTCGTCAAGGGGAACGCTTACCAGACCCCTGGTATCACTTCAAAATCCGGTCGGATGACGTTGGAGTCATTCCAAGCATTACGCAAAACGAGTATGCCATGAAATTTGAATTGCCCGAGTATGTTCGCAGACACGAAGCAATGGAGGAAATTGTCCAAGAGTGCACCAAACTTACCGTCCTACTCAATGATGTATTGTCTCTACAGAAGGAATTCGTATGTTCTATACCCCCTGAACCGGAGCACGAGTCCACACGGCTAACAGTGAACCCCCCAACCACCACAGCGCGATTCACAGTTGGAGAATCTCGTCCTCCTTTTCATGAACAGGTATAATCTGTCACTTCAAGCCGCCGTCGACAAGGTCCTCGATCTCATTCGAGAGCACTACGCGATTTGCGTCGCGGCCGAGAAGAGGCTTCCCTGGAGCGAAGATGACGAGAAGTTGAATGATGACATCAGAGAGTATGTCCGCGGCTGCCAGAGATTGGCTACCGGTACTGCGTATTGGAGGTATGTGCTGCGACGCTGAAACGAACCAATAGCAGGTTGACTAATTGATGACAGTTACTCATGCGAGAGATACTTCAAGCAGACGCAGGTAAATGATAAATGGGAGGTACTATTGGATTTGTCATATGTGGAATGATTATTTCGAGGCGCAATGCCAATGTCAGCATTTCAGGGGGGCATTTTGACACGTCATAAGAATAGTGTATTTTTATTCCCTACCTGATAGTTCCTCATGTTTGCCCCTCGAGTAATGAAAGGTGCCTAAACTGAACGACCTTATTCCTTCTTCGGCATGTAGTTAGAGAGAATATCATTCCAATTGAACCAAAAAATAATTTTTACACAGGTTTTATCTATATTTATTTAATTTTTTTAAACAAGAAACGCCCCTTTTTACTTCTTCGGCTCCAGAACCCCCGCCTCCAACACCTCCTCATCAGGCCAGCCCATCTTGATCGGGACCATCTCCCGCGTCTGGTCGAAGTGCACGCTCCCATATCTCAAGTAAGCCGCAAAAGTGCCGTCCTCATTATCCTTACCGTGGTGCTCTGCCGAGTCCCACAAGTCCGCGAGGAACGAGTCCAAGGCACCCGGGGGGCCGTGCGACAGCTTCATAGTAGCCGTGTTGGCGAGCGCATCATGGACGAAGTTCTCGGCGGCGTGCCAATTCTCGTCCTTGACGACGCCCTCGCCCTTGCGCTTCGTCGATAGCAGATTGAACTGCTTGGTGCCCGACCATTCCGTTACTAGCTGGAAGTAAAATGTCTCCTGCAGCGCCGAGCACAGGAACATCTTATTCGAGTAGTACTCGGGACCGTTAAACCCATCCGACGGGTCGATGAGCTTGCGCAGCCGTTCGAAGCTCATGATTTGGGACATGTAATCGGTGAACTGCTCCATGACGACGTTGAGGCCTTGCGGTGGGAGATTTAGCTTGTCTATAGGCGGACAGAGCATTGGTAGGTGTCGCAGTAAGGGATGCTTGTGGAAGCCCTGGACATTGGTCGCGCCGTCCCAGAGTTTCTTGAAGATCTCAAGCCAGCGCTTGATAAATGGATTACCGCGCTTCGCGGCGATAAAGCCGTTCAGCATAACCTCAACCCCTGGGCGCATCTCGATCACGAAACCCGCCATCTCGTACGGAGACTCGGGGTCCTCGATCTTATTCCAGCAAATGTCTTCAACGTGGCGGAACAGGAATGAACCAGCATCGATCCAGATGCCCCCGTAAAGCCAGAGCAAGGGGAGACGAACGAGATCTCCCGAATGCTGGCCGACCGTAGGGCCGTCCATCGTGTTGTTGTTGAAGCATTCGGGGAAGAACGAGCTGTCGACATAATGGCTGACATTCGTCGCAGATCCGTCTACTCGGTCTAGTAAATGCACAGTCCAATCCGGACCCAGTCTGCGAACCCAATTGATGATGTTCCGCTGGACCCAGGGCGGCATGTTTGTGTACCCATTATGCCAGAACGCCCAGACGTTCTTGTCCGACGTGACGGGATGGCGAGTCTGGAGCCATGCAGCGATCTCCTCGTCAGTGCGCCGGTCGAGCCTGTCCGTCGGGATCAATTTCAGCCCTGGAGGCACTCCAGCGCTGCTTGTGTCTGTGGACGTGATACCCAGCTGTGGGGCTCCCTCCATGACCGAAGGTACCATTGTCCCTCGGAAGCGGAGGCGGCTACGAATCAATTTCAGAAATGATGTTGTCACCGCAGCGCTTGTTACGTGAGACCTGTCACACTTCCCATTGCCGCACAAGGGCACGGGGTACGAGGCCCGAGGACGGAAAAGGCATCCTACATAAATATTCCGAAAATTTGCATCTTCGAGACACTAAAAGCGACACTTACGTCGCCGTAATGCGGAATGCTGGGGGCGCGGCGGACGTGAAGACCGACAGGTTCCAGTTAGCCATGAACCAACCCGGAGATGTCGTAGTCGCCTAGGACCGCGAGCAGGCCATTTAGTCCGCTAGTGGCGTTCCCATTTTCACCCCTTGACCCCGCATGAGAACCATGTCAACAAGGGATCGGAATGGCAACTGAGGTACATGACCACCTTACTATGTAGTCATTATAGGAAATCTATTGCGACATGCGCCTATGCCTGGGAAGTAATCGTAAGGATCGTTGGTGGTGACATGTTAAGAGTGCATCGAGAATAGTTGACACTTGGCAAGTTGCCAGGTACCTAGCGACTTCGTGTTATTATCTTCCTTTCAAACGCAGTGACATACCGACCCTAGGGCATTGATGTAGGTACCTACATAGTAGAATTCTAAAATCCATGCGGCCTACATTGCGACCGGGCTCTCTCCCGACCCAGGCTTACGGGTTCGCGCGAGATAACAGCCCTCCAACTCTCAATTGGGGGGCCGCAGTGGTAGTGGTGGGGGATCGTCTGCCCATGCTCATACGTGGCACGGCCCAAGGTCCTGCAGGCGGAGTTGGTCAGCGGAGGCACATCATGATATTAGTGGAGGATTCCGCCTAAGGCATGTGACGTTGCAGCGCCGCAACGTGCTCACCGGGGATTCTGTCTGCCAAGGTAGTAGGGCGATAGCACGCTACTGCATGGACTAGGTAGGCTGGTAGGATCAACGATCCTTCAGCGGACAGGAACCCTGAATATCATTTGCTTAGGTGAGATGACGGCGAGGCTTTACCCACGCGGGGGCTCCTCCGATGCGTGTATCCTTGCCTGCTTATTTGTAGATCGGCTTATTAGGTGGCCCTCGTATGTGAGAACTTGGCAATGGGAGTCTCGAGACGGGCAGCGCAGGCAGATTGCAAATCCATACTCTTCATTCCCTAGCTCACATCGGTGTAGTTTTGACTACCTAGGTAGAGATGGCATCTCTTCACTTGCCGACAATTTGGGCGTCCACACTCACGGCGGCGACCATCTTCATCGTCGCTGTCCTCTCCAAGTGGCTTCGAAAACCGAGGTCGTTCGACGTCCCAATTGTAGGTGCTGAGTCTGGAGATCTCAATGCACTCAAGGCTCGATATGTGCAGGAAGCAGACGCGCTTTTGCGTGAAGGATATGAAAAAGTTGAGTTTCCGATATGGCGACTTGGGCGTGGCGCCGGCGAAACGAACTCTGGCTGATTCATTTTAGTTTAAAGATGCAATCTTCCAAGTCATCACTCCCGACGGACCTAGAGTTTTCCTACCAAGGAAATACGCGCACGACTTGAAAGATTATAGCCGTCATGAAGCGAGTGGAATGAAGGCTTTGGCTGATGTGAGTTTTCTTTCGGGCGAAGCTCGACTGCGGTGTCGATGATTAACGGAATCATTTCTAGCGCCATATCGGCCATTATACCACCATTGACCACGAAAGCGATATAATGTTGGGCGCAATCAAAATTGATCTCAACAGGAACCTAGGCACGTTTGTCGGCGATGTCGAGCACGAGGTAGCATTCTGCTTCGAGACTCAGTTCCCAGCATGTGAGGGTATGGCCCTTCAATTTCAAACCGAATGTCTTGGTGGTGAAAGTTGCTAACGAATTTGGTAGATTGGACACCAATTGACCTCCACGATAAACTCCTCCGCGTTGTGGCACAGGCTTCGGCTCGGATCTTCGTCGGTTATCCCATGTGCCGAAACGAGGAGTGGCTGGACTGCAGCACAAAATTTGCCCTGGATGTCATGACAGGGGGCGAGAAGTTGAAGCAATGGCATCCGTATCTACGGCCCATCGCCCAGTATTTCGTGCCCGAGATGACGCAAATTCGCGGAGACCACCAGCGAGCTCTCGAATTGCTTTTACCTGAGCTTAACAGGCGACTCGCGGAACCCGCAGATCCAGACTCGTCGCCCCACAATGACATGATCCAGTGGATGCAGGATCGCGCACGGAAAACCGGAGACAATTCCTTTGATAATAAGGAGCTGGCTAACCTCCAGATGCTCACCGCGACAGCTGCCATACACACCACGCGTCTTGCTATTATCCATGCTCTGTATGACCTCGCAGCTAGGCCGGAATACGTGGAACCTCTCCGAAAGGAGATACTAGAAGCGACTAAGGACAGCAAAGGCGTCCTTCAAAAACAACATCTCACGCAGATGAAAATGCTAGACAGCTTTATGAAGGAGTCCCAAAGGCATAGTCCGCCCTCGGTCGGTAAGTTGATCTAAATTGCTTAACTAGGTACTGAATGGTCATTTCATATTGATGGATTACATAGCTACATACCAACGTAAAGCTATGATCCCTATCACTCTGTCGAACGGCTTCCATATCCCTGCGGGTACTATCGTGCAGTGCAATACCAACATCCTGGATGAGACCCCACCGGATTGGGGAGACCCTCACGCCTTCGACGGATTCCGATTCTACAAGCTCCGTAATAGAACGCCCGATGATATCAACAGATTCCAGTTTGCGAGTCCGACGTACGATAGTATGCAATTCGGGTTCGGGAAAGACGCATGCCCAGGTCGATTCTTCGCCAGCAACCAGATCAAGATTATTCTCGCCTACATCCTCTCTCATTATGATATCAAATTCGAGGATAGTGTCGTCGGAAGACCTAAGAACTTTATGTTCGAAGTTAACGTCTTGGCCGACCCCACAAAGATGGTGTTATTTAAGAAGATTCGATAGGACTGTAGGTAGTAAAGGATATAATAGTATGCTACTAACACAACCTCAATATTTTTTGCATCTCAGTGGATTCTCATTTTATTGTGACTGCTAGTTTCTTAGGGATAGCTAGCTCCTATTCCATTAACCCGTTACGACAAAGGCCGTAGTGTGAGTTTCGATTTTATTTGCGTTAAGGCCCATTCAATTCTGGTTTAGTGTCTACCTCAGCACTTCGCTCTCGGTAGATAAGTCGGTATCAGGTAAGGAGGGAACGTTTCGAAATGGTTCTTTCTAGGTTATAACCGGGAACGAATTTACCAATAGGCATCATCTTGCTGAAGAGCCAAAGGCATTAGCGGAAACAACGTCGGGTCCCTTCGAGTGCGGATCGGGTGCGGAGGGACACCCCATTAGGGGCCATCAAGCCGAATAATAGTGAAGAGGGACAGGGGAGGTGTGGCATTTAATGAGACGCAGTACTGAAACTCATCATCGGTTGCCGCTCAGCAACCAATTCTTAGAGCGAGAGCCATTCTACCACTCTTGGCCGGGACGAGCACGACCTTGGTTGCGCCAGACTTCATCGTTCTGCTCGTCATCTCGTGGGTCGTGACGGCGTGCCTTGCCCAAGTCGGGATGGCTGGCGTCGTCCGCGACAGAAGACCGAAGCTTCTTAGACTTCTTCTTCGATGGCATGGGAGCTGTAACCCGATGCGGGGCCGGGTAGTGCGCAAAGCGACAGTCCTTCTGGCTTTTAGTGCACCTTCCTCCATCTGCCCAGAAGTGGCAGATTAGAGGGTGCTTAACACCCCCAGCGACGTTGTCGTGGTAGAAAGGGCATTTGCCCTGGTCGTGTTCACGGCACGAGTAACCGTCGGTAAGCCACCACGGGCAGATTATCTTAAGCTCCTTAGAAGGAGCACTAGGGCTGGCCTGGGCCCGGAAAGTCTCAGGAGGCTGCACTGCCTCAGTCCTGGTCAAGGTCAACAAATGTCCATTAGCTATGAAGGTTGGTAAAGAACTTACGATAGGTCTGCTCCTAGACCCAAGAGATCATGCGACTGGATGGAGACAGGTGTCTCCTTTCCGGGACGGGGCAATCCGGCGGGAATCTCTCCCATGTCCACCCTCTTGCTTTGGGTGGGAATAATCGAGGTAGACCCCGTGTTAGTTCCCGTCATAATACCCGTGTTGGAGCCCGGGTCGGCACTGAGAAGAGCCATGATCTCTTCATGAGTGGCGCTGGAAATTCGACCAGCGCCAAGCAGAATTCCAAGCCCCTGCAGGAAGACGTCATTAGCTTTTATCTTCATTGGGTATGTGGCAGTGTTGATAGATGGGCAAGACTTACAGTGAATACTTGGGCCATGCCCTTGCTAACTAGATCGGAGGACATCTTGGTAGTTTCCGTTAAACTACAATAAGGATGTCGTAGAGAGAATATATTGTAGTTTATGATAAACTACAATAGTACTTCAAGGTAAATATGTTGCAGTGTATGATAAACTGCAAGGAGGATACTGTAGGGAAAAGTTATTAGTGGAGATCAATCTTAGGTGTTGGTGATAATGAACCCAGAGAGACTGTTGTGTGTTGAACAGGAAGAGGTTGAGAATGCGCAGGGCTTGTGGGATTAAATAGGTTTTCCTACCTTTGGCTGGTCGGAGCGGAAGATAGGTGAGTTGGTAGTGGTCACGGTAAAAGTTAGGTAATGTACCTAACCGGCAGGCCCGACCGAGGGGGGAAATGGATTATGAGTAATGTCCACCGAGTAAGGAATGGAAAGAACGAAGTCGAAGGATAAGAGTGAGTGATGAAGTGATAGAGTGAGTGGGTGGATGGGCAAGAAGATATATGTTGAACGTTATGAGTCGAGAATGAAAGGCACACCGCCGACGATAGTGTGCGGTGGATATTATGCTTCGGGTAGAAACTGAATGTCCTCAGAAGTTATCCACGTAGATATAGGAAGTTAGATTCCGTGGTCAGTGTTATAGGATTAACGGAATAGAATAAATATCTTTTCTTAATGAAGACTTGGTTAGCAGTCTAAGTTCTTTGTGGTGACCGTTTGTTATATAGGTTCGGTCTGGGAGCTGAATTGCAATGGAGTGCTGGAGCTCGGATCGCTTAAATACCAGTGTTCTACAACGAATGACTAATCTGAGTTGACTCGTTCGTCGAACAGCAGGAACAGTTCTATCGGTAGAACTTTATTCATAGTATATTCTCCAAGAAATGTGACGATCTGCCGGTTCCTGCACATGTTTGCATGGAAGATTAAGCTTTGGGGAAGCAAGGGTAGTATAAGCTTCCAACAGTTACCAGCTGTGCACGGACGATTGAGCCGGTTGAGCTAACGCAAAAACCATTCAGTGGTCCGTGTAATATGACATTCTCTCTCCAAGTCAAGAGCTTAATCCCTTTTTGTAAGGAATGGACTCTATTTGCATACAGATACCAAAGCAAGCACGATGGTGACTTAGCTTTAAGGTTATGAGCAAGAAAAAAAATCTTTAAACCAGGAGTAGTCACGGTATATACCATCTGAAAAAAGGAAAAAAAGTATGAAAACCGTTACTATCGAGGCAGTCGCCAATGAGCTCAATTACCCAAAGAGGAAGGATCGGCGGCGATTTCTAGAACTAAAAGGGAAAGAGGTGTTTTTGATTCTCATCTTCCTATTCTGCAGCTACTTGTACGGTGAGATAACCCCCCTTTACTAGCATTGAAGTAAGCTATTCCAGCCAACATTATATATAACATTGCCCAGACAAAAAGTTTGATTATGAGCATATAATAAGTATTACATTTCATGACGTCAAAGTTGAACATTCAGGTTTGGGCAGGTACTTGATTGAAGCAAATTAAGACGTGTTCAGGTGCTCACTCAAGTGAGTGTTATTGGAAAAGCTGCCATTTGGAAGATGACGGATGACTGAAATGTAGTTGATCATACCGCGATTGTGCGAATAAACGTTTACACGGATGCGTTCAAGTGTGTTGAGTATCAAACACGAGATGTCCTAAACTAATGAATAAACAATAGTATGAGATACATTGTAAATGGATACAGTTCAAGGTGTCTTGCAACGTAGAAACTGATATTATTGCCTGAAACCCCAAACACAATACTCGGAGTTGTTGAACTCTTAACAAATTAAGTTTTAGTTGCTGTTAATGCTAGAGGATTGCTGCATAAGGGGGAGTTTATTCAAAGGGTTTTGTAGACATGATCTGGGTAGGGGTGTATCAAAAGGCTACGGATCTTGTGACAATCAAGGACCTTGTAAGTAAGTTGCTGATATGTACCCGTGATTATAATACTATTTTGAAGAACCAAGATAGTGGCCTGATAGTTTATAGAGCTGCACGATTGATTATTGCTATAGTATAATGCAGACGTGCGATAGCCCCGGTAAAACTTAGAAGGATATCGAATAGATTATGTACTGGTGCTAGATTTGAGACACCTTGCGTTGGCTGTGGGTACATAATATCTAGGTCAAGACTGTGTGGTGGTACAATTCATGAAGATATTGACAGCTATGGCGTCGCGGATACAGGTGCGAATTATTTTTATATATGATGGCACTGATTATTCTTTGCTACTACGGTATGACTGAAACCTGCAATGATGTCTAGGAAATATGATGGATCACTCTCGACTGGGTAAGTGTACGGAGGCAAGTAAGTTGGTGCGAAATGACAGATCATAAATGATAGATTACAAGTAGGTACCTAAATACACGTGTAGGTTGAGGCATCTCAAGGGTGCCTAGGGGCATTTGGATACTTAGGGCAGTTGTTTTCAGTGCTATTTTTTCCCCCAAGGAAAACGAAAACCCTCGACTACAGCACAAAAATCCGGGGTAAGCCAATCGGAAAATTCCCCTTGGCCCAAAACCGCCCAGATCGGGACTAGCGCAATCACCCCACGTGCTGCACGGCTGATCCCGCAACCCCACCTGCAGCCTACATATTCCCGGGGACAGGGTTGTTTTCTTTTTTCCTCTTTCTTCCTTCTTTCATCATGCCGCACACAAAAAAAATCCACAAGCCAGTCGGGCCAAACTTTCGAATGTTGCCTTCGTCCCAATCTATCGGTCTCTCGTAGGCCCCTAGATTGTTCAGTTAAGATTCCACTCAAAGGCCGCGGGGGGAACACTCGCCTCGCAGCCATGGGGCCAATCTTTGTATTTCACTGCTCATGCCGGCCTTTCTTTTTTCTCTCTATGGCGTCGCATGAAGGATATGCAATCATTTTCTCGCGCCGCTCGTTTTTTCTTAGGCGTGAGATTTTGTTGCATCTCCTAGGGTAACGCACCACATGCAGAAAAAGATGCTTCGCGCTCACTTTCCCCATGTGCGTTGCTCGGCAGTGGCGCCGATGCGTGACAGGTCGTCTCCTCCCCTCGGAGCCGGCTAGCCCACTTGCGCAGTCACTCGGATCGGTTGGTCAGGGGACTCCGTGAAAGCCCTCGGGTTAGGTTACAGATTGTATCATATGCTGGTTCAAGGCAACGGGGGGGCACCCTTGGCGCATTTACAGCTGGTTTGACCCTAACCCTTCCTGGCTTTCTAAATTCCCATACATCGTTGGATATCTCCCCAGTTTTGACTATAGTGATGTTCGGTACTGTTGGGCGAGAGGGGCTTGCGGGGTTTGGATATGACTTTACTGCGTCTATTTACCTTGTCTACCTGCCTCGGTGGGTAGGTGGGGAAGTAGATGCAGGCCAGGAACCTTCTTGTGGCTTCTTTCTTAGTGACGTCTAGCTGGCTTTGGATTTTTATTTTTATTTTTGGAACCCCGGGTTGCTTGCGACCCATTCATTTTTCTTTTTCATCACTGACTTCAGCTAGCTGGGGACGTGGAGAAGAAGACGCTCGATCGCACTTTTGAGGTTGTTTACTTTCACGGTTGCTAGGCCGCATCTGCATCATGGTCCGTCACGACGCGATTTTAGTACGTACCTAAGTAACAAGGTACGTACCTACTCAGCATGATCCATCTCTTAGGACTAGGTATTCACCCAATCTATGAACATCAAGATCAAGATCGACCTAGTTCCCACCAACGCTCCACAATTCTCCGAATCTAGTCCCCGGCTCCTCAACCAGCCGCGCCGGGTTACCCTCCTCCACAATCTCGCCCTTCTCCATGACGACGACGCGGTCGTAATCCATGATCATATCCAAGCGATGGCTCACCGCCACTACCGTGTACTCCCTAAATTCAACGCGAATCACTTCCTGCATCGCCTTCTCGGTCTCCCTATCGACGCTCGAGCTGACCTCATCAAGGAGTAAAATCCCGCCCTCCGATCCACCGCCGCCGAATCCGAGACTGCGCGCTCGAATGCGTCTGCGAAGAACTGCTCGGCCGAGAGAGAATAGCTGTCGCTGGCCTTGGCTAAGGTTGCTTACTGTCATGCCTGCCTCGAGGCCGCCTTTATCGCGGACGAAGTCCCAGAGATCCACCGCCTCGAGAACGGCCTGAGCATCCGCTGCCGTGGAGACGTTGGATGGATCAAGGTTCTCTTGGAATGTCGAGCCGTCTGGAAGGAAGACGATGTCCTGGGGTATGGCGATGATGCGCTGGCGAAGCGTGACGCGGTCGATGCGACTCAGCGGCGTATTGTCAATGTTGACACAATCGGGTGTTTCGTCGATAGGGTCGAGAAGTTTTAGCAGAAGAGCAATGAGAGATGATTTTCCGCTTCCAGTACGTCCGCAAATGGCTATTTTCTCCCCGGGGCGTATCTTAAGTCGAAGGTTCTTCAATGCTAAGGTCGGCGTCTCGAGCTGAGTATCATTGCTGTTGGGTTCGTTAGTCCTCAATCCAATAGACAAGAAGAAGGGTAGTTCATACTCGTAACTGGCTGAGACGTTGTTTAGGATGATTTCTCCCCGCGGAGGCCACTCCTCCGGTGGGACGATATCTTCTCCGTCCTTGGTCTCCGTCTTCGCGGCCTTGTCGAAAGCTTTGAGTCGGCTGATAGCACCGAGAGAAGTCTCGAGCGCCGTGTAGTAAATAACTACGCCAGATAACATCTCACCAAACGACATTAGCGTGACTAAAGATGCACCGGTGAAACCGGAGTTGGAACGGAGGCGAACGGCGAGCGACGTGAGCATGACAGCGATAATGGCGACCACGACGTTGAGTACAAAATGCAGCCATCTGTATAGAGTGTCAGTGTCTTGTAAGCCGAGTGACAGTATTCAATGAACGTTTGGATATAAGGGCTGATGAATTGGAACCTGACTAGGTCGCTAACAAGCAAAAGAATTGAAGATTAGAAATAACCTACTGTTGGATCATAGCTAGAAGATACGCAGGTCGCTGAGATGTATCTAAGAGGAAGGCATTCTTTGCGCGGTCTTCGCTTACAAAACCAAAGGCTCGAAGTGTTACAATACCCTTTGAAGTATCGAGGAAATGTGTACTACATAGTGTTAGCGAAGCTATTGAATGGTAGAGAACCCAATAGGTGGGTAGGCATCAGGCGATTCCGGCTAGAAATCCAGCCTGGTCGTCTAGGAAAAATGGGTCGCCGATTAGGGGTAATATTCCACTTACTACAGTGGGCTTTTCGCCTCCAGGTCTAACAATCTCAACTGCCTCGAAGTTCGAAGATAAAATTTCTGAACTACATATAGCATGCCAAATAAGAACGGATAACTGATTGCTAGGTATGGGGACGACGATGCGATAACTGCAGCTTGGCCTATGCCAACGAACACCATATATATAACATTTAGCAGGGCACTGGGGAGCTCGTTATCGATCAGACTTAGATCCTGAGAAAAAAGGTTCGTGATGATGCCTTGATCTGTCGTAGTAAAGAACCTAAGCGGCGCATGGATGAGGGTTCGCAAAGCGGCGTGGTGGAGGGAGACCCCGGACCGAGTAAGTACGGTAATGTAGAGCAAAACACCAAGCCATATCAGCGATAGCATGGCGCAAACCTCAAGCACGGCGTATATTGCTGCATAATATCCGAAAGAGTGGGAGGGATTGGTGGCAACAGCGTCAGCGGACCAATACGTAAGCCATATTGTCGGGAAATTGTAGAAGAAGCCGTAGAGGAGCCCGGAAGTGAATATAGCTACAGGGAGCATTGTTCCCATGCTTTTCATGTATACTATATAGGCTGCTGAATCGCCACTGAGCCTGGATTTGTCATTTCCTCCTACTTCAGGTGTCTCCGTTGGAGCTCGTTCAATTAAGTTTATTTGAGGTTCGATAGCACTCTCATCGGATTCGATCTTTTCGCTGTCGGCCTGGCTTGTCAACGGCGCCTTGACGCCAAGGCTGTGAATATAACTTTGGTTAGCGACAAGGTCGCCGAAGGTCCCTTGTTCGACAACAGTGCCATCGGTGCTTAGAGCGATAACATGCGTGGCGGACGGAAGATGACGAACGGAATGTGTACATAAGACAACCGTGGCTTGTCGTCGTTTTAGGATTCCATTTGCTCCAAACACACGTTGGAACACTTGGTCTTCGGTGTCCGCATCCAAGCCGCTGAAAACATCGTCCATAATTAAGAGGTCGGACTGCAAGTAGAGACACCTTGCTAACGATACGCGTTGCTTCTGTCCTCCAGATAGGGTTATCCCGTTGCTTCCAATGTTTGTCCTATCTGCCTCGGGCAATGTTTCGAAGTCAATACCTAGCATAGTTCCATCGACGACTTCGGCATAACGCTGCGCATCGAATGGAGAATAGCCTATAATGTTGTCTCTAATACTGCCGTTTGATAGGAACGGTGTTTGGTCACAGTAGCCCACGCATGAAAACTTAGTAGCTATCGTTACTGTCCCTTGGCTGTGAGGCATTTCTCCTAGAAGTGCTTTACAAAGCGATGACTTTCCTGATGCAATTGGTCCGACAACTATGGTAAGAGAAGCTCTAGGGATTTCGATATCGAGATTGTTGAGGACCATCTTATCAGGCTTCCAACCAAAGCTACCATCCTTTATTACGACTGCGGGGGATTTGTCAGATTTATCAAGGGACGACTTCTCCGGATCCCATCTTGACCTTGAGAGGAAGACACGGTAATCATCACGTCCCTCACCCTGTAAGAATTTCTGGATACGGCCTAGGCAAGCGACTGCTGCAGCCATTTGAGGTAATGTCTCTAATAAATTTTGAAGGGGAGTTGACATGAGTAAGAGGTAAGATAGCGAAGTGAATAGTTTCGTAGCATCTAGGCTTCGTCGAGCCACCCCCCACCCACATGGCGCAGTGGTTAAAGCGTCTGGCCGCGCATTAGCGTACGACTACGTGAAGCGAGTGGGTTCGAATCCCGCTGTGGGCAACTTAACCAACGGTCCGATTTATTCAGGTTTTTTCACCCCGCTTTAGGGCTCGCTGGGCGTTGGAGGGTGGTTCTGAAAGACGTTGGAAGAAGGTGGGCCCGGAGTAGGGTTTTTCCTGAATATAATCGGCTAGCTAGGGCTGGCGCTCACTAGCTAGAGTAATGCAAGAGGCAGGAGTGGAGGGATAAAAATTTCCTTGTGTCAAGCGGAACTCTAGCTCTGCCTACTTATTAGGTACTCTAGACGTCCCATGCGTCACCGATACGCGCCGCTATGTGTACTTAGTACTACTATAGCCCCTGGACGTAAACAAATTCATCATCATCATCATCGAGCCACCCCGAAGGTAATCGGAGGAGACAGGAGGAGTGGTATGTAGGAAAAGACTGAGCAAGTTAACATCAGCAATCGGAAGTTGGACCCTGCTTGCAATTCATCTACCCGGAGCTTTTGGACGAAGCGAGAAATGGGACTGGTGAGGCCGGATATCTTTATATTTTTCATGTTGCCGATGACACTGGAGGTAAGCCCGACACGCTTTTGAATCCCAGCCATCCATTTCCTTTGGGAGTCTCCCATGAATCGCATAAAAAATGATACGCCGCCGACGCATATAAAAACGACCACAATTGGCGCTATAAAGGCGACACCGAGTAGGTTGTATAATAACCAAGCAGAAAGGGCAACCTCGATTACATTTCCCCACTAAAATAATAATGAGTTAGCAATGCTCATTTATCCACGAACATAAACCTTCGGAGTCATATTTCCGGAAAGTGGAATTCGAAGTTGAAGCCAGCATTTACGACGTGAGGTCAACAATAGCTAATAGATAGGTGATGGGAATAGACCATTAGGTGTAAATATGAAATCACGTACAAGTTCATGCATATACAAGGATCCCTTCATAATACGTTCTATGTCAATGCTCATCAAGGTCAACGACGCATTCTCGTCTTCATCCGCGGCACGGGCCTCCGTGGTTTTCGTATAGATGGCCGTTGCTAGACACGCACGCATCATGTATAGCAATCGCTGTTGGAAATACCAATATAGTGATTGTGAAATGGCAATTACAGAATAGATGCAGATGCTAGCGCCGATAAAGCCATATCCGATATTGACTGGAACAGGCTCAGATTGAGATAAGCGACTAGTGAGACTGCTTATGAATAGGGGCTGGCAGAAAAAGGACCCAATCGCCGCGAGTTTTGCGGGAATCGGAAGTATCATAGGGACAAGGAGTGTTTTGGCCAAGGCTTCCATGAGTCCGATTTCATGGCCTTTATGTTTGGCTTCATTTATATGTCGTGAGAAGCGTTCAGAAAGACGTGTGGCAGCGAGGTTTTGGTCAAGAGGATACAGGTCGCGTATTCCTAAGGTCTTATGATATCCATCAAAAAAGAGCTTGTTAAGCCAGGAGAAAACGCCTAAAGTATAGATACCGCTGGTTTCTTCTGGGCTATGGTCTTTCGAGTCCCAGGCGACCCATTTAGTTTTCCGCTGGGCCTCAAGCAAGAGCATAGCAACCTTCATAGTTAATGCAGCCGTAAAGATAGCGGTAAATGCAATCTCTGGCCGAGTTGAGGAAGCCAACCAATAGGTTCGGGCTTGGGCGACGTCGAATAGAAGTGTAAAGAAGAGATAGGCGCTAAGAAAGATGGAGGGCCTTGGTGACTTGCTGTGATCGAAGTAAGAGAGGCCGACCATGCAAAGAGCAGCAGCAAGGCGAAGCGCAGATGAGATGATGTCAATACCACTGGCACCAAAGGGAAGCACCGTGATGAGGATAAGTTGTGAGAGTTCAAGAGACGCATATGAGACGAGAACACCCTAGGTCGATAAGCATTAACACAAACACATAACAATTGACTGAATTCAACACTCACAAGTTTTGCTAGCCGGAGCAATGGCGCGCCCACGATTGTCGGCTTTCGTACGAGATGGGCAACCCGCCATGGCGACGCAAGGATGAAAATGGCTGCAGGTGTGAGTGAGAAGCACAACTGTTCGAACTTGACAGTGAAGTCGAAGTCTCCTCGACAACCTAGGACATTGGGCCCCAGAGATTGGTCATTAGTATCTGCGCACGCAGAAAACAACATCTTGCTCCAAACCTATTCACCCAAACAGGCCTGTAATAATATTGAATAGATGTAAGTTTGCTGACAGCCGCAAGAGTCGCGGATGAAGCATCATGGAAGTCTTATGGTGGCCAGGGTAGCCTATGTAGGTAGGTAGCCGAAAACAAAGGATCTCTGGTGAGTCTACTCCGTATTACCAATCCCAAAGGGCACAATTCCGAACACCGCATCGCGTATATCGACCCCGGTGCCGTTATATCGTTAAGGAAAATCAGGGGTAGGTAAGCATCGTGTAGGTATCGTAAATCACCAAGTATTGAATGAGAAAAGATGCTATTAGCGCGATATCAGCAGTAGTGCTGATAGGAATCCGACATCACAAGCGATGCGCCCCCGCACTTTGCCCTATATTCATAGGCCCATGGCAGGTGTCAGCAGGGAAGCTAGAGAATATCTAACATCAGCTCGTAGGGCTGGACTAATGCAGTGGAGATATACGATCAGTGCTTATAGTAATAGGCCGAGATTCGAGTCGTACTTTTTACAACCTTGAAACCTTAGTCGAAGGTCCTTTGGAACCGAGGGCAGGTAGACCTGTTACGCTAGCGTTTCTTATCCTGGATATAGCGCACCTACACTCCGACTAGCAGGTGCGGTACACTTCGTAAGTTGAATGCGAACAATGCGAAGTAGTGGGTCTGGTACGACGTAGATACGTTGGAAGTTGGAACTTCCTGCCTGGAATACTGGAAAGATAGCGGCAGGGCCGGCCAAAGCAAGTAGGTACATACGGATGTAGTGGCCGCGTACTCTAAACGATCTAATGATACATAAGACAACATAGCTCCGTTCGCCGAGCCAAATATGATTCAGGTTACAAGCAACTAATTGAATTGCGACACTCATCGGCTGCAAATATCCTCAAGACATAGCCATGCAGAACGGAATTGTAAAACTCGTCCGCATGGACAAGCAGCCGCGTATTCCCTTTCTCCAACGGCTCTCCTGCGGTGCGACCATCTATTCGTTGCAAACGTTCGGCAATATCCTCCTGTGGTGCAGGCAATGGGCAGCCACCCCTAGATTTCCCCCGAACATCATAAAAACTTACCAATGTCGACCATCACTACCCATCAGGTATGACAATCTTGAAAACTCAATTTGGTAACATGGCCACTGCCTATTAGGTAGGTAGGTAGCCAGATCTGACAGAATGCCAACGTAGAATCTTCTTTCCCAAGTCCTACGACCCGAAGACTTCTCAGACGCTTCTCCCCACCTTGTTCAGTATTCATGGAGGAGGTTTTTGTATTGGCAACCCAAACTATGACGACGAGTGGAATACGAACTTCGCTAGCATGCACAATGTGCTAGTAGTCGCTCTCAACTACCGCAAAGCTCCCTCTTATCCTTTCCCGACCGCCACCTACGATGTCGAAGCCCTACTGCTGGCCGCATTCGACGACGAGAGCCTTCCGATAGACAAGGATCGCATAGCCGTTGGCGGCTTCTCGGCGGGCGGGAGCTTGACCCTCAGCGTATGTCAATTGCCATCGATCCGGGAAAGGGTGAAGCCTAAGGCCGCGCTGCCCGTGTACGCCGTGGTAGATAAGAGCATACCGATGGAGGTCAAGATCGAGACGCGACACTACAAGCCCGACTTAGGCTCCGACGTGCGAGGAGAGCCCATCGATTTCTTAAATTCCACGTCTCCCGTCTTTCTGTGGAGCTACATAAATCCGGGGGAGGACCTGAAACAGCCGCTGCTTTCGCCGTATTTCGCTCCTCGCGACGCCCTGCCCCCGCATATCTTCTTCATCTCAGCAGAATTGGATCAACTGGCGCACGAGGCCTGGTGCATGGCGAGCAAACTAGCTGGCCGACCAGAACCGGCGGTCTCGGACAGGGTGGGCCGAGACAAGCGGTCCGCGGGGAAGGGAGAGCTCATTCTCGACGACGAGAAGTTCGCGTTTGAGCATAGGGACGAGGACGGGAAGAGTAGCGTGCGGTGGTTACTGGTGCCGGACCAGATTCACGGGTTCGATCGATTGCCGCTGAGGTATCATGGCGAGGACTCGATGGAGGACGCGAAGTTGAAGGAGACGGCTTATCAGAAAGTTGCGGGTGAGTGGTTACATGAAGTCGCATGGAAATAGATAGGTAGGTACGATACCTTATGGGCGATGAGTCAGTTCCTGCATTCCAATATAAATAAACAGTAGAGTATCCACCCTTCAAATCTTATTATCTTGAACTCACGCTAATATCCATGTAATCCGCTTAACCTTACCGCCGCTAGAACCAGACGATCGGATTACTGCTCCTTCGGTTGCCTTAATGTACCCCACATGATAATACAAATTCTATCTACCATTGCATAATATGAAAATAATGTCAACAAATAACGGCATTAGAAGAATCCATATTAACCAAATAAAAATAAGCAGCTTATCATGGAATAGTATCCGGTGCTAGGTGCATCCGGACCTTCACGCCGTCCCCCGGTGTAAGTACAGTCATCCACGAGCGTTTCGCATTATTGCTTCCCGGAGAGGGCTCCATCTTGTCGAAATGCATAGCGAACCTAGCGATGGCGTACGAAACTTGCGTCATCGAGTAACCCTCTGTATGTCAATATGATTAGCTTGGCACGGAGAAACAGCAAGATGTGTATGCGGAATTTACTTACGGCCGACACAGATCTGAGGTCCACCGCTGAAGGGAGTGAAGTCCCAGCCCTTTCTCCTACCACTCCATCGCTCGGGGCGATATTCATTAGCGTCATCTCCCCATAGGTCCTTTCTTCGGTGTGTATAGTAAGTTCCGAGCTGTACTCGGGCTCCTTTCCGGACCGCAACGGGACTTTTGCCGTCCGGGCCGCCGCCAACGGGAAGTACGGTATCCCTAACGGCTTCTCGGACATTGATAGGTCCGGCAGGGAAGAGCCTTAGCGTCTCCTGAATAACCCACTGCAGATATTCGCAACTCTTCAATGTCTCCAATGTGAACGGCTCCAGTCTGTTCGCTTCGGTGCCGAATTTTTCAACGACGGCTTCGCGGAGCTTGTGATAGATATCCGGGTGCGCCGCAAGCATGCTGAACGTCCACCCTAGGGCAGCAGCGGACGTGTCCATTCCCGCGACGAGGAGGTGCATAACTTGCTCCACCATGTCGCGCTGCGAGGCTCCCTGCGCTTCCATCTCTTCGATAACATTCGAGTACAACCCATCTTCCTTTTCCTCTTGTGTCCGCAAGGCCGATCGTTTCCGGACGTCGGTAATGTACGCGTCGACCATGACGTACAATTCCCGACAGGCTCTTCTAAAAGCGAAACCATCGTACACCCAGTACATGTTGGATAGCTTTATCCGATGCCCCACGTAACTCCCGGCCTCCAGAAATTTATCATCGAATCCGTCTAGAAGCGACTTAATATGCGTCTCGGCGGGTATCTTCCCCGCGCGGACCAACGCCGCCGTCTGCGTCTCCGCCGAAGCGCCGAAGAGAAACTGCGTCGCCGTGTCCATCGTCAGTCGATAGAGGTGGTCCTACGTTTTCTGTTAACCCCCTTACATCGAAATCACGCGGGCCGGGGCTGCCTAGTTACCAGAAGATCCACATCGCCTGTCCAACCGTCCGCCTTCGGCTTTCCTAGGGCGGTAAACACAAGTTCCATGTGCCTCTCGCTGTCGGCAACGTTCTGGTCGAATCTCCTACGCGTGAACTGCGGCTTGACCATAGCCCGCCAGTGGGCCCATATAGGTCTAGAAAGGTACCTAGTCAGCAAAGCTCTAACGTAGGGCACAGTTTTGTGGACTTCGTATAGGTGAGTCTCTTATGTTTGACGTACCCGTCCGTCGTGAATAGTCCAGGCAGAAGCATAGGCTGAGCCGCCAGCGACCGAAACGCCGGGCGCTTGTAATCGTCGAAACGGGTTGCCAGGACGGCTTTGATGTTCTCGGGTTCCACTGTGTTGATCCCTTTCTGCGTCCCCATCACCGGGGAGACGATGGCGTGGGTGTTGCCGTGCTTGGCGTACTTGCGCTGGAAATGGCCCTCGAACAGGTCGCCGGCTACGGAAGCCTTGTATACCTCATACTTGCGCCCGATGCTCCAGGGCAAGGGGAAGGGGTTCGCTGCTATGGGAACTGCCAGGCATCTGTTGGCTTTGGCGAAGCGGTCGAAGCTATAGTTTCGCAGAAGCGTCCTCGCGATCCTATCAGTGATGATAAGTGCTAAGGCAATGAGACACCACCTTCCCGCTCGCGACCAAGCCTCGTCTGTGACATGGCTTATGACAAACAGGAGGGTGGCAAGGGGTGGGAAATCTGGAGTTGAGAAATTCATGTTCAGCTTGGCACACTGAATTCAAAATGCTTCATGGAGAGATCGGAACAACTGAGACGCGCATCATACTTATAGGTAAGTAGTACTTCCACGCAGAAGAGATGTCACCGCTATATATGTGACAGTACCTAATATCCTATCTTATCAAATGAGTGGATATAAATCCTTCGAGTGGTTCAGCTGGATGTCTGTGTGTCGCTAAAGTGGAATGCGCTGTTGACGACATTGCATTTACTAAATCTCAGCCCGTCGGGTAGCTTTCCCAGTGGTTGTATATGCGGATACCATAGGCAACCGCGATTTTTCGAGTCCGCCTAGATCTTGGTAATGTGTTGGAAGCCATTAGAACCCACCCGCCTTTGCCTACACAGACGAAGATACCTATGTATATCTCTCCCATTGGGTAGCAAGGATCTTTTAAGGGCTCTCGCTGTGCCGTAGCTTCTCTATAGATACGCACCTCCCACTAGGTATTCATTCTTTAGGTTGTTCTAATTGATTTATCAGCCATCCCACTGGTCCGTATGGGACTTTTTAAGGAGGCTAAGAAGTCTACTTCGAAGCTAGAGTTGCTAGGGTGGGATAGAGTGCTTGGGAATTGCATTCGCCCCCACAGGACGAGATCTGCTCACAGCCCTATACTTAGTACGCAGGTCATCCAAAGACGGCTAGTACCATATGTGGGTATATACTAATTATACTTAGCAAGATACAGAAGAGATAATGCTATAAGTGTATTCAGGTTCGACTATCAATTACCATTCACACTCGGTAGTCGGATCATGTAAGCAGTACATTTGTCTCTAATCCCTGTCTAAGGACAACTACCTATTGAATACTGGGTAGAGGGGTACTTATCTAATATGAGTCTAGAAATCGAGTCTTCATAGGTAAGCAGGTAATATTGTAGATTATAAGACTAACTCAATAGATGTCATCATAGCAGAAGAGCCACTTGGTACATAGTTAATCGCGACCACTGGTGTTATATAGTTAGGTTACCTTATATAATTCCTAGGTATCATTTCTTAACCTTCACATTCCATGTATTATCTATATTGTTATGAACTATCTCAATACACAGGTAGCCTCATGAACAGACAGTAGATTCAGTACTAGCTTTTCTGCGTACAAAGTTGACGATAGGAGCACCAAAGTTACTTTTTGGCGTTATCGAATGTCCCATCAGTGACATACACGCTCCATGGATCTTCTTTCGTGTCCTGCCCTAACCATTGCTTCATTGCTTCTGACATATCATGGTTCTTCTTTTCATTATCACTGCCAGCATCAAATAGATATGTGTTGGTAGAGGTATGGGAATATTTAAAGGGTTTGATTTCCTGATAGCAACTTTTCATTAGCTTATGACAAAGTAAAGAGAGACGTGATTGGGGAAGTATCACCCTTTGGCTAGGCTTTGGATGTCTTGTCTTATCATCCATTGTGTAGTAGAGACGTAATATAATGGGAGAAGTAGGTATAGATTTGTAGTATCGGCATATAGAAATGAATGAAAGACTAGGCCACCTGCAGCAATTGATGAACTGGTTTCTCTGTTTAGTTGTTAAGACGAAAAGTCTTGCTTAGGCTCGCGACTTTAGGGTTATATAGGTGGATGGTATGCCCGTTCTCAACCGCGTCTTGATTCTTACCGTCAAGTACTAAATTCGGTCGACTCCGGTGAGTATTTATGGAATAGCATCGGTTCATTCCATCTCCGCTGGATTTCAAATCAATATAGGATTCAATAGATAATTAGCAGGTTGCCTTGTTTGACGTCCTATCCAACCTCCAATATTTGGATGCCCACCTCCCTAGCTTGCTATGACCCGGCCAGACTCGGATCAACCCAGCCTACGAGATTTAAGTAGGTATCTATCGTAAATGTATATATATTCAACTTAAGCCTCATCGATATACAATAAAGTCATATACCAGCTTAAAGTTTGTGGATCAGGGGTCAGTACGAGCCCTGGGCTCGGCGACTGCGGCTTAGTAGGATCATCTAGATGTATGCAAGTAATACTCGCTCACCATGTAATTGGATAAGGCTGAACATATCCTTACGATCCCGGGGAATGTTTGAATATCTTCGATACATGTGGTGTCATATTGTTACACCAAGATTGAGAGGACCATTGACACCCAATGTATTGTCATAGAGGCAGGTTACGAGTATCATTGGTGTATATTAGAAGGCTAAGTTGCTAGAAGTAGGTACAGGCTGTTATAAAGTACATTATAGTATACCTGTGGATATAGGGTGTAGACTCCCAGCCACCTAATATTCCAGCACAATGATAAGCTGTGCAACACACCAATGCCTTCAAAGCCAGTGACCAAGGTCTTTCGATACAACTATGAGCTTGAGTTGTATCCGCGCTGATAGGGATAGTCATAAGGTAGACTGAGTGCCATCAAAATCCTTGGAACTATGCCGCTTGCGGGATTCCTTGCAGCTTCCTTAAAATAGCAACGTCATTTCTTGTTGGCGTACTTGCCTAGGTACCTAGGTATCGGCAACCAACGGTATTAATATCGTGAAGTGAGGTTATTCTTGTTTACTTGAACCTCTAGTATAGAGCCTTATTCCGACTTAGGAGGGTATTTGCCCGGCGGTATTGTTTTTTTTTCTTAGATCTCTAAGTAGACTTAGGAACAGACTACCCTGTGGACCAGGTAGTTGTATCAGTTGAGCCCATTTGCATTATTGTATCGAGCGGTTTGCTTCCCTTAGAGATAGCGGGCTCTACAATCTCATCTTTTCTTTTTTTGTTTAGATAGTCTCTTATCTTATTCAGTAGATTCCGCCTCCTTAACTTCGGTTCGTCAAGTATACAACTACTCAATGGAGAGTCCGAAGAGCTCGTAGTGGTTGAAGGGATGACATCTTCGTCCGACTCTGCGTCATCAGCTTTCTCGTCCTCTATAGACCTCCGTTTATTAATTTCTTGACGTTGATCCTTTACAGATGAGCAAATGTCCAGGTATTCGTTGTATAAAGGTACTTAGGTAGGCACCTATATAGGTAGTCACTTACGCTGCTGAGTGGTTTTGGCAAGGCAACACAGTACCAAGGTTCATGAGCTGTCTATGAAGATACCTAGTTTAGCAGGATCTATTAAACCATAGGAAAATAGGTGGTCTTACCGTATTGCAGACGATATCAATATCTGGAAACCATTCTGAGAGAAGGCTCTCCAATGCTGACCACTCAAGCTGATGCGAAGAAATCCGCTCCCAAACTAGGGATGAATCTATTATGATATGTCGTGGCCCCAAACTCACTGTAGCTGGCTTCGGCCGATATTCCGTAACATTAATAGTCGAATCAACTTTATTGTCTTCCTCCAGAAATACCAAGTCTGTGTCCTCTGGTCTTCCGGCTTGTGCAAACCGCTGAGTACTAGGTATATAACTTTGCAGCTTCATAATAGGCTTCATAGTCCGTAAGGTATTTCTCTGCAATCTCGGGTACAAGCGGATCTTCGATATTGGGGCTTGCCAGGAGGCCACAAAGGGCAACGAGGAGAGACCCTAGTGAGTAGTGGTTGGTAACTTGCTCGGAGAACCAGGGTAGGGCTCGCTGGTTGGTTGCGCCACTAGGACCATTCAGAAGACTGGCATCCCGCCACCAGGTAGCATAATCGGCACAAACTTTCCCCCTGGGGTCGATATTGGGATGGTATACCTTAGTATGGAACTTCAACATGGGGGGCTTAGATTCAATAATCTTGACTGTAATCCAAAATACTCCACCTTCATACGGTGTCCCCGGTGGTCCTTCAATACTAGCAAGTATTCTGTCCAGCATATCTCCCACGGGTGCAGCACTAATAAATGGGATATTAGCTCGGTGGATGTTACGCAACTCGAGGAACATGCGACGGGCGAGAGGGACGTCTTCGTGGGCTTGGGCGATTAATTTTGCGGAGTTATCACGATAAACCTTTCCGTCGTGGTCTTTATTATCTTCAAGAGATCGACCGTATTCAATATCCGTCGTGGAAAATGCCAACTTCGCCGTGATATCTGTCTTGTCTTTATTCAATAGTGCTGCCATCCATCTTTGGTTCTGTGGCACATCCGTAGTAGTGTTTTGAGTCGCCGTTGTCGCAAGAGTAGCTTCATCGCCCGCACTGATTCCTTCGCCGCCCTGAATCATAGCCTGATTATGCGACTGTGATGCTCCTGCAGCTTGTGCTTTGGACAACATGGCCTTCAGATGGTCCCTTCTGCCGACTTGGGATAGTTCTGTTCTGGCAGTATGATAAGACCGCGAACTCGATGTTACATATGTCAATCGAGCACTAGCTGTATCCGAGACCGCCCTAATAGCCGGAGGCGCCGAGCTTGATGACCCGACTAACTGCAATAGCCTCAAACTGCTAGCATCAGAGAGTGATTCGATCTCGTCTACCAAGATAGACTGCTGTTGCGCCAATATGCCAAGTGCGCTGGTGATACTTTCCAGTGCGTCAACCAAATCGCGAATATTGGTTACTAAGTGCTCGAACTTTTCGTAGTCGTGTATAGACCAACGAGTCACCTGCCATAGGGATTTATCCTTTTGGTTCTTTCTGATCCTGCTTTTGAACCGTTGATACGAGTCGCGAAAGATGGCCATGCCCTTTGAATCAGAAGCAGCACATCTCTCCGACAGCTCGGCAGCTCTCTCTTGTTCTTCAGAGGCATACCTACCGGTAATAGTATCCGCTTTGGCTAGCAAGTTTCGGAGTTGATTGAGAGTCGTCTCGATAGACGGCCGAATATCCGGCCTTTCAAGAGCGCGGTTATATGGCTTCGGTGTTCTGGCGCCAGGGGGCGGCGCCAGTCCAAGTGTTTCCCCCCATATCACCAGTCGAATTTGTTGCAATGCAAGCTAATCAACACTGTTAACGATCCTCATTACAGCAAAGGAGCTACCCAGTAACGTACCAGAGTGCAGAGTTGCTCAAACTCCTCGCTAAATTCTCTCGCACGAACTATGATGTTGAAATTCTCGATGCAAGACGTGAAGAGCCCGGCAATCCCCAGGATCCCAATCGCTAACCCCGCAGCCTCCATCTCATCGCAGTGTGGCGCTCGACAACAACGACGGGAATTTCTTAGGGTTTGACGAGCCAAGCTCTTTCTGATTAATTTCTTACTAGGACATCTTACAACACGTTTTATGAAGTTTGAAGGTGATATTATCCAAACCACGGGTCTCAACGAGTATCTTACTATGGTGTTCTTATGCACTGCCTCGTTTTACGCCTCACTCGTAACGGAGGCTCTCGGTGCTGACAGCTATGTCATAACACATAGCCCCCACAAAACGTATAAAGGCTCTCTCCCGATTAGCTAGAATATACTACGATCATAATTGGCTACCTACCTAAGTAGATTACAAGGGGCCGGCGACTTGTCCCAGTCAAGGAAATAGGTTTTCAGTGGACGGCCGGCGCATCGCGGAACTGTGACAAGCTTAAAATATGGCAAAAAATATAAGATGAACTCCTTAATTCAGAGATCATGAGGAATAGTTAGTAAACGCATTCCTCAGACTCACATGCAATTTTTCATGCACATTCTCAAACCCCCTCCACCTTTGCGGTAACGTAGCTCTCACATCCAGACCTACTTCGATGAATAGGATAATCTCAACAGCGTATAACGTTCCAAGACTTCCTAATAGCAATCGCATTCCTAAACATAGTCTGGGCAATTTAATGATCTATATATATGGGTGATATACAGGAATACCCACGTGCCCCTCGCTTCGCCGAGCTCCCCCCGAACACCGTCGTCAATAACTGGTAGGTCGCTAAGGCCCCCTTGTCAGCGGATTTGTCGCCTGGCCACCTCGGCGGAGCCCGTTGGCGACGGGCTTGGCGAATAGGACTCCGGCTACACACAACGTGCTCTGAGACTACCAGCGCCGTGCCGGGGTTGAGTCGGATGACCCGCGCAACGCCTAGCTTTACGACCTCCCCAGTTCGGTATCTTATTACTCATTGACTTATAGAAGCATAGCGTCTTGGACGGAACGCAGAATAATTACTGGCTGAATTGCTGAATCTCCGCTTCTGCGTCCTGCCGCATGTGCTATAGTGCCGGGTGGGTCCCGGTCTGGGATAATAGCTAGATTTCGCGTACGCGCTGAATATAAGTATTGAGCCGTAGATGTCGTGTTTATTGGACAGGTGATCCCGTAGGATGTAGTTGTTCATTTTTCAAGAGGGCAGCGACTTCGAGTTTGTAACATGAATAGCCTCTTAGTCACAATCTCCCAATTTGCTGGCGCCATCGGCGCCACCTTCCAACACAAGCCAGCCGCTGTTGCGTCGTCAGCCGTAAATACAACGACTTGTAATGGTATTAACTATGTGTATGAGGAACTAGCCGGCTATGGATATGTTGTCACGGACGCGGTCGATAAGTACGGAGACACGCTTGGCGGGCTCGGTTCATCTATACATCTAGAGAGTGGCGCATGGAAGAAGCTCGACAATGGGAGCTATTCCGGCGTATTATGGTCTTTGCCAGACCGTGGTTGGTGAGCACACCCCTACCCTTGAAATTATTTGAAACCTGAGGGTAGCGCGTTACGTGTAAGCACCAAGAACATTGACTATTGGTATCAGGAACACCGAAGGGACTCTCAACTTCAACCCTCGAGTCCATAAGTTCAACATCACCTTCACTCCACAGTCAAATGCAACCGTGGACGATCCATCAGGCCCGAACTTGTACTTCGAGTATCTGGACACAATACTTTTCTCTGGGCCCGACGGAACGCCTTGCACTGGGCTGGACGCTGATGCTACAGGAAACATCTCATACACTGGCTTCCCCGTCCTCCCCATTGCTACTTACACAGGTGACGGCTTTGGCAATGATGGTCCGGGCGGTAAACGTGTCCCGGTCGATTCGGAAGGGTTGTATGTGAATGACGACTCGAGCTTTTGGGTGTCTGACGAATATGGCCCCTATATATGTATGTGGATTTATCTGGTTATGGGGTTGGGAAAGGGAAGTCTCCGCTAACGCTAAATGTTAGATCTTTTCGGTCCAGACGGGAAAATGCTCACTGCTATTCGTCCCAATGATGCCATCGTTCCCGTCCGCAATGACACTGTCTCATTCTCGGCTGATAGCCCTCCACGTTATGTTGATGATGGAGAAGGCGATGACGTAGACCCGGGAGATCCAGACAGTGGTCGCGATAATAATCATGGTGAGTTAAGCGATTCCCCATATTCGGGGGTCCGGCAAAGTGTTTAATGACTGTGACGTCTAGGGTTCGAAGGCCTCACTGTTTCGGGAGATGGCAAGTCCCTGTGGGCACTTTTGCAAGCTTCGACTGTCCAAGATGGTGTAAGTCGCGATGTCATTAAATTGTACCCATCAGCAGCCACATGAATCTCGATGAGTAGCGTGCCAGACGATAATTAGCTGAACTTATTCTAGGGCCTAGATAAACAAACCATGCGATATACGCGCTTGCTCAAGTACGATATTTCAAATCGACTCTCTCCCGTCTACGAAGGGGAATGGGTCGTGCCCCTGCCGTTGTACGACGACCCCACAGCAAAGTCATCGAAGAATCCAATGGTTGCGGCACAGTCCGAGATACATTCTCTAGATAATGGCCAGTTCTTTGTCTTGTCTAGAGACTCCGGCGCGGGACACGGGGCTGACAGCTCACTTTCCGTCTATCGTCAAATCGACGTGTTCGATCTCTCTAACGCGACGGACATCAAGGCTGCTGGGGACTATGACTGTGTTGGTTGCAATGTTGCCAAAGAGAAGAGTGGGGACCTAAAGAAGAAGATCACCACCGCGACGTACTGTAGCTTCCTAGACTTCAACGTTAATGAACAGCTGAATCGGTTTGGAGTGCATAATGGTGGCGATCAAGATCAATATTTGCTGGTAGGTCGTCATACGTCCGATTATCGATGGACTTGACTTGCCCACTAAATTGAGAATATATGCTAACTTGGCGTGCTCGATGAATAGAATGAGAAATGGGAATCCATCGGAATGGTTCCTGTTGACCCCACCAATTCGACTGGGGAGTTTTACGTCTTCAGCCTTAGTGATAATGATTTTATCACCCAAAACGGATTTATGGACGGTGGCAAGCTACCATATGCCGACAGTAGCGGTTATAATCTAGATAGCCAGGCCCTCGTATTCAAGATCCAGATTTCAACTTGAGAAGATCTGGTACGACTAGGATGTAGTTTTATTAGTAATATAATATTGATGATAATAACAGCGAACTGTTGTCAGTTGACCTTGTGACCCTTCACGAAAAGAAAACGATAAGAGAGGAAGGGTTCTTCCTGGTTCGAGAACCCCTGACTAGACACCGTAAGGCTTTAGTTGGGCAGCAGGAATTACGGGGGAGCACGTGCTTATCAAACATAAGCTAATATTTGGAAAGTATGTGTAAGAGACCTACTCTTGGCGAGAAGAATAAACTTCTCGTTGGGATCGAATGGTGGACAATGAGAAATGGCAAGGGATGAGAATCAGAGAATCAGGAGGGAAAATCAGAAAAGGCCATCTTGGTATCGCGATTTGCTAGAAGCACGGACCATATCACATGGATTTATCCTGGTAGGCCCTGGGGGTACCTAGGTACTAGTAATGTAACGAACCTTGAAGTACAGAATACTAGCGGATAAAATCCCAGCTGTCCCAGTTCGAATAGAGACGTCATACCGCATGATAGCTTGATTAAGACCATCTATGGACCTTGGAAGTCGAAGCTTTGTAAGAAAGCGCGAAATCCTAGATCTTCTTTAGCTCCATGCCTTTTATTGAAATGAAAAAAGACATCATCATATCCCTTATTCGATACGTGTTTAGCCTACCTTGCTCACTAAGGAAAACCGGCAAGTATCACATTGGTGGGGGGAGTCTTGTGACAGTCACCGCCTGTATGATGAATATGATGGACAGATTTCGGTTTGTGCTTCCTTGGATGAGCTGAGCATGGTTGACGTTTGTAAAATGCAACTTTGATGAATCTCGCCGTCGCACGAGTTATACCCTGCATCGAATCTATAGGTAAGCAATTGTCCAGATCTTCGATTCGACAACCCAAAGCTGCCCAATTGCTAGTTACTAAGGCGATGTAAGAAGCGCCGGGCCTCGACCACAGGCTTCAGATAATTGCTTCCTGTTAGCGCGGTATCTTGTATTGATAGACGAATGAGGGTATTAATCTATTAGATGTGTCTAATATGAAATTTGATATGTCCGTTGAGCCAGCGGCTGCGATCGCTGATATCATTCTAGGATTATTTGGATCGAGGGACTGGAGCCTTAAGCACCTATTTAGGTACCTTCTGTCTTAATGGTCGATCGTTAAATCAATAAGAATAAGATACCACTGATAGCTTCTGAATGTCTCCGGGATTAAACTGGAAACTATCTAAGTTAGATATTTTACTAACAAACTTTCCATTGAAGAAGCTTCGTTTGCTTAGCCTCAGGTCCGAAGGTCTAGGTTTCCTGGCTCCCTCCTAAGGATAACCCTGCAATGTGGGTCGTTGGGTACTTAGTGGCTGTACAATACTGGGTACATGGCGCTAATAGGAGGGGAACAAGCATCACCAGTTCACCAGTTCACTGATGTAATGTCTTAAAAGAGCACTTGCTTGCCCCTCCATAACTTCAAACTCAATTCCACGCTCGAATAACTTGTCCTTTCCCGAATCAATTCCTGTTGAAGTTCTTTTAAGCTTAACGTTATCTGCTACCCGATTTATAGTCAGGAGTGTTTCCGTACACTCGGCGACAACCTTCTCTTTATATACTACACACGTACATAAACACAAGTACACACTTCTACTTCCCCGCTGCCGCAAACCGATTAAACAGGGCCCCTCGTGTTTTTGGTCAGGTTGAACAGTCAGTCCTCGACGGGTAGTGTCGCATCAAGGTCACACGCAACAAGTTGGTGTGCGAGTTTAGGTGCAAATACCCGGAACGAAAACACACTACGAAGTACTCGAGCTTGCGACGCCAAGTTGTATTGTGCAGCTCGTAGCGTGGTGCAACTGTCAAGCCACTCACGAAAAGTTGCCCCGCCGCACTTTCCATACCGATCGAAATAATACGTTGGGATTCCGGAAGTTGCGCTCCCCCCTCCTGTCGTCATAGTTCGAAACCGGTATTCACGCTAGTCCATCGCTCATTGCCTGTCGCCCGTCGCCCGGCATTTTTAACGTTATCTCTATTGAGCGCTATTCTTCCATCTCCGACCATCACATTTTATATTGACGATATCTTCAAATTTACTTTCTTGATACATATAAATATTATACCATTCACAGAATGGCGCACAAGCGGGTAGATGATGATTTAGCCTATGGCGAGTCGTACGGCGAAAGGTGGGACAGAGATCGTTTTGTCATCGAGAGCGACCGCAACCGGCCGGTCGCAGAGAGAGATCGCTTTGAGGAACATGACCGTTATTTCACTCGCGGCCCCAAAGGTCGGGTCCGTGAGACCTCAGTCGATTCAAGGTTTGAGCGAAGGCCACCGCGACCGTGGGACGATGAGCCTCCGATTGAGCGAAGGTACTACGATGACCCGCCACGTTTTAGGCGCTCTCCACCTCCTGAGATAGAGCAACGTCTCATCATTGACCGCGAGAGAGACCGTGAACGGGAGCGTGGACGCGAGTTTCGCCATCCATCACCTCCCCGAAGACCGGGTCAGTTGCTTCGACGCCAATCATCGCTGGATATATTTGATCGACGCCCACCCCCGCGCTTTTTTGAAAAGGAGGAACCCGAACGTGAGCCGCCGCCTGTTCGTCGCGGAGATTACCGTCCCGAGCCATATAAGCCTGTGCCCCTTCCACGATCTCGAGCACTACCTCCGCCAAGAATATACGCAGAGCGCGACCTCGACCGTGACTTCGAGCGTGACTTCGAGGAAATCAAGATATCTGAGCCTGACCGATATGGCGACGAAGAATACCATGCGTACCCCGAGCGCGTCCGAGAGATGGAAATCGTCAAAAGAAGGAAACGACGTGATAGCGGCAATTCGAGACGTGTCGAAAGCATTCGAAGCAGGAGTACCGCATCAGACGACTCGAGCAGCAGTGGCGGTACTACTGTCACCGTCAAGAGTGCTAAGAGTGTCAAGAGCGTAAAAAGCGAATACCCCAAAAAGGGAAAGACGAGAATCCCGGTTAGGCTCGTTTCCAAGGAGGCGCTCATTGATCTCGGTTATCCATTTGTTCAAGAGGTACATCCCGATGCTATATTTTAACAATTTGATTCTTTGTCATTCTAACAACCGATCTTAGGGTAACGTCATTATCGTGCAAAAAGCTCTCGGTCAACAGAACATTGACGACCTTCTGAAGCTGAGCGAGGATTACAAGAAGTCTGAACAAGAGATCGCCGCTGCCCGGTCGAGTGCCGGAGGTATCATGGAAGAAAGAAGAGAAGAAATTTTCACCCTTCCACCGCCTCCACCGCCTATTGCTGTACCACCCCCTCCATCGATTGTTCATACTGCTGCTCCCGTTGCTCCCTCTCCGCCACCGCCACCACCCGTCGAAGTGGTCAAGGAAACTTATATCCGCGAGACCTCGCCTACTCGAAGCCATCGAAGCCATCGGAGCCATTCCACCTCAACTACTCGCACCCCCGTCATTATAGAGCCACGAGAATATAGTGACGAGGTCGCCGTAGGTCCTCTCGCATTAGTCAATGACCGACGGCGCAGCGATAGGGAAATCCAGATGGAAATCGCACGACTCGAGGCGGAACGTGAGTTTTTGAGACCCGATCGTCGGCATCACCACCACCACTCTCACTCCCGCCACCGATCCCATAGTCACAGCACCGAACGTGAACGAGTGTCAGCCGAGCGTCTGCCGACAGGTGAACTTGTCCTCTATGAGGAGCAGGTAGAGAGGATTGAGGAACCACGGCGCGGGGTGCGCATTGAGAAGGACAAGAAAGGTAGGATGTCCATCAGCGTGCCTAAGTATCGCTAGGTGAAGGTGCGCTTTCTCGCCTTGAACTACGATTGTTTTCATCTAGAAGAGGCTTGGCTAACATTGATTTTCTACTGACAGGTCCCCCACCTGGCTTGATGAGAGCTATGCTCGCAACCCTCACCTAATCGCTTCGCTCTATCCATCGACTCCACTAGTTTCTGTATTTCCACTCAAAGGAAATTCTCCGGCAACCGCCTCAAGAAACATAACGAGCAACCGATGTCAGACTTGGCGTTAGGAACCGATGATGACGTGAAACGATTTATTGAACTGTCAGGACCTAACGATTATACTAAATCAGGTATTCATGAGACTTATGTCATAGATTGGTGCGTGGCGTTTTACACAGTCGTTTGGTATAAATATTTGTGCTGGCGGGGATCAAGGGGAGTTTATTATGCACAATTTGGTCAAAGGCCAGGCCCCTATTTAGAGCCTAAGCTTATAGGGTTGATGAGCTTATTCATCATTGGTCTCGGTTCATCAGTTTGCTTGTCGTCCGACTCTCATTTTGAGAGCTTGACTTGCGGTGGGATCTCATAATGATCCAACGACCTTTTGCTGATTTTTTCACATATATCTGATATTAACTATTATTATTTTATCTTATTCCATATTATACTATTCATATACATGAATATGAAAACAGAATCCACCAATTAAGAGACTTGAAAAATGTGTTGGGAGTGGTTTGACTATGTGTAACCCACGATATGAAGCTGGGCATCTATGCTGACCAAAGGCATCCAAATACAACCATTCCTCTTGTTATGATGTCTTTTTAGACCCAAGTCCAGTCACTGAACCAAGCATCTCCAACAAAGGTCTTTATTGAGCTCGCTATTGCTAGAAAACAATGCATTCACGTCCTTTGATCTCAATACAATGCGGTTTGTTAACTGATAATATATATGAGACGTACTCGACGATGCATACGGGTATCTATTGATGAACGAAGTATCTTAGCAGCCTGTTGATTGGAAGACTACAATTCCTGCCAGGCGCAAGAATAGGCACGAATGATAGAGAACACACAAGCGTACATCCACGGCAATCATCCCAACTCTTCCATACACCTAAAGCTAGGTTAATAGTAGTACCCCAAAAATGACACGCTACAACAGAGGCATCGCGGGCGAGCGCGCCGCCGTGCGCGAAGCACAGCGCGAAGCAGCGCGGCAGCTCGAAGAAGCAGCGTGTCGTCGGAGGCCTAGCCTAGCAGAGTCGGAGACGTCCGCGTCAGCTGATGAGACGGAGAGCTGGCTTCCCGGTAGGTTCGTCGTCGCCAAAACACCACCACCACCTTCTTCTATTACCTCCAAAGCTGAGCTGGGGAGAAATGTGGTGAGGGAAAGGGATGATGTGCTGCCGCTGGCGATGCATAAGTGTCTCGATATGGATCCGATTAAGAAGGGCTCGTTCTTCTTCATGAGCTCAAGGTACGTCGAGGAGGTTGAGGATTGGTGTTGGTTTGATGAGGAGAGGCGGGGGGCGACGTTTTGACGAGGGGCCTTGCTAGGTAGGTAGGTAGGATTTGGGTTGGTTGCGCTGTCTCTTTTTATTGCCGGTTGCGATGGTTTCTCCAGGCCGTAAGCACAACTGTTTATAGGTTGGTAGGTATGGCAATATGGGTACTTAGGTAAGTTTAACTGCTGGAATGTTTTTATAACAATACGTAATGCGATTCTTAAGACGAGTTCAGTCTCTTTCGTACCTCTAAGTTGTTGGTTTATGTGAGATGTGCTTGGTGTATGTACCAGGTAGAAAAGGGTAGAAATTCCACAGCATTCGTACAGCAGGATCGATGTAATTACTCGCATGCTAGTAAATATATTATAATATGACAATACTAGTAAAAATACTATGTTTAAGATGTTTAAGATTCCTTTGGTATTGCTTTTGCGTCCTTCGCCATACCTGTCCCCTTGTGGTCAACCACCATCATTACCTGTAATTCGTGCATACTATGGTACATACAGATGGAAGCTAGGCTGAAATTATCGCTTAACTGGTTGAGATGATTATTCGCACACCCTTACTTCCTGCCTTAGGCATAGGGACGAACATATCGTGGTCGTAAGTGATATCTTCCTCCGTCGTCTCATATAGTCGCGCTTGTGGAAAGACGCGTAAGGTAAGAGCAGCTAGAGCTACGTATATCTCGCATAGAGCAAGGCTTCGTAAATCTCATTAGGATGATTTCATTCTCACAGACGTAGTCATAAATGGTAACTTACTTCATTCCTAGGCAGGACCGGCTACCCTTCGAAAATGCGAACATACCACGGTCGAGGAGCTTTTTGTTCTCAGCATCCATCCAGCGTTCCGGGATGAACGCATGAGAATCCGGGAATATGTCTTCGTTGTGATGGGATATAACACACGACATGCCGATAGCGTAACCCTTGGGAATAACGTACTCGACTGGCTTTTTGTTCCATTCTCCGCGATATATCAGATCCTCTTCGGTCGCGACCCGTGGTGAACGAGCTGAAACACCTAATATGAAAGATATCAGCAACCCCGATTTGCTCTCTACCAAGGAGAAGGAAGGATTCCTCAATTTACCATAAGAGAGACGCAGTCCTTCTTGGACAACCCCATCAAGATAAGGCAGGCTCTCGAGGACATTCCAGGCTGGTAGATGTCGAGGATCATCAACAGCACCTTTTAGCTCCTCTGTTAATTTTTCCATCATTTCAGGCTTCGTGAGCAGTTGGTATGTGATGATGGAAAGCGTCCAGCTCGCAGTGATTGTTCCTGCACCGAGAAGGGCTGCCGCTTCATCGGATAGATCCAATGGTTCCTTCTCCTCGGGTGATAATTGTAATAGAGAACTAAATATAGTAGGTCTGTCTCTTACTACCCCTGAATTGATTTCGGCTTCCATGTTTTTCACCTTCTTCGGCATCTCGACCCTAAGAGTTCGGATGAGGAGCGCGAAGTCAGCAGGAAGGTAGTCCATGAAACTTGTCTTTGTTAGAAAGCCTAGTTATCATTACTTGGGAAAAGGGGTAACGGACTAGTCTCCAAGACTGAATAAATGCCTGAGAATAGGAAAGAATCGAAGGGCGAAGACGGGTTTAAGTATGGCGACTTCGGGAACGTGGAAGTTAGGGTACCATCCTTCTTGGTCTAAAAAGCCGAAGCTCTCGCCAAAGCAGTAAGAGGAGATGGCATCCGAAGCGAAGCAACTATAAGCAACGACAACGTCGATTGGGCTATCGCCTGAATGCAATAGCTTGTCGCAGAGTACTTGTGCTAGCTTATGTATATCGTCTTCCAATCGTGAAATCATCCCCCGAGCGAAGAATTTAGCCACGGGTCCTCGACGTACTCTATGCAAATTGTGATCCATCGTGCCAAACGCAGACTCAGTATGCGCTGAGCCGCTGATCAGGTGCAATGGCTTGTTCCGCTTACGGTTACCAACAGCATATATCTCGTCGACGAAGTTTATATCACTGCAGTGTACTTCGTCGGGACTAATACGAATGATAGGTCCTATCATTGGCCGTTAGCTAGCTGTAACGAAGCGTCTTGGTTTCGACCATTACCATATTTTTCGTGCATTTTCTGGATTTGCTTTGTGTATCGACCATACTTTATCAGATCATAGTAAAATTCGGGCAGATATGTTGCCCTCGCAAGCCAAGGCCCCGGAATATGGCTTAGGGGATGAAGCGGCGATATATTGTATAGTATATTGCATAGTTGATATATTATCCATACCCCGGCCGTAGCAGAGAGGAATATGATCCAGGGGCGGACCGTCAATAGTTCCGCGTAATCCATCTTGAAGAGATAGTCACAGTGAATATTGCTAGGGTAAAAGAGATAGGATACTGGGATTTTGTTTCTACCGAGTTTTCAAGTTGGACAGAAGCGTCGAAGAAACCGAATGCCCACGCAATGAGTTCAACATCATGCAACTCATTGTTTACCGCAACATTGCGCAATTGCTCGTACTTGTATTCTTTTCTATCTCTTGAATGGTCAGGTCTACCGACCTGGTATAGACCAGTCCCAAAGCATCCCACCTTGCTCAATAACCCACCGAAACCCACAAAAGCGAGATTCTGATTAGCCGAGAACATTATTATTTGTGTTGAATATGGTACACTAGACCAGGTGAGTTTTATTCAGAGGGGGTGTGTAGACTCTTGCTGTCGAGTCGATAGGCATCGGTGGATTGGCCTGGAAATACCCCTGAATTCAACTAAACATCTCCAAACCCCAAATCTGATAGAAGATCATCCACATTCGTACTCTATCCAGCGAAATGGATAACGTAAGAAACGATGTAACGCAAAGCGAACAAAATCGGATCAATGACTCTTCGAGAATGATAGTACATAATCCAGGCGCCTTGTGCAACTAGAAGATAAAGGACGTGATCGCAAGGTGTGGCCATGCGGAGCACAGTACCCGCCTATGATATTCGCGCGATATGTAATTCCAATCAGAGGCATTTGCCGACTATTCGGTATTACCTTAATCCGGTACTTACGTAATGCATGCTGTGGGTCAATGGAGCGGCCATCCGATTTTGCGGGGAACTCGATCTCGGCAGCCCCCATAATAATATTCAAATCCGAATCAAGCTGCGCATTTTATCCAAAACTTCTATGATAACTACACCTGCGATGAAATTGTCAGCGCCGCCTTGAATTTATCTCAAGAAGTCATGCGGCAGCCATATGTGGACGACGTTGTACTCACATTACCGTTTCCGAACGGCTGAAATACTACCAATATTGAGCATTGAGGAAGAGGAGCTCTTGCACCCAAAGCGGCTGGAGCCGTGACATCTTCAGGATGACACCACGTGTTACAACCGGGAAAGTGACTTCGATAGGATACAGCGCGTAGCGAGGAACAGAACGTAAAAGCATGCGGGGGATATTTATAGCACGGATCACTGCTAAGGATCACCGGTTCATTTGATGTAGAGCCAAGTTGTTGGAGTTGGGTAAGAGCAGGGTTACGGAAATGAGGCGGCGAAGGGGTGAAGTGAATCCCGATGTGAATATGTTCAATTAAGATATTCGAGCTTGGCGTTGATATGAAGTGTCGCTACATCTAAAACGCATCGCATGCTATGTTCTAGCATCATTCATATGGAGATATATGTGGGTTGACAACACCAATCAATGGCACGAACACAGATGCTTTTGGTAAAAGCCACGGAGGCCAAGGGCTGTCAATGAGGTTCTGTCAGATACAATTTCATAATTTTTGTGTTATCAGGTGGTCCGTGTGTTTTGATGCCTTGATGCCTTCAAATCTCTGGTTTTCACGTGATCTCCTTTGAGACACGATATGGAGACCATTGAAGATTTTGCAGTTAGTCTTGGCCAGAATCTCCTAGATGAAGAAGATAGAATTTTCTTTACACAATTAATTGAATTATCAAGTCTCACGTTATTTTGACAGGTTCCTACCAAGAATGACACATGCCGCTTCCATTGCGACCCTGAGCGATATCATTGAGACTCGCAATAAATTCGACGGTGCGAAGCAAGGCGACTAGGTACTGTAATAAGAGCGATGAAATTATAACAAAATGGGTGCTATACACCTGTAATTCTATCCCGGACGCGAATGGAGACAACTGCAACCTGAAATTTCTCCAAATCAGCAATCCCAACGTCTAGTTAGCACGATATAACGGGGGCGTTGATGTGGTTTAGCCACCCCCTAAAGTGGATCCCATGCTAACGCGGGGAGTTAAGGGGTACCTATGGTCAATGATGCAATGGAGATGGTGTATCAATAAGACTCAACTCTGAAATGTTTTATAAAAAGTCCATTCTTGAATTCTAGCTTCATAAAAATATATAAGTCCCAGAACCAAACTATGATAGCCTCAGATATCCCATTAATTACCTAGGTAGGTAGTAATATCTTTCGTAACGTCGTAGAAGTCCCGCTGTTTTCCATAACTGGGAGACAGGCCGTAAGCCGTAAGTAGAACGCTCAGCAACAAGTAGGAAGATAAGTCTGTTAGGAGGGGTTCCTATCAACTAAGTCGTCGACTACTCTAGAGAGGTAGTTCTGAATCGGGCCATTGTCGCAAGTAGTGCCATGCATGAGGACCTCGTTCTTCAGGCACAGAACTTCGTTCCGAAGGCCAAAGGCGGTGTCTTTCAGATCCTTGTTCCTCTGAGACAGCTCCTGTTCTCTCTGCTTGAGCTGCTCGATGTTCGCCTTGGACTTCTGCCGACACTTGTGCGCCGCCCTTCGGTTTCTCTCTCTCTTGGTCTTGGTTTGGGATTGGGAAGTAGATGGTTCACTGTGGGTAAGAGGGGTGGGGTCTAGTGATCTCTGACCTTGAGAGTTGTAGACTGCGATAGTCAACATGATAATTCTCTATCTGGGATAATACCGACGGGTTGTATTTAGTAAATGCCACTCCTTTTCAAGCGAGCCCCAGTTCTAAACCGAGTCTCAGTTCTAAACCGAGTCTCGTTCTGCTTAGCAAGAGTTGGCGAAAAGACTGTGGGAGAAATTTGGAGAACGTACCCATGTCAGAGTCCGACCCGTTGAGCTCGTTGGGAAATTCCTCCGTCTTGAATGTGTTAGGCCATCCGCTCTACTAAACGATCATTCATGAGGGTGACGTACGAAGCTGGCTGCCGGGGTAAGAAGTTGATGAGGGGCAGGTGCCGGCATGTCTGATATGCCCTCGACGTTTGGTTTCTCCAGTTCCAACGGGCTTACCAGATAGCCGGCACTGGCGGGGTCCTGGAAGCCTTGAGCCTGCATCGTCAATGGTTGGTAGGTGAAGCTAAGGTAGATGATATGAATTAAGTAGGGTCAAGTCCTCAATGAATCGATGAAAATTTGGGTTATGTGGTTAGCAAATCCGTATCTCTTTAGATTCTAGAAAAGCTCCTAAGGCTTAGGGGCGCTCTCTTTTAAGTAAGCGTAGCGGAGTGGCAAAGTATGGCTTCTATACATACCTACATGGTAACACATGGATAAATTTGAATGGATAAGTTAATTCGCATGGACGTGTGACAAACAGGGCAATCTATCAACGCATGCGAAGACTAGGAAGGTAAGTAATTTGGTAATCCGTAACTGCGTGGGATGAAAATCGCCGTTGAACTACAAAATGTAGGATGACAACATCAATTACGTCGGAGGACACGCCGGGCAGACGGGCTGCTATGATTCGCTGCATATTGTAAGCGAAGTTGATCGTTACTCCCACCTGGCAGCTCATGGTTACGTTCACCGAGATTCCTCCTGAAGGTGATCTTCGTCGGTTGGCAATGTTCGTATCGCTGTACCAAACGCACGGGACTCCCCCGCGTTGGCTGGTTGGGACAATGGGCGATCCATCCGATGATATCAGGATTTGGATTGGATCCGGTTCCAGCATTCCAGCAAAACAGCGAGGTGCTTCGACGGTTCCGCACTGCTTCCGCCGTCTCTTGCTTCAATTACATCACCGCACGCGCACTCCTCGTGTTCCTTGTGTTACGCGGCAATAATGGCATCTCTCGCATTGGCTGCGGCCTGCGAGATCTATGTGTAATCGTCACTACGCGCAATTCCATGTTTCTATAACCCTACTTCCAGCTGCATGTGCAGCTGCACAGATTGGATCTCTTGACTAATTTTACTAATTTAGGATTCGTTTTCGGTATTTGCTACGAACTTATAGTAGCGTATGGGGGCGGGGGATGTATTAAGTAAGCAGCTAAGTGGATACTTGACGTTACCCCTCCACCCCTCCATCTTGTTCGAGTGTGGCCCCTGCGTCACCCCTATTTTCCCCATCCCCTAGTATGCTTCATTCTAGTGTAACCACATCAATTCCCGTGTTTCTATTTGAAATAATTGTATTCTTCGAAAATAACCCAACTATACAATCATTCCCTCCAAAACCCTAGATCATAACCATTCCCTTTTTCCAATGCCCTCTTCCACGCGTCTCGTGACATACACCTATCATACCATCCCTTCAGTCTTGGGTATTTATTCAGGTCGACGTCAGCCGCTTGAACTCCAAAATCCACAAACCACTGCAGAATGAAGTCAAGCCTAGTTGGTTCTGTAGTACCGTTGAAATATTCGCGACCCTCGAGCTCGCTATCTAGGAATTTCAAAACATTGTCGATTTCGGCGTCAAGAAATACTCTCTCGATCGTCAGCTTGACGCCTAGTATAATAGGCCGTGTAAAAAATGGAGACGCGTATGCAATGCCACCAAGTGTGCTCTTGAGACTGAAAAATTGGTTCAGTGCCGTCTGGCCCATCGATAGGAGCTGCTCTTCGCGGAACCTGTCGTTATTGGCACTATCGTGCCCGTCACTGCCTGGCGCAGGAACCTTGAACCGGCCAGCGCTGTCGTATGTCTCGATCAGGTAATACGCGATTGCGCTTCGTTCTGCAATGACGCGACCCGAGCCCGTCACCAATTGTGGCGCCTTTCCAAGGGGGTGCGTGTTTTTGAGAGCTGCCGCGGCTCGTCCGCCATCGCGATTATGCAGGACTAAGTTGTATTCTATACCTAGTTCCTCGAGCAACCACAAACTCTGCTGAGACCCTGAGTTCTATTACTAAGGTTAGATCAGGCTGCATTGCGAGTAACGGGATATTAAAGAGGAATATTTACCTGCATGTAATGGAGCGTAGGTTTACTACTCTCCATATCGTCGGCTAGTCTGCTGTATTGGGGTAAATGTCGAAGCTGCTGCAAGGGAACTATGAGAGACCTATTGCAATTCCAAGCATAACATACCTAACCTACATATAAGCGGAATCGAAGGTTCGTATGGGGCCTGTCGGAATTGATTTAAGATTAGTCGTAGACGCAAGGGATAGCTTCCCTTGAATACTAGCTTGCTTTGTCGTAGCTTCAACTAACCAACAAAAGAACAACTTCACTTGGTATTTTCAGCCTCCCCTGATTTGACAAGCATAGCTCCTAGCTAGGCTTTAGTGCTCGCACGTGTCTACAACGTCTTAGCTGTGTTGTGGGTAATTGTGCGTTAACACTCCTTAGTCGACTTTAGATGCTTCCAATTTCTGAAAGATGGGATCCTGCTATGGTATGTTATAGTTTCGTCGTCTTTACTTATCATAGTAACCTTTTGGGGACGAATTGAATTCATGGAAAGTATCGAATTCAACATCGAGTTAGACTCAATCCATAATGTTGTATGGGAATTTCATAACTCAACATGTAGTTGGCATACGCTCTAGGTACACGTGAAAAATATCTACCTAATGACTGATATAAAAAATGGGTACCTACCTATACTTTAACCCGACTAATCTATGCCTTTCGATGTTCCAAGGACTATTTTCAAATTACATATTGAGATGCTAGGTAGTTATAGTAAGCCATCGGCATACTGTGTTGTTGAGTTGACTCAAACCTCGGTAACTCCCAACACCATTTCTGAACCCCAACTCGTCCAGCTTCACTTCTACTTGGGTAGGCATGCCTTGACTTTAAACTCAATGAATGGTTTTCTTAGCTATTTCTCTACGGTCTAACATCGGATAGTGGAGTGCTTTCGTTGAACGAATAATTTTCGAACTGGACTTCCTTGATAGTTTCAAACTTTTATCCCGTAGTCGGGAGAGAGATGCTCAGCACCTTCGGATAATGGCAAATATATATACCGTACAGAATCCTCCATAACACAAAGCTACCTACATTTCGCCAGCATATGATCTGTTCTGCTGCCGAGCTCATGGGGAGACATAAAGGATAAAGGGGGGGAGGTTGAGACAATATGTGGGTGTGATTTGCCACGATAGTCACACATTCCACGATTTCCGGTTGGCCATCGTAGTTTATCTGGGATATCCAGGTTCACTAAAGTCAGCCTGTCATACATGCGGCTTGAAATTGATGCCGGGTAGTTTTACATCCGCGGTCCTATCAAGCGCCGACGACAAGATCTCTACTGCTATTGACCAACCCTATCTTCAAGCCATACTTTAATGACTGAAATAATTGACAGACGGCTTTATTGATACATATTTAGAACGTGTCTTGAATTGAATTATCGAGAATGAGCTCATCGACGACTAATGAGAAAGTACACCAATTGAGAGTATTCAAAAAGTCATTTGCAGGACTTAATAAGACTAATTCCTAATAAGCAATCATTTAGCAATAGAACGTGCTTAATCAAGCCAAAGTCGTTATAATACATATCCTTGAGGTTATAGAGCAGTTGAATGTGTACTTGTCTACTCTAATTGTAGAAGGAGTGAAAGGATTCGAATATACGAAATTCATCTTTAATTAGCTGTCTCATATAATTAAAACGTTTTTGATTTTACTGCTCACGATGCTACACTTGAATAAATATGAGACTTGAGCTGCTGAAAATAGTTCCAGTTGATTGCATGCATAGTAGGTAGCGGCATGGCTGAGCTGGGCGTGGCTCGTAATTCCGCTAAATCCTCTCGTATAGTCGACGTATCCCGCGCTCTAGGCAGTTAAATAAACAATTAGTATTTCTATTTTTACGTAGAAAACGTTTACCCCATCCTTTAGCTAAATGCCACATCCTAACACGTGAAGCTCGGATAAGATTCCAGCCGGTGTAGCAACGTAACTCCAATGCGTGCGCTTAGAGCACCCGTCCCATCCAGATTCGGAACTCCTGCCTCCGTTTAGAGTTAATGAGCGACCTCGAATTAGAGCCAATCCGTTTACAATTGGATCAAAAGCAGGACTTTGTGTTGGAAATAGACCATTGGATGGAGAAGGACGGCGCTTGATGGCCCGTCTTCTCCAAATTTTGCTAAGCCTTGTTTTGGGAGCATTGAACTAGCCTTCACGATATAGGGTTGAGAGATGCAATAGGCACACAATTCATCTGCTAGCGAATCCTCGGCTCCCAATCTGAATCACACCATGCTGAGATGAGCTGCAGAAAATTGCTCGACCCCAATGGTGGGTTACATGCTGCCTGCAGAAAAGCGCCATTATCAGAAGTCTTACATTGTCCAGCTGCGGCAAAGCAGGCACTGCCGCCAATATAAATATGGCCCCCATGAATCTGAAAACTGGTCTCCTCATATATAATGGCTCAAGGTTTTACGTTGCTTTCTTAAGCTCAGTACTTCTTTGTTTAAGTCTCGGTAAGGTCTGTTCCAAGTCCGTCAAAAACGCCCCCGTGCGAAGTTCAGGCTCTCTATGGTGAGCTAGGCAAAGAATCACGATTTCGCCGCAAACAGCTTTACAGTCTCAAATTAGGCTCTGAGCGAAGATGGCTTACTTGGCCGCAGTAGCATTGACATGCCTCGCGGTTGGAGCCAATGCGCTACCTCCGGCATCAAAAGGACCATGTGCAGCAACGGCTGAATGGACCGAGTGGAAGGACATCAAACACACGTTCATCTTGTTAGCGTCACCAACAAAGCCTCACGTAGCGTATACTAACCTGTTTTTAGTGGAGATAGCTACACAGCGACAGGTACTGGGTAGAGAAGACATCGCTAGAATTGAAGAAATTCACTCACAATTAACCATAGGATTTAACTACACGCAAGCAGCACCCACAGCAGAGACTCCCCTCGGCAATCCAGCGTACCCAGGATACACATCATCTAATGGACCGAATTGGGTCGACTTTCTGACAGTCAAGCATAATGCGTCTCGTTTACAGACTTACAACTTCGCTTATGGAGGTGCTACCGTCGACTCCGGTCTCGTTAAGCCGTACCAGCCAACTGTACTATCTGTCAAGCAACAAGTAGAGGATGAGTTCGTCCCGGGCTATACTGGTGATTCACCAAAAGCCCCGTCAACTCCGAAATGGACCGGAAAAGACTCTATCTTCGCCGTCTGGATCGGTATTAACGATGTCGGCAATTCATACGGAGCTGGGGCCGAATCTTCAGGCCCCCTATACACCCAGATTTTCGATCTTTACTCTGGACTGATTGATAAGCTCTACAGTAATGGCGCAAGGAACTTCGTGTTCATCAATGTTCCACCTGTCGATCGGAGCCCCTTGACCGTTGGTCAGGGGCAGAGCTCAGTAGACACGGAGAAAGCAGCTATTGAAGATTGGAACAAACGTGTCTCGGATACGGCTGCTGCGCTCAAGAAAAACCACACGGAAGAGGTCAATGTCTGGGTCTACGACTCGAACAAGGTTTTCGGGGAAGTATTAGATAAGCCATCTACGTATGAACAGACCGCTGGCCTCAAGAACACGACCGACTTTTGCGCTGCGTATCAAAAGTGAGTCCAACTATTCGGAACGATGAAGAACTAGGTTGAAAAGTTGATCAACATACTAATTATTGTAGTGGCACGCCGAACGAAGATACGCTTACCACGAGCTGTGGAGTTCCTGTAAACGAATATTTCTGGCTCAATAATCTACACCCGACATATCCTATCCACGATGTGGTTGCCAAAGGTGTCGCAGACGCCCTAAAAGCAGGGCCAGGTATTTGTTAAGAATTATGATATGAAGATATAGAGAGCCATGGAAATATTACATGAAAACTTGAATGTATATACCTACAACCACCCATGCGGAACCATCCGGTTTTCTCACCAAGAACCGTCAAAACTCACCAACTTCATGTCTAAATCAAAAGTAACAGTAAAATCAAACAGTAATATAAGTTGAAGTGTACAGCCTTCTAGAAAACGTACGGTAATTAGTCGCATGACAGTAGGGAGAAAGTAGGTATATTACCTCGGATCCTTGGGAAGATGTCTTGGAGAATCTAGAAAGATCCGTAATATAAGGAGCTTCTAAATCCCTCCATGACAATTAAGACGATATACATACCCAGTAACAGGCACTTTTAAATCCCTACTTAGATTGGTTTCTAGAACTAACATCGAAGAAACCACAAATAACCAACCCCAACAACACCAATAACTGTCACGCCGTTGTTACCTGTCAACACTTGTGCCGATTTCATTTCCGAGCTCGCTTGAATTAGAGTACTCACCATCTAGATGCTGGATGAGGGCATTAGTTATCCTTACCTAGTTATATAGCATTTAAAGAAGGCACATGGCGGTCAGATCTAAGTCTCGGACTGTTAAACCCTGTTGGTAACACAGCGATAGGACGTTTTCGTTAACAGGGGATTGATACGCACGAGAGTTAATGCGACATTCGGTTTCTGTCATCTAGCATCTCCCAATTTACGTACGTTCATTTATAATGCGGCTGAGCGTTCAAGATGAGGCGAATATTCTGATAGAACGTATACAGGTGATCAGAAATACATCCAACTACGAAGCAAAATGGTCACTAATCACTCCAACATCGCAGCATCGTGGTTTCTCGAGAGAATTAGCACTAGCGCCACGTAGAAAAAAAGGGGGATGAGATCGAGATGGTGTGTATAAAGAGCAGCAACATCCGTCTTGGTGATTCGATCCAGTCCAGCAGAGTTTCATCGAGAACCATATCCGAATCACATTAACAAACTTGCCAAGTTTCTACATCATAAAACAAATTCCACTTTCCTCAACTCACTCAGAATTCAGGAAACATAGCCCATCATGCGTGTATCAACCTTCTTCCTCACAACGATGGCAGCGGTGGCAACCCATGGCTACAAAATTGATCCCAGCCTTCCAGATGGCATTTACTACATCCCAGCCTTGAATGCGTCCGAAAAGGGCCTGAACAAGCTTTTTGGGGAGCCCATACGCATCGGAGACATCGAATATCCACAAACCATCAGCGGCAAGGAATTCGCACGAGACGTAGTCGGCGAAGTCCCCGTTCCCGCAGACACCAAAGTTTGCTACGACGCGACAGAAAACGGCGTGGACCAGAGCGGCGCGAAACGTAACTTGAAGGACAAATGCAACTCCTCGACTCCGGTTCCGCGTTGGCATGACATGCAGTCGGGGATCATACTCTCCCGCTTCGCCAGCTCGCTCGCGTTTGTGTGTAACTGGTCGGGGAATCTGCAACTATGCGCGCCCAACGAGATCGACGACTCATACAGTCAGATCGCCGCCGAATGCAATGGCGATACCCAGAGCGGCCATATCTGTGCGAGTTCTTGGAAGAAGTGCTACGGGCACTCGACCGTCACGGGAGAGATTTGCGATAACGACGTCTAAGACCTTCCAGGAAGATATGATATCCACCCGTCAGGAACCGAGGGTTACTCTTTCATATCATATCTTCAGTTTAACTTGTTCTCTTCGTTTGCATTTCAACCAAGATATCTAGTGGGGTTGAAAGAGGAATCCTAATGTCCGCACAGTGCCTTCGTTTCATAACTTTCATTAAATATACTTGATAAAGATTAGCTGGAATTGGCATATAATCCGCATGGAGTAATTACACAGAACACGAAGTAGATGTAGGTAGATAATCAATATATAAAGGGTTGAGGTACAAGAACATCTTCGCTCTGTCTTACCGAGTTTCGTTTGATTCAAAGACGGGGTGAAATCTGTATCCACAAGAGGATAATCAAGTGTCAGTAATAAGATTGCATTATATATTAGATTTACCATAATATATTTGGTATATGGGACGACAGGAAGGAAATCTAGAAATAATTAGTAAAATATATAGCTGAACAATTACATCCTTTTCTTGCTGTTTGTCTCTTTGTAAAGGAAAAGTGGTGAAAGGGCGGGTATGAGGATGAAAAGGGGGAGGTGGGGCGTACCAAGGCATGTCACGTAACTGCGACACAATTTAATGATTTTGAAGTCATAGATAAACTTGAATCATTGAATTTCAGATAATTAGATAGAATATGCAAGAAAAAGGACAATTTTATTTATCTATTTGTTGGTACTAGAAACCATGCATCCATGTCCACCGAAGTACTAGCCAGTACAAGTGATTCAAGGGCTATGCGTTTTAGACATACAAAATGTCTTATTTCAACAGAGAACAGACTATATATCATATCTATCAGTATGATGTTGAACAGGTCTATAGATGAAATAGTCAAAAGTCGCCGGCAGCGCAGTCCCATTTATATCAGAAGCAGCCATCCCCACAAACGCACCCGTGAAGCTTCCATGGGCTTGATGGCCGCCACATTCATCAGATAGAATAGAAGCGTCGTAGACCGGCCCAATTTTCATTAATTCTTCACCATCAAAGGCGTAATAAAACTGTAGTTCGCGACCACGGATCGTCAACGCCAGTTTGACCTTCCCCTCATTGGGTATCTGCACCGGATCCGCGAGTGGCCTGTTGAGATTTCCATCGGGCCAGGACGCCTCCGAAGTCAGAATGAGGAGCTCTCGCTGACCATCGGAATGGGCCGTCACGGTTAAGTAGAAGAAATTGTATCGGCAATAGTACGCGGCGAGCCCTGCGAACTGCCTCTCATCTGTCGGAGAGAAGTCGATCACCGTCTCTGCATCGTAGGAGAAATGAGTCTGTCTCCTCGCGACCAACGCCTGCTCAAACCACGATCCAATGCTTTCCCGACCAAATAAGGTGAGCTTCCCGTCTTGCGTGGAGAAGATGCGCTCTGTCTCAGGCGTTCTCAGCCATTGAAAGTCTTTGTGTAAGCCATTCGCGAAATCGTATCTCTGCTCCGCCCAATATTTGCTGTCATCGCGCTCTCCCGGAACTTCGACGTAGAGTGAAGGGACAGGCCCATTCTTCACGAAAAGCCAGTCATCTTCCCAGAAAGCTTCTTGTATAGCAGTCTCGCGGCCGAGCACGCAACGACGCTCCTGGGTCGTCGGGCGACCGGTTAAGTGTACTAGGTAAGTCTTCCCCTCTGGGGTCTGGACTATATCACCATGGCCGGATCTCTGTAAAGCTGCATGTGGGGCGTCCTTTGACGTGAGGATATGTTTTTGCGGATGCACTTCGTACGGACCCCAGACATCGCGAGAGCGGGCCAATGTGCATGCATGATGATAAGCAGTGCCACCTTCAGCCGTCAGGAGATAATACCATCCATTCCTCTTATATAGATGCGGCCCCTCAACAAGATCCAATTCCGTCCCGAGAAAGATGTTTTTCTTTGGACCAACAAGCTTCCCCGCCGAAGGGTCAAATTCTTGCAAGACAATGCCCGCGAAGGAACGAGGTCGACGACGATGGTCCTGTAACATGTTTACGAACCATTTCTTGCCGTCATCGTCATGAAATAGTGAAGGATCAAACCCTGAAGAATTGGCGTACACGGGATCGGACCAAGGTCCCTCTATTGACGGAGCATTGACGATGTAATTGTGAGTGTCTTTGAAAGAACCGTCTTTGCGCTTCACGTCTGTATAGACTAGCCAGAACTTTTCGCCGTCGTGTGTAAGACAAGGAGCCCACACGCCGCAACTATCTGGGTCACCGCGCATGTCCAACTGGGACTTGCGATTCAGGGGGCGCGTGACCAATTCCCAGTTTGCCAGATCTTTGGAATGGTGGATCTGCACCCCCGGATACCACTCAAACGTAGATGTCGCGATGTAATAATCGCTGCCGACTCGGAGTATGGAAGGGTCGGCGTTAAAGCCTGGCAAGATCGGGTTGCGAATTAGAGGCATGATGGTGATGAATAGGTGCCTAAGCCAACGTCTATATTATGGAATATGGGGGAACAAATCATCCAGGAACTGATGCATTGAGCAAGCACTTTGGAATGAAAGTTATATACGACGATGACGTTTGGAAAACTGCTTCTTGGCTTCGGCACGACTTAGGAATGATGCCCCGAAAAGGGAACCATCGCATTTAGCCGGCTGCGCTATTGTTACCCCAAGTTTAGGCAGTCGACAAAACTAATCGCATTAGGTAAAGTGATGCGTATTCAATTGATAGTCCTATAGGTAGAGTAGAGCGAGAGTTTGCCTGTATCTGTATGATTCCAGTAATTTAGGTAGATAGCTACCTACCTGCAGATCTCATGCTTTTGCCTAACCTTGAGAAAGTCAACGCCTACCAAATCCAGTGCGTATATGGAGAGGTCTCTGGATAACCAGGCCAAGTTCTGCAGTATTAGGATACCTAGAAAAGAATATTCGAAAATTACCTAGGTGGACTTTACCTGAGTGAAACGACACTGGAGATGTTCTAATAAAAGGGGCTAAACGCCCCCTATTACCCCTTTTCACTGTTCAAGGCTAAAAATGTTCGCCAATAACGAGATAATGTTCCAACAACAAGAAACAAGAAGTATTATACCTAACCGTCGTAGCAGGTTTGGTGTAATTACCTAGCTTTAAGAAGAAAGTGATACGGAAACAATAGATTTTGCCATGTCTCAATCTATCAGGCAGATACAAATTCATTTCTCTTTTCCAGCGACCCTTGAGACCTCGTCTTCACCCAATTCGTGAGCCTGTTAGTTCCTAGGATGAATATCAACGCTTACTGATGACCTTAGACATGTTATACTTACCTACCTAAGTACTGATAGGTAAGTAAGTAAGTAGATACCCAGGTAGCCAGAAAATAATAGTAGAAACGGAGCGTGTAGCCCCTATTCCAGCATGGTCACATACATACGAGTCCCAAACGACGCATATTCGTCTTATACAGCCGTGGTCTCGTCGATATGTATTTTGTTTAATTCACTAGGGGGGAAATGAATCTACATTATATCAAGCTATGGCATGTTTGCGCGAAGTGCATGGCGAGGAGTGGGGATAGGGTCAAGCTAATCCCGATCTTTACGCCGCTTACTATCTACCTATATTCCCACAATTATAACCATGCGTATCTACCTAGAAAGGTAGGTAGGTACCCTAGCAGAGCCAACTGCAGCTCACGTCATTTCTATCTAGACCAGGGTCGAACACATCCCACTCTATGGTAGATACCTAAGATCACCACCGTCACTTATAAAACTTTCAAATTCGAAGAAGCTTCAGTATATCTTCATCCTCTATAGGTATCTGATGTAAAGCTCAGTAGAAATATAGTACACCATATCAATTATACCTATATAAAACTCGAACCAAGAACACTCGCAATGGCCGGCCACGTGTAAGTGATTCAATGCCACCCTAGTAACAGTAACCAAGCACATACTCACGAATGCAAGAAATATGATGGACGACTGTCTGATATCCAACTGTTCGTCAATATGATCACCATATACCTACCACACCGAACCGTTACATGCTATTCTAACCGGCGACATAGTACCGCCCGCTACTCTGAGATCAGCACTTCGCCTCCTCGTCTCACAGGGATCTAGTACACAACGACCCTTCGTTGAGCATATCCGCGCCAAATTCCGTGAAAGTCCACCCATCTTCGACCCCCCCGAGAAGTTATTCTCCGGAGATGATGTCGTTACCCCTGAGTGCTTGGCGTACCTTGCGCAGACGAGGTGCATCTTTTCATGCAAGCTAGCCCAAGAATCGCTTCCATAGTATGACATATTTCCAAAGATGTAGGTATCTAACGTTATTTAATCTAATTTTTATAGCTTAGAACATTTCATGAAGGCCATTCCACAGACGGGAGTTAGGGTACGTATATTCCAAATCCGTGTTACCACGTAGCCCCTTTTCCCGATTGACGTAGCACAACACTCTTCCAACCTACATACATACTTGCGAGTCAAGCCGGCAAAATCCACGTCGCAGCTCGACGAAACTCTTATAAAAGTCTCTGATTCAAGGCCCAAAAAAAAACTCACTTCGCATCCATCAGTGGACCGACCCAGGCGCCCTGACCCAAACGCTGCAAAAGTTCGACGGCGACATCGTCCAAGCCGTCCAAGCGCTCAAAGAATCGCGTCCGGAGCCGACCGCGGCCCTACTAACCTCGCTCCAGAACCTGCTCTCCAGCATCGAACATTGCTCCACTTACTGCCTCGCCGCGCGCCCCTCGTCCCTGGCCTTTCCGTTCCTGCGCGCGCGCCGGCAGCTGCGGGACGTGTTGCGCATCCTGTTTCCGGAGCACGCGGATGGGCAGCCGGACGGCGCGGCGGGTTCGCGAGGTCTGGAAGTCGGCGTGGATGTGCATGTGCATGTAGATGGGAGCACGGTGGAGACGTTCCAGCTAGGCCCTTTCCGCGTGCCGAGGCTGTTCAACGGCTTGTGGCAGGTGTCCTCGCCGTCGTGGGGGTCCGCCGGCGGCGCGACGCAGGAGCGGGCGCTTTTAAGGGCCGTCGGGTGCGGGTTGACGGCGGCGGATATGGCGGATCATTATGTGGGTGATCTAGTGCTTCCGAGGTCAATAGGGGAACTATTTCTGATCGAGAGGACAGGGCGACGCGGAGTTGATATACGGCGATTTTAGGAATTCGCTGCGGCCTGAAGTCCGAGATACGGTGTATGCGGCGACTAAATGGGTAGGCGTATTCAAGAATCATTCTCCTTCTCCTTTGAGAGCTTTGATGTGTGGTATTACTGACTACCAGTGCTCCAGTGCATATTCTTGCCGATTTCTACTCCCATAACAACGTCGTTCGTACTCGACGCTGTACGTGAACGGTACCGACGGCTAGGAGGACGAGTCGAGCTCCTCCAGTTCCATTGGCAGGACGTACGTACCCCTATCAACTCTCTTTTCTCTTTAGGGAAATCTACCCATCTCACTGGACTTGTATATAGTACGAATCCAAACAGTACCTTGACATCCTCGTCGAACTAGTCCGCATCACGAAACTGCACCCGGAACTCGTGACCTCGATCGGGCTCTGCAATTTCGACTCCGAGCACACGGAGGAGTGCTGCGAGTATCTAATTGCCAAGACGGGGGAGGTTGGAATTGTGTCGAACCAGGTGCAGGTAAGCAAGCCTTATACCGCACAAGAAGACGAAGTATCATGCGTGGTATGGTATGGTATGTGTCCAAATCACTAAGACCAGTCCACAGTTCTCGCTCGTAGACGCGCGCCCGCTGCACAAGATGGTGCACGTATGTGAGAAGTACGGGTTGAAGCTACTCACATACGGCTCATTCGTAAGGCTCTCCTTTTCCCATCACTTGCACTCCAAGACCCATCATCATCATCGTGCTGATACGCTCTATCCTAGTGCGGAGGCTTCCTATCCTCCCAATGGCTCAACCAGCCCGCCCCCGAAACATACCTCGAATCGAACCAGCTCACCCCTTCTCAGCGCAAGGTACGCCCCCTTTTCCTTTTCCCTTACCCATCCCCATCCCCATCCCCATCCCCAACTACCCCTACCTACATACCTAGGTACCTACCTAACTCACACACACCCCCAGTACTTCGACACAATCCTCCTCTGGGCCCCCTGGCCGACCTTCCAAACCCTCCTCACAACCCTCTCCCTCATCGCGCAAAAACACGCCGTAAGCATCCCCAACGTAGCCGCGCGCTGGGTGCTCCAGCAACCCCGCGTCGGCGCCGTGATCGTCGGCACGCGGCTAGGCGTGTCGGACCGCGCGCCCGACAACCTGGGCGTCTTCCGGTTCGCGCTCGACGGGGACGACGTAGCTGCCATCAACGCGGTGGCGCTCGGCGCGAGGGGGGAGAGGAGCGCGGCGGTGTACGAGAGGTTGGGGGATTGTGGGGGGGAGTATCGGGGATTGCGTTGAGAGCATCTACCTAATACCTCATTTCTCATTTCGGCCCTACCATTTAAGGGTTTAGGTAGAGGTTAATCTATTACTTACTTACCTATTTTATATATATTTTAACGTCTTCAATCTCTACTACATGGCAATTCCATCACAAGCAAATCATCCATCAACTTCTGTCAAACGAGCGTCAATTGTTACGATCCAAGTCGATAAATAAGAAGAGTAGGTACCTAATTCTACGAGCAAGCATACTATGAATAAAATTTCATGGCTAACAACGTCTGAAAACTAAATTGGAAAATCCGAGTTATATATGATTCGTCGAAGGCACATGAGATGATCGGTGGAAACGAGCACACCACACCAATAGACAGATTTGGCTAGAAGACATCCCATTTTTACGCCCGTAATAATTCGGCACGGGCGGCCGATATATGGTATTTTGACGCCGAGTAGCATCTATCAACACATCTAGGTGGAGTATTTATTAGGCAATCTCATACGCTCAATGCCGCCCACGCGTATCTAGTCAGGTTAGAAAGGTAGGTTAAGTAAGATCCGTGGGGAAGCTATAAATTTCGTCTCAGAAAGATCCACCTGATGAAACAAACGCTTATCGCCGGTGAGAGAGAAGCAGAAGAAGAAACAACAACAAAATATGGAAAAATAAATGACTTGTGCTTATTTTTGAACGCCGGAACCGCCGTGGTAATTTCTCTCTATGAATCCATATACATCGGCTCGCCACCACTAACGCCTTGAACAATCGTCCCGTAATCGCCATTATTCATTAAAGCATGTCCGTGAATGCGCCCTGGTATTGAGACAGCAGCGTTCATGTTCTGCATCGTCTGCGCGTCGAGGCCTCGGTTGGGCACCGTACCGTTGACAGTAAATCGTGCATCCGTAGTCATCTGTACTCGCTGGTCACGGCCTCTAGATCGCGAAATGTCCAACTGCTGGTGGGTCTGTTGCATTTGCGGTGGCTTTGCGACTACAGGCGTAATTGGGGTGAAGTTGTCGTCGTCCTCCATTTCCGCGTCGGCATCCTGATCACTATTATCGTCGTTGGCGGCTGATGTGCTGGAAGCGGTGACCATTGACGCAGTCACGGCAGCCGTGGTGGTTTGCGGTTGGACTACCTGTGCGTTAGAAGTGGCAGGCATAGATGTTTGCTGTTGTTGAGCGGGTATCTGAGGCGGAGGCGCGGTTGCGGAGTTAGGGGTAACGCTGGTCGGAGTTGGCGTCGACTGTTCAAGAGGTCTTTGTCCGGCCATGCCAGGTCCTCGAGAAGACACGATAACCGTCTTCCATCGATCAATGGCGCGAGAAACCATAGCATCAAGGTCGACATGTCGATCTTCTATGTCAAGTCCTATTCCTCGGCGACCCTTGTGAACAAGATCTCCCAGGTACGCCAACATGGATTGCTCGATAGGGATCGTTGCGGGTGGCATTATCCTGAACTCTCTCGGATGTTGTAAGCGATTTAGTTGGTCGATCTGCAGCTTGAGGTTTGCATTCTCCTGCTTGATAGAATATTGAACCTCTTTCATCTTCTCCACATCCTTTTGTCTTCTCCCTACGCTCCTCGCCAACTCGAGGCCCCAAAGCTCGGTTTTTCTCTGCTGGGGAAGCTGTTCCCAGACGTGGTAAGTCGACTGTAGATGTTCGTTGACCTGAGCTTCGAGTGAAGCAGCAGCCTCTTCCGCCTTCCTCACTCCTTCGCGCACATCATGGGGCACATTCATGCTTGACGGCGGGTATATCAGATCTTCATGAGACGTTGTAGTTGCCATAGAGCAAGCGATCCTCCATTTCCTAAACTCTTCTTGGAAAAATGCTCGAAGTGCTTCATACTGTTTCTGAGCCGGGGGCTGGATAGACCACGATGAGGATGTCGGGTGCGGTGTAGAGGAAAACAGGGTCGGGGGCGCTTGAAGGCATTGGAGGGTTAAAGCAGGGAAATCGAGAGAAAGAGGATCGAAGTCGAAAGGAAGAGAGTCCATGTCGATCTGTTGCCTGTTCGATGTGACGTGGTTAGTAAGATGAGGCGAAGAGTATCGGGGATTGCTCGGAGGTATTCCTTACTTAGCGGCTCTCAACGAGCTGAGCATTTCCCTCAGTGCCAACTCGGCAGCTCTGGCGGTGTCCATAGCATCTGAAAGCCTCTGCCTCGCATCCAGCTGAGATTTCTGTACGGTTCGACTCGGTGCGCGCTGCATAGGAAGCCGCCTCGAGTCCTGGCCATTACTATCATCCGGACTATTCTTCAACTCCCCATTCCTCGCCGGTATATCGTTGATGACGCCGGTAGCCTCCCAGGTAGGCTGGAAAGGGAATTTAGGCAATTGGTTATCTACAACGAACTGGCCTTCTTTCGGTATGGAAGGCATCTTTGCACCAATATCGAACGCAGGGCTCTTTCTCGAGGAGGCTGTCGGTGTGCCGGGGGTGGAAGTGTCTCGACGGGCAAGCGAGCCTCTCGGCTGCCTGCGAGTGATGCTCCCTCGCATCTTCCGAATAGCGTCGACATCGTGGATGCCGTCTGGAGCCTTAGGGTTCTTCTCTTTGATGTACAAGTCTAGATGCCTTCCGAGGGAGGAGGAGGTAAAGGCCTGGCCACAGTACGGACAATTCCTGTCTTTTGGCGCACTCGCCTTGGAAGCGCCCGGAGAATCGGCGGCGGCACCACCGGTACTGGCTGCCTCGGACATTGTCAACTAGCTCGAGCGTGACCTGGATTAGATTGACTTCGGAAGGGAAGTTATGATTGTATAAATAGAATAACGAATGGAGGGTAAAGATAGGGGTGAATAAGATAGGGAGGTGAGGCTCAGGAAAAGATACTGTATGGAATCAGCAGCTTGCCCCTAAGGAGCATCCCCCATTCGGATCTCATCCAGGGAGGAAGCTCCTAAGAGGGATCCTTAGAGTCGACGAAAGGAACTGTAATGCTTTGAGCATTTATCTCGGATAATGACAGGAAGACGAGGGAATTGGCGTGTTTTGTTTCCGACGTTGCGATGTATTTGTTTCGTGTTTCTTTTTAATGTTTCTTGGAGGATGAACATTAATAGAATATTCAAATGTTCTGATGTTTAGACTTCGGGTCCTTTTTTTCTGGGGGATTTTCCGCTCAGGGGGTCCAGGGGTTGACGCTAACTTTCTGTACTTTACTCTGTACGTACGTTAGCGCCAACCGGTTTAGGGGGTCTTAGTAAACTCAGATATCCCTATTTCGGTTTAGCTCAACATACGGTTTACCTAGGACCTGCAGTGATAAGTTAGCTGGTTTAAGTACTACACGTTATACACGTTTTACACGTTATTTGATTCAGTCTCCCTAGGGCGTCTTTCTCAATTATTTCATCTTCTAAGTGTCAGTGGTATTTCCAGGCAAAATGCCGACAACACGGTGAGAACGGAACATTTGCATTCACACTGTACGATACAGATGTAAGCATTCCGAGGTACGTGAAAGTACGGAGACTGAAGCTTTTGTCCGGGATCTTCGTCGTAGAGCAAGGATTGTACCGGGATTTACGGGTCTTCAGCTAGGGGCAGATCAAATGTGGCTTTGCTAGCTTCGAAACACCATGTAGATACATATTCCTGCTTAAAGCAAAGAATCATTGCTTCCTGCTGCATATATACATAGTTATACACATAAAACAAAGTCTTTCTTTTAGTGTACTAGTCAACCGTTTGCAGCTGATTAATAAACTCGACACCTGCACTGACAGAAAGAAGCTCGGACCACATTCAACTTAATTCGAGGATACTTCGTGCATCGCGACCAACTCCGACCTGATTTGTCGCAACAACTTGATCGCAAACACCATCGACGCCCATCGTCATCTAGCTTCGCTACTTTCTTTCAACTATTTCCTTATTCTCTTCCTGACCAATTCATTTCGAGTACCTCGACTCCATCACGCTACGCGCTTTTAACATATCCAACATGCCTCCCGGTACGTCCTTCAGTACGAACTTTCGCGATCTTAAATACACATTGCCCGTCGCGACACAGCACTCCGTTGCTGTTTCTTCACTCTCCTCACACGTCCCTCTAAACTTGACAGCACGCAGTTCAGTCATATTTCGCCGCGAAACCCCCAAGGCTAACAGTATTATTAATAGCAATCAGCGACGACGAAGCGTCTGACGATGGCAAGTTGACCGTGCGCTTGAACTCGACACGTGGAAAGAGGTCATCTACGAAGCCCGAAGAAAACGATGAGGATGAGATGCAAGATATCGTCAAGGGTGACGTTGGGAATGGAGACGACAACCACGGCGAAGAGGAAGATGAGGAAGGAGGCGAAGACCTAGATGAGGATGAGTGCGTACCACGACTACGTAAACAAGTTTGTGGGGAAGAGAATCAAGCAGTTATAGCTAACTATAATGCAGATTCATAGTCGAGAAGATTCTTTCTCATGCCGTGGAACCTAACGTAAGCTTCACATGAGCGATTCATTTTCACAGCTTACGAACAAGTCATGCAGGGCGCGTTCAAATTCAAGGTCAAGTGGGAAGGCTACGAGAAGAAATCAGACCAGACATGGGAAGACGATGAGAACCTCAAGTAAGCACAACGGTCATCTATTTCCTAGGAATCAACATATGTGATCGCATTTCGTCTACGCATTTGTCTGTGTGCTGACAATCTTTCGATTAGGGAGAATGCATCCGACGTCCTAGAAGAATACCTTAAGAGCGTAGGCGGACGAGAGAAGATCCTGGAAGACGCGAAAACGGCACTGAAAACGAAAAAGCGCGGGAGGCCTGCATCAGGAACACCTACCAACGGCGCGAAACGACGACGGAATGGAGACCACCCCGATTCAGCAACACCGCCTGCTAGTGGAAAAGCTTGGAGGGTTCCTGTGGGCTCTTGGGAAGATGAGGTGGAATCTATCGATGCCTGCCACGACGAGAATACCGGCAAGTTGATCGTATACCTCACTTGGAAGAATGGCCAAAAGACCCAGCATGATACCAAGGTTGTCTACCAACGCTGTCCGCAGAAGGTATGTTAACAGTACACGACTACCATTTTCTACGCGTGGGCTAAAACATGACTATAGATGCTTCAGTTCTATGAGCGACACGTTAAAATCGTAATGTCGTCATCAGAAAGCGGTATGAAAGATGATTAATACCCGCACTACCCCCAGTAGTTAATAGTGGTGGTTGAAGCAGACAACATCTCAATCTGCTTGAGCTAGACGGATGAATCGGAATTACTACGCAACGCAATGCAGATATTTGGACTATACCTATTCGCAGGAGTACGAACTCACAGGAGAAGATTTTGGCCCCATAATGGATGGCGATTACGGTTGAGATGATCGCGCGGGACAAGGCATGGACAAAACGGGGGATATTGCGGACATTATGAACATCGAGACCCCGAGACCTGTACATGTATTTAAGCCACAGACTTGAAGCCAGATTGCTTTGGCTCAGATTACTCGGAGCCTCTGGAAATAGGGGCTGTTTTTGACCTTATAACCAACTTTCTATAGCAGGATTGCATTATCCATACCTACCATAGGTATTGATGGCATTGGCGTTGGTATGGCTTTGCGTTCGCCCTCACCTTATCTGGATTATTATCCACGCTCGGAAAGAATGGCTAGGAAAATAGGTACGAATTGATATTTGCATAAATTAACATGCAACTGCCAACTACACGTGTAAACCTTACCACCCTTCGCATCATTTGGTAGAGTGCGAAGGAGGTTGGGAACAACGCTAACAGTAAAGAAGCTTGGACCACCCGGGCATCTGGCGCGTTTCGACGCCTGCGACGCCCACAATCCCTGCAAAATAGCCTTGGAACCTTGCAAAAAAAACAGCTCCTGCCAACCACCGCGCTGCACCGCGGCAAGAAAGCTACCCTTGCTCCCCTTTGACAAAACTTCCCGCCTTGCGTATTTTCTGGGCCCAGCCTCGCTATTTACACGACCGAAAAATGGCGGGGCAACCAGCAGTATTTGTACCTTCCGGTTCCTGGCCCTGAACGCATTCCATTCGCCATGTCTCTTGCTTCCTCTTTTGCATCCTTATCTCATTATCGATCTTGCACTGCGACTCGAAAAGAAACTACGTTTCTCTGATCCAACTGATCCTGCGATTTGTCGAGGATCGCATCGCATCGCTGTTGCTTCAACTCCTAGCAACTCTGCTACTGCTCCAAACTACGTCGTTTGATATCGATTATCGAATATCGAATTACCAGCACAAAATAAGAGACAGGATATACTGTTATCAGCCCCGTCTCACATATTCCAAGACCTCCACATTCCTCCGCCAACTCAATCTCCACCGCCAAGATGAAGAGAAACGACGTCATCGCCATCATCATCATCATCCTCTTCATCGTCCTAGCCCTCATCGCCTTCGGCATCTACAGGCTGGTCCACATGGCGCGGACGCAAGGCACCATCTCCGAAGAGAGCGGGACGGGGTCTAGTGGTTTAGGAGACGAATAAGCCCAGAACAAGATCCCGCCGCGTCGACTACTGGGGAAAGCAAGAGTTCGTCCCCCGGCGATAACTAATGCTGATATCGGCTTTTTTTATCTACCCCCCCGCCTTGAGGACTGCGGTCCCGCGCGGTGGATGCGCATACGTATCCGTCTAATAGCGCCAGCCGCGGGACTCGGTGATGCGCAGAGGTTTTGCGCCTTCCGGTTTGCCTGCTATCTACCTACATCCCTGAATAAGGGCAGCGCGGATTGTCGACCAAACAATTGCGGGTCGGGCATTTTCCTATCACCACCATCACCACATGAGGAGAGCTACCATATTCTCTCCCCAATCACCCACCGTCCGCAAGGTCGGTCGGAACCCATTGTTTTATCGGATTATCATTTATTTATTCACATGCACATATACTATCTATCACGGCATTTACGATTTTATCTCCATCATCATCATCACATGTATCACAATAGAACAGAAAGACAACGGGCATCTCGGACCAAACAGGCGCAGGTATCATTCACATTTATGTTTTTCAAACTTGGATTTTCAAAAAAGGGGGGGCGGGGTCGAACGACTCGAATGTGTTCTCTCATCTTATCGCCATATATAAGGTATATTGGTAACCTGGGGGCCTATTGTATGGTTGGAGAAACCGAATGAGGGAAACGCCGTGTAACGAAGTCGAATGGGATGACGCAAATATGTAGAAACGGTATTTCAAGGTTACATAGATGGGATGAAACGAAAGGGCTCCAGGCGGTCTCCTGGATAATGAAAATATTTGAAATGACCCAATTGTATGATTTTGTGTATTTTTTAGTGATGTTCCATGTGATTCAAGGGTGGTGGCTTAGGGTCGCTGTCTGTCAAGCTATGAGAATATCACTCTTATCTAGGAACATAGTGGTAAGTCGAATCTCACCTTGTCTTTGAACTTGCGTATTTCACAACATGGCATCAACAATAAATGGGTACGCTTCTTTTACAATGCTCGCTTCAAAATTGTAAGATTGTTGCTTTGCAAAATATATCAACACTATTTCCAACCGCTTTAGCACGCTATAGCGCATCCTCATATATCCCAAAATGCGCAGAGATCCAAATATGCACCTAATCTTGTGATCTCCAAAATCAACGTATATTTCGATTCCAAAGTCAAAACAACGCCCTTCTGACCCTCGCTTAAACGACGTTCAAGCACAGATCTCGTGCGAAATACTCCAATGTAGCATGCAAACCGCGCGAGCGCCCGATCCGTGTATATGAGCGATCCCACGACCTCCATGCAATACGTGTACTTTCGTGGTTACCCCCTTTATATGACCGTAAAGGAAATCGCGAGATGAAGATTCCCGTTCTTAAACCCATCTAGAGCTAATGTGAAATAGAATCGAAATGTTACTACACTCGTCCTTGATCCCGTGAATGTACAATGGCGCGCGAGCATGTCTTTTTCTTGCTCGAATTGAAATCAGGTCGATTTCACTATCTGCCGTTCCCATAGTGTCCACCTTGATGAAAGCAAGACGCCGAATCCCATTCCTTTGGGGAGCCTTCTATGTCCATCATGATCTCTTCTTTTGAGATCGACCGGAAGGGGACGTGACTATAACATTAGCTCAAGGTAAAGCTCGCTTTCAGGGTATTGCGGGAAGAGTGCGGCTCCAAAGCCACACTAAATTCATAGTGGTATATAGCTCACGTCGTGGTGTTCTTAAGACGGCTCTCCCTCCGTCGTGGGTTTTCTTTCAAACCATCCACCCAGTTCCCATCTACCGGGGACGTAAAAGCACGCTGTCCGAATGTCGTCTTTGCTAATCCCGTCGAGTAAAACGCTGAGTCGCTTGAAATCTATCGGTTTAAGGATCCAACCATCAAATCCGGCCGCGATGTAAGCTGGACTCTCACGTTCCAAGAGAGAAGCCGATACAGCAAATATGGGGATTCTCTTATGCGCGGCAGCCAAAGCAGAAAGCTCCAGACACTGCTGTGCCTTTTCGAACTCCCTTACCATCTTAGTGCTACCGAGGCCATCGACAATAGGCATCTAGTGTTTGCAGATTAATTACATGTACCGTACACTTTCAAACATGATTACTTACCTGCATATCCATGAGAATGACATCAAAAGCACCCGGCCTTTCCTTAAAAACGGCGGCACAGTCTTCGCCGTTGACAGCATGGTGGACTTCGTGACCGGCCTTCTCTAGGCGCTTCTTAAGAATCTTCATATTGATCGGATCGTCCTCCGCTACAAGCACCTTCAGTTTGTCGAAATGTGGCGTAGGCGGGTCAAGTATAGGTGTGTTAGCTTGCCCTCCGTCAGGCTTAGTACCTCCGGTAATTTCATATAGCACCCTGGATGCTTGGCTAGCTGGATATTTTAGCGGTCGATCAAAATATTCGTCTGGCATTTTGACAGGTTTAATGGCTGTTCTAATATCTGTAGCAGGATACGATCTATCCGACTGTGCCGAATTTGATCGTTGCAAAGTAGCCGGCCGCTCTAGACTAAGGTCTCTATTGATCGTACTCGGACCTGGTAAGGAAGTGGCACTAGCATGACGAGGGTCTTGTCGTTCTTTAGAGCTCATATGCTTTATACTGCCCGTCTTTTCATCGAGCCCACCAATAGTCAGGGGCATTTGAATAGCATCGATCAAGCGATCGGCATCGCTTTTGTTGCTCTGGCCACTGGTGCTGCCAGCACTCCTCGCGCTACTGATACTTTTTGTCTCGTCAAAGCTCCTCCTTTCGGTACTTCCACGCCTCTGAGCATTGACTGAATTTGAGCTTCCTCTGTCAATAAGCATGACTTCGTCCATGTCTATAGCCTTAGTGACAGACGTAATGCTCGCGTTTATCTTGGGATTGGCAAATGAACCTTTAGCCCCGAGCTTGTCAAGTGTTTCTCCAGTCGGCAAGTCGAAGGGAAGTTGGATTACAAATCTTGATCCCTTTCCCTCCACTGATTTTAGTCGAAGCTGACCGTTCATATTCCGCACTATCCTCGCGACCACTGCAAGGCCTAGTCCCAAAGTTCGACTTTCTTCCGGTTTCTCAATATCTTCGACGGCCATGGAATCATCCACGTCTGCGCTTACTTGTTCCAAGTCTCGGAACAGATTATCCAATTTTTCGTTACTCATACCACGGCCCGTATCTTCGACGGCGATTTCAATCTTGACGCGAGCCTCAAGGATTTCGGCGACGTACGCTTCAATAGTTACCGAGCCCTCATTTGTGTGTTTTATAGCATTTGCCGTTATATTCGCGACTGCTTGCCGTACCCGACGGAAGTCGCCATGCACGAACTGAGGAAGGCCTGGATGCTCGATGACTTCGTACAATAAGGATTTCCGTTTAGCGTCTACCTTGAAGGGTTCTGTGGCCTCATGAATACAACCCGGTAAGTCTAAGACCTCGTCCTTGATCAAGTTTTGACCCTCTTCCGTGTTAGTAAGGTCAAGGAGGTCATTGATTACATATATGAGCGATTTGGATGCCGAATGAGATCGCGCTAGATTCTCGCGGGTTTCATGATCGAGTGGCCCTTCCATGGCGATCTCTAAACAGTTTATGATGGCGTTTAACGGCGTGCGAACCTCATGTGCCGAATTCGCCAACAAGAGTCGGGTTAGTCGGCTGCTTTGCAACGCCGCCTCCTTTTGTCTCCAAACTTCGATGAACTTGCCTATAACAATGTAAGTGCATGCCACTATGAATGAAAAACTTAGGTAGTCATGTTCCATGTACGCACCGTAAACTAGGCACAGAACTGCAGCAGTCTCCACTTGCTCCTCGGACCACTCCCTACATTTACCAATGACAATCTCATGCCATGCCTTGAAGCTCGACCGCGGTTCCAAATAACTCGAGGTGCCTTCTGTAACAACCTTCTCGTATGGGTTACCTGCCCATCTTACCTCTCTAACTTGACTCTTCCGGAAGAAGACAATGAAATCGTTACCACCCACACTTAGCGGAACATACAGGAGTCCAGCGACAACGGAAAAGCCGGGAGGGTAACGGAGGTCGGGAAAATCTTCGCGAATATCCTGCGATGTCAAAACAGAAGTGAAGCTTCTCAAACGCAGGTACTCCATCATGGCCAAAGCTTCCTGAGTTTGCTCGATCTTTCCCAGGATTTTGGTCTCACCTCGGATGGACAACATGCCAAAATCAGCATCGAAGAGCTTTATTAGGTCTGAAGAAGATGCTGTGATATATCCTGATGGGTTTCTGCCAGTAGGCATAGTGTTGATAAGTTTCCTAGCTTGCAGGCGCGATGCATAGGAGAGGCGCTCTATATTGCGCGATGCTGTATCCCCCACGAGCCGACAAAGCTTTCGAATCGGGAACGAAACTCGCATGCCCTTAGAACCATAGCTATGGCACGCAATAAGTCCCCATAACTCATTGAAAGCGTTGATGGATATAGACATAGAGGACCGGACTGCCATGTTACGAAGATACTTGACATGGATAGGAGAAATTGCTCGAAGGTATGCATGGCTAAGATCAAGAGGTCGTTCCAGGTCCTTGGCAGACCGACAAACAAGCCTTGCAGACTCTAAATCTCGATCATAGAGCAATCGCACTTTGTTGAGTTTATAGAGGTCGCGCGCCTGTCTGGGGATATCGGAAGCCGGGAAATGTAACCCATAGTAGAGATCACGAGTCTTGGCAGGATCAACTAGTTCAGTCACGACCTTCCCATTGAATGCCGCATCGAACTGGTAAACCATAACCCGATGGAACCCTGTGAGCTCTTTGACGATTCCCACTAAGATTTTAAGGAACTTTTCCAAATTTGGTGCAGATGCTAATTGTTCTTGGACTTGGGACATGATATCAAAAACTTGCATCGCCCCAGCTTCTCCTCGTCTCTGACGCGCGCTTCTGAGTATCCTGAGAGGCCTGCTGCCAATTTCCGTGCTTTCATGCAGCTCGTCCGTTGATGGATTCTGGCAGAGCGTGTCCTCAGGTTCGTCTGGAGTTAGCTCGCCGGGAGGTCGAAGAGGGTGCTCCTGGTCCTCCTCCAATTCAAACTCGCAGATGATCAAATCTGGGTGGCTACGATTGACATGTATGGCACACCAGAGCTTAACTGTCCTCCTTTGAGGCGGCCGTATAGATATACTAAACACGTCAGGTCCATTAATAGCAGGATCTGCCTCGTCATCTCGAATAAAATCGATATGATCTAGAAGATTATCGGCTTGTTCCTCGGTGAAAATTTCTATGAAACTTTCCAGTCGAAACAGCTCTTGAGGCGAAAATCCTATAATTTTCTTCGAATTTTCGCTCACGCACCGAACAGTAAATTTACCGTCCGTCTCTTCCGTTAGGGCAACGAGAAGACCGAACGGTTGGATAGCCCCAGGAGTATGGATTGGCTCATCCTCGCATCGTTCTAAAGCACCGTCCCGGCCTGTAATAACAGCATGACCTTCCTCGGTTACCACGTGACGGAAACGCACTGTCATCAATTTGTCGTTCGTATCGTTGAACTCGCCAGGAGACTTGAGCTCAGAAGAGTCATCACGTTGACTATCCCCTGTTCTTGTAGTTGTGCTTTCTCCTGTTCTATCAGTATTATCCGAAGACGCATAGCTAAAGAGTGGAAATGGTCCTCCGGAAGCGACTCTTTCTGGTTTTGGTGGTGGGCTCCCCATAGAGTTAGGCACGGCTCCTTTCCCCTGCCCGGTTCTTCCGCCGTTTCTTTCATTTGGTGATCCAGCAGACGATGAAGCGAGGGTGGTTTCAATTGAAGTATGTGGGTTGCTCTCTCGTCGACGACCATCCCAAGTCGTTCCCTGGCGAGATATATAAGTACGATCCCCTGGATTCCGCGTTGGGGTCATGGGCGTCGGCTGAGATTCGTCAACACTTATGGCAGACCGGATAGGGAAGACCCTGTCAGCAGGGTCTGTGGCATCGCTAATGCTCGGGCGGTGATGAGTTCGGCGATCTGAGTTGGCACTATACGACGAAGCCATATTTGAGACCCGATCATATACAAGATCGGTGTTTATCGGCCCAGGTAGTCTAGCGGAGGTGGATATTGAGGCCGATTCGGGTCCTACCACGGGGGTATTGCCGGCAGCCACAAGGTCGTCCGCGAGCTCCCTGTAGTTACCAAGTCCATTTGAAGATTGTCGAGAGGCTCTTGTGTGAGCAGCGGGATGCGCTCCATGCTGGGAAGATTCGTCGGTAGCATCAGGTTCGCGCTGGGCTTCAATAGCCGGATCTTGATTTAACTCCATGCTACTATGAGACCAATAGAGACGACCTAAAAGCCGATCTCGATTGATCGCGACCGCAATCTCCTCAATTTACCAGTTAAACTCAAGATGATTGGTTTCCCATAAGTACCTAGTCTAAACCCTGCCTAAGGGCTTCCAATTGCGACTGTACCCGAATTCTTTGTTGAACACTTAGGTATATAAGAAATTTGAAGGAGTGTGTAGGAGGCCTACAGGCCGTAGATCAGAGACCAAAGCAAGTAGAACTTGCAACTGTGGTCGCAAAGAGAGACAAGATCTAAGTGTAGAAATAGTATGTAAGGTATTAAGAGCCCAAATATGGAGAATCGAGGATTGAGAATGGGAAACTTAGAATAGCAGTCCGCACATAGTGGGGGTTATGAATTAGACGGGTTAGATTAAGTTACATGACAATGAAAGTAGCACGGGCAGACGGAGAGAATCGCAAGGGAGTCGCCACCTTTGGCTATTCTACCATGTAGACGAACATACTAGGTAGAGCCCTGGAGACTTGTACTACCGTAGGTACGTAGATACTCTAGGCAAGTACGGGTACATTCAGGGCTACCTATGCATATCTGCACGTACAGCGTCGCGATATGCAGGAGAGACTTGAGCTGGTAACTTGCCACCTCTAATATCTTTATATAGTATACGCGCCATGTGCGATGAAGGGAATAGGCGTATAACCTTGAGGTATGAAGGTAAATGATATCATCAGAATACATATCAACATATGTAGATCATCACATAGGTTGTACCTAGATGTAGGCGTAGATCTACCTTAGTAGTAGCAGGATTTGTCGGTTAGACCAAGGTTTAGTACATTTAGAAACAGACTAAGATGCCACTCGGGTTTTCGCCCGCACTGATGCTAATGTCATTGACATCATACCTCGATACAAGCGTAGGCGGATCCCTACCGATTGGATAAACAAAGGATATTCAATAAACCCAGAATATGGCTAAATCGATAACTTAGAATTACTCAAACACTTCATACTACTACCTACATCTCTTTCAGTCCACGTCTATTTCGTTGAATAATGCCTTTATGTCAATTAGAAGCCTTGAAGCCTTTCTTGTTCTTTGACAATTCCTACATAGACCAAACAAGCATTCAGTTTGTTGTTACAATGTCTTTGTCATCGATAACCAACAATTATAAATATGATTGTAAATCGACATTATTACGAAGACTCTAACCCGTAAACTAAATCAACAGCACCTGTTTCTGGAATATCTTGGTGTAACGAGTCCTAGGCATAGTTGTAAGACCGAAGGTAAGTTACTGAAGGTAAGATTTGATACTTGCATTCACAAAATCCGCACCCGTCAAACGCGACACGCGATTCACCGACATAATGGAGACAAGAAACTCGTCCAGGGTGGAATTCATGATGATTGACGGACCCGAACATCTCCACGGAAGTCTCATAAGTTTCGAGATGTTAGGTGAGAACATGGAAATTGACGAGCCCGAGCATAACCAGAGTAACCACTCGGACATCAGCATGACCAGTATAAAGCCAGATTCTAGTAACCACTCGGACATCAGCATGACCAGTATAAAGCCAGACTCTAGACGTATGGATGAAGATACAGTTCAAGGCGACAAGAGCGATGACACCATGTACGATGTTTTCGAAGATGACGCTGCCGGTAATGACGATGCTGACGATGAAGTCTACACAGCGACTGATATGTCCGACGAAGAGATCGATGACGAATATGATGATGACGAGCCCCCTCCGAAGAAGGTTAAGAAGGACGCACTTAACAAGGAGGCTTCATTGCCTACGATATTAATTGGTTCACAAGGTACATCAACCACAATTTCCCCAGAGCTCTCAGAAGCCGAGCGCCGGAAGATGATGAAAAACATAAGACATGGGTTGGTTGTATATTCCCAACTAGACATTGAGAGTATCCAAATCAAATTCAGAAAATAGACTGAGATTCTGCTACTTTTATTAGATCATCAGGTCGCATACAACAGGAATCACTTGCATATTCAGTAGATAAAATTTCAAGCACTTCATTTCTATGTTCATATTAGACTTTGATTGCAACGTGTTGAGTGAAATGTCAATTTAGATCTGCCAAGTTAAATTGTAAAGGGTACTTGGAATTTCTTTAGGTAGTGATACAGGTAGGTATGAACAGATACCTACCTGGGTATTCAAGGACTATACAACTGTAAATTGATGAAGTTGTACTCGAGTTGAACGAAGCGGGCATAAGTGGAACCTAGCCGCTGTGGGGTTACCCCGGATGGCCCATCAGAGGATTAGAATATTCAGAAGGTCTTTCTCTTTTCCCTTCAATTCTCATCATTAGACCATACATAACCGAAAAGTTCCCAATAAGCCCCTCTAGACGGATACGACTTAAGCGACTAGGTGACCTCAGTCTTCGTCTTTAAATGGGGAAAGATGCGGCACCGAAGAATTGGCCAGCAGCAATACCGTATCTCTTACAACCTTCCTATGCCCCTCACATTACGAAGCCGCAGCAGCAAATCGTAAAGACTCGGCCTATCGATGTCGTAAATGAGATTCCGCGTGACTTTCCACGAGGACCGTCGGTTCTCGCTCGGATTGTGCCTATCGCCGACCCCACACATCCCGCAGACGGGCAGTCCGGCTTGTTCGCCGCGAGACAGCTCCCCCCGGGATCTCTCATCTTACCTTACTACGGCGTGGTGCACTCTTCTTTACTTCCGCATTGCAGGGCACATGAGAAGTCGGATTACGACCTTTGGTTAGACCGCGATGGAGCACTGGCTGTTGATGCAGAGAAAGCGGGCAATGAGGCCCGCTTCGTGAATGACTACAGGGGTATTTCTGCGCGGCCGAATAGCGAATTTAAGGAGTGTTGGGATTCGAGACGTGGCGAGAGGTGTATGGCTGTCTTTGTTCTTCCTGCTGGGAAGAATGCTGGGAAGAACGCCGGAAAGAAAGTCGGCGCGGGGATTGGGAAGGGCGAGGAGATACTCGTCAGCTATGGAAAGGGGTTCTGGAGTAAAAGGAGAGATGAACATCAAGACAATGGCGCACTTGAAGATAATATCCCGTGATTAACGCGATGTCCCTTTTGCTATCTAAACCAGCGTCCTAGAGCATCAAGTTCTTTGGTTAATGTTACGGACTTGACGTTATTTGATCATCAAGGACTTCTTGGACTTTTAAATAAGTCGGCGGTCAACGCGAGTATCATCTTAGAGGCAGCAATACCTAGTGAATAAAAAGTTGTCATCATACTCTTCTACTAATCATAGTATCTCCGGTATATTAGATACTCCCTTACAATTCTAGGTAGTATGAAGAGATATGTAGAATCTCGTCAAGCCGATTCGGGATTATTGATGAATTGTAGAAAGTAATGGAATGAACATGGGCACAGGTCTATTTTAGAGACACACTGATCATTCTCAGTGACCCTAAATGGAAGCTGTGGTCGTGACCCCCAGCTGCAAGTGAGAACTAGGCTTAGATTTTGAGGCTAAAACGGGGCAAGTAATGCGATTCTGTTATTCCTTTTCCTTTATATTTATCAACTCCGCAATGTCAGATGACCAAATGCATAGCTATAATGTCATTTCGTAGTCCGAGATATTCTGATAAATCCGAGTAGATGCTTTATAGGCTTCAACATCCTACCTTCGAAAGTAGAGTCAAGAAGGATGGGAGCCATTGCGGCGAAGTGCTTTGTTGAACGTACCATTAGACCAACGTATGGGGAAATCCAATAAAATTCCATTAGATAGCCGTATTTAGTATTTAAAATTGGACATTGAGTCTTGAGACTACATCGAATATGCGTTAGCTTGATGAATGGGTAATAATATTCGTAGAGTCAAACCCCCTACTGCATATTGGATCGACAATATAAGAATCCATGCCACAATCTACAATATTACCATTGATCAGTTGGGAACCTTGCATTCCTTTAATGATCGTATCGTATAAGTATTAAGCGACGATGATGATGATCAATGTTGTTGAGAGTCAGACGGAGATACTCCGAGGTTAGGTACTTGGGTACCTAGATATTTCATCTAACCTAACCGAGCTTAGTTGCGATTTCAAAAGGCATCATGCATGTACTAAAGTTGTATTGGGTAGATAAGTACCGATGTATTTCGTACCTGCCTTCTCAATTTCCGTGGGTGTTTGCAAAGTGGGGCACACAGCGTGTTATGAAGAGCACTTGAGAGAGCTTGTGCAGAACGTAACTAAAATGTCAAATTTCGCTGATCCATCCCCGCAAAATTCTTTTTCCAACTCCCTCTTCCACGCCGCCACACCTGATTTGATCATCTTCAACGAGAAACTTTTTCCCGTCTCCGAGAATTGGGATTGATTCGGATTGCGGATTGCAAAGCTTGGAGAAATCCAGCACCGGCCAAAAAATAGCTTGCTGGGTTAAAAACCCAGAGCACATCGGCTATTCAAGTTCTTCCTCCTCCGTTTTCTGGGCAAATCCGGAATCCGTTCATCTATTTTCCATCCCCATATTATTGAGAGGCTCGTCGCAGGTATGTCTGGTTTCTATTTTGTACAAACAATTTGGTTTTACACAACTTTTCGTCGCATTCACCAGTGTATATGGAGCTACCATTTCCTGTCGCGCCCTTGTTGGCGCCGCCATATGCCAATGGCTTATATAGGCTTGAATGGTACCTGAATGAACTATGAAGCGCACATTTATTCACTGTCGCCTTCATCGTTATTTTTGTCGTTGCGTGATTCTAATGTTTTTTTTTTCCTAGTCGCGGGTGACGAGACAATACAGACTTGCCATACTGCGCGAGTCGCGAGCGCATCAGCACAACCCAAGTCCGAAGATAGGTGGCAAGAACAACGCCTTTATTAAGATCGCGTTAATTCGCGCGTCAAATTCACGCGCAATTAATATTCCATCGCATGAAAGGCTGTATCAAGCTCCTGCATTGTCGCCGATCGTGTAACACTCAACGCATCCAAGAACAATTTTCATCATGCCTGACATAGATCCTATGCTCGAAGGCACTAAGACTGAGCCTGGAGTGCGAAATGATGCTGTCGACACGCCACAGCAGTACTCTATGCCCACCGCCGAAGAACAAGATGGCGCAACAACATCTAATTCACACCCAGACCAACAACAGTCCCAACCTGAAGACATCGATGCCTCCACAACCCTCCACCAAGACGCCCGACCATCCATTACAAGCACCGAAGAATTGCGACTAGCTGCTCAGCTGAGCCAAGAAATGAGCCAAGGTATGCCAACCGTACCTATTGAATCCCGTGAGGAGTCCGACCTCAGAAACGCGTTGATGCAATCCGCATCCCACGAAGCTCAGTTGCAACAGCAGCAGCAACAACAACAACAACAACATGACAGTCTGCCGCAAGATCAGATACCGGAACACAACAATCATATACATGAGCAACATCCTGAGCACTTACCTCATGATGACCCGTCCATGAACGCCCACGATCCATCTGTTGTCCATCATGAACACCCCCTCCAGCATGATCAACAGCCACAACACCAGTATATACCCAACCACCACCCACAGGAACACCAGCAGATACATCTGGCGCCTCAACAGCCGCATATGCAACAACATCCGCAGCTGCAGCCTCAGGGCACCATGGAGCAGCTGGCTCAACATTACGCCGCACAAGCCTCGGCAATGCCAGATATACCGCCAAGGAAGAGGTCCAAGGTATCTCGCGCTTGCGATGAGTGCAGGAGGAAGAAAGTGAAGTGCGATGCTGCTTTGGAAAGCGGCGAAAATCCTTGTTCAAACTGCCGACGTTCCCAGATTCATTGTCTATTTAGCAGAATTCCTCAGAAGCGTGGGCCTAGCAAAGGATATATCAAGGAGCTTGCCGATCGAATAAACCATATCGAAGGGAAGTTGGCCAGCGATGGGGGTAACATGGATAGAAGTAATGTGGACACTCTGACCGAGCTCTTAAATGGTGCTAGGAGAGATTCGATGGATATCTTCAGCCCTACCGGACAGGCGGAGGATAACAGTCGTAAGAGGCCGTACTCCAGTATATCTGGTGGCGAGTTTGCGACACCCACCAGTTCGCGACAAGCTACTTGGAGTTCTGAGCCGCGACCAATCCAACCTTACCAAACTCCATCCGGAAGTTTCAGGACGCCATACTCTGCTAATGGTTTAGCACCTCAACCGTTATCCAAGCCCGATTCAACGGTGGCATCGCGCCCAGCTACCGCCGTAGATAACATGCCGCTCGACCTTAACCAGAACGGCTCAACCCGCGAGCTAGACGAAGCTGCCTTTAGCGCCTACTTGAACGTTGTCCATCCTTGTTTCCCTCTGCTCGCAGCAAGCAAGGCGCGGGCCGAAGGGCAGTTGGCGCAATGTCCACCTCCCCTCCGCGATGCATTTGTTGAGGCTCTATATCTTAGTATGCAGTCATTCGTCTCGGTTCCTGGCCTCTATACCACCGCCGATATTGGCTCTGTTACACGGATGATCGCGGAATGGGAATCTGATTCGACTCCACGAACACCAGTCATGAATCTTGTGCATCTTCAAACATTGATCTTGACAGCCCTAATGACCGACAATTACGATGTGCCGTCATTGAAGGGCGAACACGGAGGCCCGGCCAAAGCATCCATACTTGGTCGAGCTGTGGGTCTCGCTTATACGATGAGACTTCATGTTTCGGGTCTAGAAACAACTCTAGATGGCCAGTTGGAACCGGATTCAAGCGAGAACATCGCAATTCGAGCTTGGTGGACATTGATCATGTTAGACCGGTGGAACGCCATTTCAACGGCGAGCCCTTTGTTCATTCCGAACGACAGTGTAGTTATTCTCCCTAGCCTGAGCTCGGTACTGGGTGACAATGTGTACCATCTAGCTCGTAAGTAAACCGATTATCATATCACGTGGGCCGTGCTAATTATTAATAGGATTGTCGAACATCCTTGGGCACTTCGCACCGGTTTCCTTGGTTTCTCCAAAGGTTCTCTCGCCCGATTCCGGGGCCGCTCCAATTCTGAGTTCCTTTTTCAACCTTTCCATGGAGCTTTTCCGGGAGATCCTACCCCAGAGCATCTCGCCGACGACTCATCCGATATTACATATGGTCTACTGGCATTGCAGGTTACTTGCGTATCTTTTCCAGACCAACGCGAAGTCCACCGATATCCTGTGGCCATGCAAGGAGGCCGTGACTCTGCTACTTACGAACACGCAACTGCTTAGTCCCCTGAACCACCACTTCTTCTGCCTTACTACACTCTCGCTCATCGAGCTCGCCAAGGTAGAAAAGACACGAGATGAGGCTACGGGCCTTCTAAAGCAGCTTCTCGACGCGAATCTTGCTCCGTCGACCTGGGACGGAGTTATCCGGGATCGCATTTCGGACCACCTTCGACCTTCTACTGCTCAAGCAGCAGCGAACCAAAGCCTGCAGCACCTTGCCGATTTAGCTACCGCAACGGAAGTAGATACCGCCAAACCAGACAAGAGTCTAGAGCCCACGTCCCTCCGGACAAGTGATAACTATAGCGATGTCGGGTTTGATCCTCGCACGCTTACACGAAACGGTTACTTAAATGTCTTGGCCGGCATTCACATGCGATAGGATAGCATGGTACCAGCTCAAAGAATTCCAAGTCCGCCGCGACAGCCTGCGCCATTCTACCAGCAAATGCACCAACCAGCTCACCAGCCGGTGGTCCATTCAACGAACTCTTCGCTCTATCGCCATCCTCCTTATTATATGTAATGACGTTGGATGAGCATTAGCATTGGTGAACGTTATCACGAAGGCTAGTTGTCAGAGAGTATACCGATTGCGAAATTCTTAATTCCTAGTAAACAATACAGTGCGTTGGTACTACGAAGATATAGGAACCGAAACGGATTGCTTCTACACTTTAGTGGTCAAGCCTCCCCCATCTAACCGACGAATGAGCATGCTTTATGAACAAACTACCTAGTTAACTGTGGTCTATTCATCATAAACCCGCCATATACCTAAGGTAGCTTTATAGCAGACAGCCTTAAAGTTGACCATCCTTATGGCCTTTGGTCTATTGCTGGATACTGGGCGGGTTGCGATAACGCCTACAGGAGGAGTCTGTTACATTTAGCAGAATATGCCGCCTTGTGGCAGCTATGTTGCGAAAATGGCGTGTTTTGATGTGATCATAAGAGAATCGCAAAGTTGCATGGGACTAGCTGGCACATGGAACTGCCTTTAAGTCCGTAATCAATAAAAATCCCGTCTCACAGCACAGTATAGTGTCTACAGTTACTTGCAATTTGCCTATGCTGCTTATATATGGATTGATCGTAGAATCAAAGCAATGTGGTGATCAGTAGTCGTAGCAAATCTCCATATACCTCTCGAAATCGCAAATCCCAAATACGAATTTAAGCTTAAAATCGATATAGATTCAGTGCGCAGTTGGGAAGCAGGAACCTGCATATAATGAACTGCACTTGCATATTCGACGCGCCAATCATGTTCTACTAAATGCCCAAAAGGGCAAGTGGTCGGATGTCAAGCCTGTAATGCTGATGTAGAACTTGGATCTCCAATCCAGGATCTAAATGTGCACAGCAGGAAGGTAAATCTACATGTATAGATAGGTAGAAAATTGGTGCACGTACAGTACATTTAGGGAAAGATTCTACTGTAGCGATCTGCGTTGAGAACGGATTTGATGTAGCGTGGATGTTGATGTCTCCTGAATCTACCGGTTCGAAAATGACTTCCGAACAAACCGAGGTTTAAGTGCTTACCCTACGACTAGCTCACCCCGTTAGGGCTGCCTTACATAAATAAATCAAGGCATCGTCTAAGCTACCAGGTGCTTCGCATTAGTCGTTGTAGATAGGTACATCGAGATGATCATCTGCGAGCGGCAACCGTTTTGCTCGGTGCTGCGACGCGCAGTATTCGGAAACCCCCAAATGAAAGTCCGCGGCCGAACAGGTTCCGTTTTATGAGCATTTTCGCGGGATGTTTACCAGGCTGCCGGTCGAGGTACCTACATACCTTACATAGACTGCAGGATAGCCGTTCAGTAAGCTTACTTTTAGCACGTATGGTCCTAGGTCTCAACTGGTTTGGTAATCTGAACATACGGGGATAGCCTCGAAGAAGATACTCTCAACATTAGGAACTTCCTAATATGTTGGGGATGGGGGGTAAGAACATCCTAACATAGCCAGAGGCCACGTCGCAATGCTCAAGCAATATGCAGAAGGCGCCCAGCCATGCCGGCAACGTGCGCGACGGAGTTGGTATGCGAATCATACTGTGCTGCTGTAGAACCTTCGGATCCAAGGTCATGGAGATTCGAATGCAGACAAACTACCTACCTAGTAGTACGTGGTCTAACTCTTAGGTAATTAGCAACACAGGTGGAATGTTTCGTTCTTAGTGCCTCCATCGCCGCCTTGCGTGGTGAAGACCCCCAGAGCCCCGCGGAGGTTTCATAGTGGGAAAATACGGCCGGCCTAGCATGGATGAGAACTATAATCCACCAGACATATATGGTAGCATCGAGAGATCAGATCAGATACGAAAATCAATAACGCAGCCAAGCAATGTAGGGACACCTAATATTTGATATAAGGGTTACTTTTGCCCATTTGTTCTGTCCCTCCTTGGCGATACCCCTTACTGTAAAATGGTAGGAAAATTGTCGTAGGACAGAGCAAAGAGCAATTTAATCGCCATTTGCCTAAATGTGGTTTCAGAGTCTGCCGATCCCATCTCCATCGGCAGCGCCTCTTGAGAGAATTTGAGGGCGAATCAAGGCCAAGACGCCTCCTCCCATCATTCGACTTCGAAAACCGATCAAATCAGGATGGTACCATCATGTCGTCACTCGTGAGACTTTTTCTCTTCTCCTCTCCTACTTTTTCCTTTTCATTTTCTTGGTAAGTCAAGCCCGTTAAGCGTGATTCGAGTAAGGTAGTAAGGTATTTAATTCTTTGCTCGCTCTATTCTTTTTGCCCCATACATACATAAATATCAGCTTCCCCCTCCCCTCTCTCTCGGCGGTATTTTTTTTATTCTAAATCTCTTGGTTCGTTCTTGGAAGCCGTCATGTTCCCACCGTCGTACTTCAACCATAGGCATCATAAGTGTCCCCCCTCTCACCGACTCGGGGGTATTATAGAGAGGGACAAGAGCGTTGGCAAATGGCCCCCAATTGTTTCGTTTTACTGTTCCCGGACCTGCTATTTGCGACCACCGGTGCAGCGCCGAACCCTTTCTCTCGTAATGGATCCCCGCGGAGACGGATTGAGCTTCGAGGAAGAACCCGGGCTCCATTTTTTTTAATAGACAAGACAAGACAAGACAAGACAAGACAAGACGAGACCAGACGAGACGGGGCAAGGGGAACAAGAGGAAGCAAAAAGGAAAGCAGAAATATGACCGCTTGGGAATTTCCGGCGCGACCCGCTCTCTCGCGACATCGGCTGCAGGAACAAAAAATTTCCTAAATTTCTTGAGGACCACGAGGACGCTCCAGTGTGGACCAGCTCATCTCTTAACTCGCCTTAACTTACTGCAACTGCGAACTGCATGCGGCATACGTGCGTATATACTAAGGTAAAATGTACATTACGTCGCAAAGTGGGATGCGCTGGGATTTGTCATCCCTGGTCCCCCCTGGCTGGCGTCGCGCGCGGGACCACCCACCACCCCCAAAAACCCTCTAACCTATCTCCTTACCAGCTTTCATTTTTACTTACGGAGCCTCTTCACCGCGGCTACCGAAGGGTGGGAAAGTTTTCATGCAGCACCCACCACCAACCCCCCTGGTTTGAGTCGCGATGCGGAAGCTTGCTGTCAGCTGATCGACGCATGGGAAGAAGCGTTCCGCGCTTGTGAAAAAAATATGTGTGCGAGTGTGTGCGTAATAGCAAGGCTGTTATGATAGCATTGAGCTTACATCTGCGCGAGAGAGAAAACCACGAATAATATACCGAAACAGGCAAGTATATACCGTACCAACAGGCTAAGAAGAAGAGAAAAAAAAGCGAAGAGGAACAAAAAGAAAAAGAGAAGAAATCGTGAGATTATCCCGCAGCGAGCGACTCCGATTTGTCCTTTTCCCCCCGTCTCCCCTTTCAATTTTTTTTCTGCCTTTTCTAACCGATGATGTACCAACGCCTCTCCTGATAGGCTTTCCCTTCTTCTCTCTGTGTACGCACTCTCTCTACTGTCTAATCTATGTGCAGGAACAAGGTAGTTTTTCGCGTTGCGTGGGCTTTTTTGAAACAGACCGCCTCTCGTCGCACCTTATCCTCAGACCTGTTGAGGGTTTGGGGGTTAATTTTTTTCTAGAACTCTTGGTAAGGGGGTTTAAGGGGAAAAAATAATAATAATAAGAGGTGCAAAAACATATGTTGTTGGAGGTAAATATGTACGACTGGAAAAGACAGGTTTTTTTCATGATGTCCGCGCGAGCCTCTTCGTCCCCGTACGAGGGAACGAAGAGAGAAAAAGAAGACAAGGTCATGGAAGAGATATACGATGAATTTGCAAGCGGAAAATCAGATATTGCCCCCAGAACAAGAAAACGCCTGATCCGAAGACCCCCGATAGTTTGTTCATAAAGCTCTGCCACCCAAGAGATTTCAAATGCCAGTTTCTTCTCCCACACTCCCATACACAATAATAAAAAAAAGGCCACACAGGAATAAATTCTTTTTTTCGCAAATCCGCGCCATATCCGATTGATGAATCCTCTTTCTTTGAGACTTTGATATAAAAAAAAATATGTAGGTAGGGAATATATGGGAAAAAATGTACCACTCAAATATACCAGACGATGATGGGGAAGAAAACATATGTGAAGAGAGAAAAGAAACCGAGGCTCTTTTCTCTAAGGGGTAGGGGGTATACGATGGATGGAATTTAACGTTGTTTAGATATATATGTCAGTCATAAGGCGCGTGGTATCATGATCGAAAAGATGATGCAGCGCAGCGCATGGAGGTTTCAAGAACGCTGGAAAAAGAGAAAAAATCGACGCAATGATTTACGTTGTTGAAGTTTTTTTGGGCGCGCGCGCGACTCGTCTTCCCCCTTTTTTTTTCTTCTTTTTTTTTGCTTGCTTGGCTTCACTTTTCGCGTGTTCTCGTGTTCTTAGAAATTTACGCCGTGTCCCACAGCCCGGAAGCCACGGGATCAGGCGAATGCGTGATGCCATCGGTGAAATTGTTCATGCCCCAGCAGGCCTCATCATCGACCCAGGGCGGGAAGACGGAGGATCCGTCGTCGAAGGACGACTGCGTCGACAGCAGCTTGCTCGTGGCCTTGAACTGGTCGAAGTCGAGGTTCCCGAGATCGGCGGCGCCCGCCGAGGTGCCGGCGAGCATGCTGCCGCTCGACTGCGACATGCCGCCGCCCAGGTAGCTGCCGCGGAAGCCGTCGAACTGCGACTCGCTGAACGCGGACACGAAGTCCTCGGTCTCGCTGACGTCGCCCGAGTTCGACGTCAGCGTGGGCTCGGTCGAGCCGGAGCCGCCGCCGAAGTCCAGGCCGCCCAGGTACGAGTGCGTCTGGTCGAAGCTCGAGGGCGTCAGGCCCGACGACGAGTCGCCCTTCAGCTCGAGCCCGTCGTACTGCGCCCAGTCGACGGAGGCGGCGCTCAGACCGGCGCTGAACATGGGCGGCTCGTAGTCCGCGCTCACGCCGCTGAATAGATCGAAGGTCGTCGCTGCTGATGACGACGACGACGTCGAGTAGATCTTGCTGAGGTCGAGCGGCGGCAGTTGCCCGTTCAGGTGCGCGAAGGAAGACGAGGAGCCGCTGATGGAGGGGGAGGCCTGCGCGGACTTGGCGGTGATGATGCGCTCCGGCGAGGAAGATCCGGTCGTTCGCGATTTCGCGCCGAGACTGCTGGTGCTTCCGGTGCGGTGCATGGAGGAGGACGAGGAGGAGGAGGAGACGCCGCGGGCGAGGCTGGCGTAGGGGGCGCTCTTCTGCGAGGCCTTGGCGTGGCGCGGGGCCGGGCGGTGGTGGCCGTTCTCGTCGAAGGAGAGGATGGGTTCGGAGTGCGCGGTGTTGGTGCGCCGTCGGCGGGGGGCGGGTTTTGGTTTGGCGGCGGCGGCGGCGGTGGTGGTGGCGAGTTGTTCGGCGGAGGCGTCGTCGGAGAGGTCGGATTCGGGGACGGTGTCGAGGGAGGGCTCTTTCTTGTGCGAGCATGTGCATCGGCCGCCGTGGTTGCAGCAGCAGCTGTCTGGAAGTGGGGGAACAGAAGATTTCAGG